CCTGGCCTTGGACACTTCCAGGGACCCAGGACACCCTGTGCCAGGGCCTCCCCACCCCGACAGGCAACAATTCTTTCCCAATATCTAATCTAACCCTGCCTCAGCAGCAAAATGCAAATCCACAGACAAACAGGTCCGGCCAAGCCGGGGCTGTGGGCAGGCACTGCGTGTTCCCCACCAGCAGCTGCTGCAATGAGGTGGCACAAGGCAGCCCCGAGCTGCTCTCCCCATGCCTCAGGGGCAGGAGAACGGGGGAAATGACCAACAGAGCCAGCTGCTTTCACAGCCAGAGCTTTTCCTTCCAGCCCAAATCTTCCCCCATTCCCAGCTGGTTTCACAAGCCAGAGCTTTTCCTTTCACCCCCAATTTTTCCCCATTCCCAGCTGGTTTCACAAGCCAGAGATTTTCCTTCCAACCCAAATTTTCCCCCATTCCCACCTGGTTTCACAAGCCAGAGCTTTTCCTTTCACCCCCAATTTTTCCCCATTCCCAGCTGGTTTCACAAGCCAGAGATTTTCCTTCCAACCCAAATTTTCCCCCATTCCCACCTGGTTTCACAAGCCAGAGCTTTTCCTTTCACCCCCAATTTTTCCCCATTCCCAGCTGGTTTCACAAGCCAGAGATTTTCCTTCCAACCCAAATTTTCCCCCATTCCCACCTGGTTTCACAAGCCAGAGCTTTTCCTTTCACCCCCAATTTTTCCCCATTCCCAGCTGGTTTCACAAGCCAGAGATTTTCCTTCCAACCCAAATTTTCCCCCATTCCCAGCTGGTTTCACAAGCCAGAGCTTTTCCTTTCACCCCCAATTTTTCCCCATTCCCAGCTGGTTTCACAAGCCAGAGATTTTCCTTCCAACCCAAATTTTCCCCCATTCCCAGCTGGTTTCACAAGCCAGAGCTTTTCCTTTCACCCCCAATTTTCCCCATTCCCAGCTGGTTTCACAAGCCAGAGCTTTTCCTTTCACCCCCAATTTTCCCCATTCCCAGCTGGTTTCACAGCCAGAGTTTTTCCTTCCACCCCCAATTTTCCCCCATTCCCAGCTGGTTTCACAGACCAGAGGTTTTCCTTCCAGCCCAATTTTTCTCCATTCCCAGCTGGTTTCACAAGCCAGATCTTTTCCTTCCAACTCCAATTTTCCCCATTCCCAGCGAGTGCTGGGGCTGCAGCTCGGCAGTGAATTCCCATGGGAAAGGTGACCCCCAAAAACTCCAGTGATGCCCACAGGACTGGGCAAGGTGCCAGAGAGCTCTGGAGCTCCAGAGGGCTGGAAGGGGCAGGCACGGAGCTCGGGAAGCACAGAGTGCTCACCAGCATGGAGCAAATATTTGTTGCCATAAGGATCCAGCCCAGCAAACACGAGGTTTTCCTGGGCTGAAGGGAAAATGCTGGGGTGGAATGAGGCAGGATGAGGCCCGGGAGGCGGCGCTGGAAGGGGATTGTGTGCTGGGAGCCCGACGTGGGATGGCAGCAGCGAGCCGGGGAGCGGCGGTACCACTGCGGCTGAGCAGGGCTCGCCTTTGTTTTGTGCAAAAAATAGCAAAGTTTGGGCTTATGTCATTCCAAACTTCTCCCGGCACCAGCTGGGAGATGGGGAGGTTCTCTCCAGCTGTTGGTTGGTTTTTGGTGGGTTTTTTTTTGTTTGTTTGTTTGGGTTTTTTTCCTACAGCATCTTTTCCTTTTTCCCTTTATGTTTTGCTGATGGTTTCATGATTTTTGTTGGGTTTTTTTGGGTCTTTTTGGTTCTTTGGCTATTTGATGACCCTCTTCCCCCTGTCCTGGCCGGGGTAAGGGGTTCCTGTGCCCAGCAAGGCACAGCTGGAAAGACCCCAGGAATGCAGGAGCAGCTCCCAGCTCCCCCCCAGCTCCCCGCGCGGCAGCCGGACTTTTCCTCGCCCTAGAACAAAGCACCCCATTGTTCGGGGAAAATGGGAAGGAAAGCGTGACGGAGCAGCCCGAGCCAAGCCGGGAGGGTGTTCCTGCAGGAGCCGGGCACCCACGGCCTCGCACAGGGGTCACCCACCCGCTGCCCCGGATTTTGGGTGGCTCCGTGCCAGCCGCGGATCCACCGGCGGCTGATGTCCTGCAATCCCGGTGTTTCCCACGTGTCCCGATTTTTGTGACGCCGTGGGTTGCTTGAGACGAGGTTTCCTTCCTATCTGGCTGTAAATGCCATCCTGGAGCGCAGCTGCTCGCTGGGAAGGGGGACTCCAAAAATAGGTGGGAGGGTTCTGTGTCTGGCCCGGCTCCTCGGCTCCCTAGAAATGCGCTTTTCTCCTATGGGAAAAATAAAATCAGGATGCCCCTGCTAACAGCTGGTCCTAAAAATGAGTCAGGAATTTGCACTGGGATGGTTTGCAGCGCTCCTGAGGCACGTCCCTGTGGGATGGGGACACGGGGACAGCGAGCGTGCCGCCTGTCCCCGTCGCCTGCCCGTGCACGCGTGTGGCCCGTGGCTTTGCTGGGGGACAGGGGGGACTTTTGGGGGCTGTCACTTGGATTAGAGAGGCAGGAGGAGGAGGGTGAGGGGGATAAAGGTCCTGGCACTCGCCGGGCTCGCAACAAGACAAAAGCACCAGATGGTTCCAACTTCAGCATAATACGCGGAGAAAAAGTGTTTGAAGCGGGGATGGAAAAGCAAATGTGGAAAGAGAGGGAGAAAGGAAAGAAAGAAAAACCCTCAGCGAGTGTCAGAGCAGAAGAAAGCGGCGGAGAAAAATGGCAAATGTTAAAAAAACCCAGACAAAAAGCCCCTTGGCCGGCACAAAGCCGCGGCTGCTGACATCTGTCCGGCAAAGCCACTCGCCAATGGGCCCCTTCCCTCTGGAGTCACCTTGCCTTGCTGCTGTCACCGCGGGGACACGGCCACATCCCTGCACAGGGCTGTGCTGGGTGTTGGGGACACCGTGCCACGTCCCACAGCGCTGCCCCCGGGGCAGGTGGCAGTGAGGTGCCAGGTGACGTGCAGCAGAGCTACCCTTAAATATTTTATTACAATATTCTACTACAATGTTCTATTACAATACTTTTGGAGCTCTTTACGCCATCACCTCACATGTCCCAGATGTCCTGGTGTGGTGGCAAACCCACCCGTGGCTCTGCTATGGGGCTTTAAGCCTGGTTTATGATCTGAGCGAGGTTCATCCAACCCCCTGTGCGAGGCTTTTGTGTTCCCCTCGCTCCTCCCCACGAAATTTCTTGAACCCGCAGACCAGAGCCGCCTTGAAAAAGGGAAGAAGGCTAAAAACTCATGTCGCCCTTGGCATTTTCATTAAAAAAAAAAAAAAAAAAAAAAAACCCAGCAAAAATAATCTCCTGCCATTGCTGGAGAGCGGATTGCAGCGTGGGTGGAAGCTCTTATTAGCCATGAGAGGATCCACAAGCCTTGGGGACCGCCGGCTTCCTGCGGCTCGGCTGGCGCTGAGCGGGAGCGGGGGCGGGCGGCGGCTGCGGCTTCCAGCCGGGACTGCCGAGCTCTAAAAGAGCCTGGAGTTCTGCTGGAGCCTGTGGCTGCCGTGTCACCGCCCCAGGGCTGCCCTGCCGGCTGGCTGCTGGGGTAAAAGGGGGTCCTTGGCTTTGTGACCCCCCCCCAAAGCGAGTGAGGGGCGCGGGTGGGACAGTGCAGAGCCACCGCTGGTGGAAGGGGTGGGTGTCACAGCACAGCAGCCGTCCTGTGTCACGGTGACACGAGGAGAGTCGGGATGTTGTCCCCCAGGACCAGGGATGGCAGGGAGCTGGGGTGTCATGTCCCCAGGGTGGGGGACAGTGGGGTGGCATGGTACCCTGGAGTGGCAGGGAGCCAGGGTGCCACGTCCCCAGGGTGGGGGACAGCGATGTGTTGCTGTGACCTTCAGGTGTGGGACAGTCCAGGTGACGTGCCATTGGTTTTTTTTGGGACAATGAGGAGCTGCAGGGCCGTGTCCCCTGGGGTGCAGGACAGCGTGGAGCCGGGGTGATGCCACCCTGGGGGACAGGACAGCAAGGACTCAGTGGTGTCCACTTGGCTTGTGGGAGGGTGAGAACCAGGGTGATGTCACCGTGGGGGACGGGACACTGGGGAGCTGGGGTGGTGCCACCCTGGGGTGCAGGACAGCAGGCAGATGGGTGATGCCATCTGGGGGACAGGATGGAGCTGGGGTGATGCTGCTCTGGAGTGCAGGGCAGCAGGAGCCAGGGTGATGTCCCCGTGGGGTGCAGAATGATGGGAACTCAGGTGACGTCACCCTGGGGGACAGGACAGTTGGGAGCTGGGGTGATGCCACCTTGGGGAGTGCGATGGCAGGAACTGTGATGATGCCATTTGGGGAGATGGGACATTGAAGAGCCACTCTGAGGTGAGGGACAGTGGGGACCATGGTGGTGCCACTCTGGGGGAGACAGGACAGCGGAGAGCTGGGCTGACGCCACCCGGGGGTGCAGAACCGCAGGGAGCTGGGATGATGTCCCCTGGGGTGCTGGATGATGGGAACCGAGGTGATGCCACCCGGGGGACCAGGACATCGGCTATGCTATCCTGAGGTGCAGGACAACGGCAAGCTGACGCGATGCCACCCTGGGGGACACGACAGCAGGAAGGTGGGGTGATGCCACACTGGTACAGAACAGCGGTGACACGCTGGTGCCCCGGAGCTGCGGGACGCCCCCGCAGCCGCCCCTTGTGCGGGGGGGGGCGTTCCCGGGCGGTGCCGCACAAAGGCCGCCGGTCCCCCCGCCCCGGGGCCGTCCCGCACCCCCGGGGCCGCCCCCGAGCCTCGGCCCAATAAACGGGGCCGCATTTGAACGCGGCGCCTCCCCCGGGCCCGCAACGCTCCGAGCGTTCCGCCAGCGCCGCCGCGCCCGCGGCACCGGCAGCGGTGAGGCCGGGACGGGAACGGGGAGCGGAACGGGGCGGGAAGGGGCACCACCGAGCTCCGGGTGCGGGGGGAGCGCTGTCCGCCCCGGTCCCTCCTCCGCGGGCGGTGCCGGGGCCCAGCCCGCCCCTTCCCGTCCCTTCCCGGCGGGACCGGCCGCGTGTGCGGGGCGCCGGGACGGGCCGGCGGGGAAGGGGCGCAGCGGCGAGGTGGGTGCCTGGGGAGGAAGGGGGGATGGAGGGTGGGGAGGTGCTGGAGGGATGGGATGCTGGAAGTCGGGGGGTGCTGGAGGAGGGGGGTGATGGGGACGCGTAGCCGCAGGGCGCGGTGGTGGTTTCAGGGGTGTCTGTGAGTGGGTGCCACCCCAAAGCCACCAAGGGCCCCTCGGCGCTGGTGGCAGTGGTCCCAAGGGGTGACAGGTACCGGGTGTCGCTCGCCCTCCTGCCAAGGGCGCCCCATCCCTGCTCCCGGAGAGATGCTCCGATGCTGGGAGCGGGTTCTGGACCGCTCTGGCCGGGCTGAGCTCGGGAAGCAGCCGGCTGCGGCTGGAGGAATTAAAAACAGCAGTTGTTTTGTCATCGGCGAAGCTCTCGTTGTCACCAGGGTGGCAGACAGCATGTGCTGTCTGGTCCCCGACCGTGGGCCCGTCTCCCTTGGAGCATCCCTGTAGGGATGGAGCCGAGGAACGCCAAAATCCACAGCCTGGGCGCATCCAGTGCTGGCGTTTTACTGGGAGCGTGGGTGGCAGTTTGGGTGTATCCTGCTCATCCTCCTCGTGTGCTCCCCAAAAGGGAGCGGAGGGGAGGCTCAGGGCGCGATGTCGCCGTGATTCAGCAGAGCCCGGCTTCATCGGAGCGGCTCCGGGAATTCCCGAATCCCGCATTTCCCGGCGCTGGGTGAATTACCGGCTCGCTTTGTTTACTCCTGAAATAATCAGCTTTGTGCCTCCACCTTGGGCTTTATCGCACCCGGGGCTCCCCGAGTCACTGCAGAGCGACTCCAGCCCGATTTGCAAAATCAAACCAGATGGGCGCTTTGTTTTTCCTTACGGAGGGAAGGCTGGGAGTGAAAAGCCCTATTACAATGCAAATACCGGGCTGGCGTGAATATTCAAACCGCTGTGGCTGCTTTTGAAGCTCTTTACATAAATTTATGGTGCTTTTATACGCCATCGCTGCTTTGCTAATCTGGAGTGGAGCTTGGTTAACAGAGTCGCTGCTCTCTGCCAACTTTGGAGGGTCTGGGGGTGTTTTTGGGGTGCATTGAGGTGCAGAGGGAAAATGATGAACGTGGTCAGTGGGGAGGAGGAGCTGCCAGCTGTAAGGCTGACTCTGGTGGTGACCCTTGGGGAGCTGGGCGTGCTGTCAAATGATTTACTGACATTAAGGTGCTTCATTGTCCTTCTGGGTTTTGTTTTTCCCCTTTCCCTTTGGTTTCTCGGTGTGACCCTTTGTGGGGTTGTTGCTCCAAGAGGGGACGGGGTGTTGCAGTGTGGGCTGAGCTGGAATTGTCTCTGGGTGGGGATTTTTGGGGTGGACACAGGGACAGGGCACCGAGCTCTTCTCTCTGGTGACCAGAGACAGGACCCAGGGAATGGCTGGAGCTGTGTCAGGTTTGGGTTGGATTTCAGGAAAGGTTCTTCCCCCAGAGGGTGCTGGCACTGCCCAGGCTCCCCAGGGAATGGTGACAGAGCTCCAGGAGCTCGGATACCACTCCAGGGATGCCCAGGGTGGGATTGTTGGGGGTCTGTGCAGGGCCTGGAGCTGCACTGGATGATCCCTGTGTGTCCCTTCCAGCTCAGGGAATTCTGTGATTCAGCAGAGCTGCTGTGATGGATGAGATGGTTCATTAGGGAGTGAGATAATGAGTGTGAGACAACCTCAGCTCTGGCTTTCCAGCAAGGGCTCCACAGTCTGGTTTTGGTGGCTGCTGGGCATCTCATACAACCCCCAGCATTTTTTTATTTTTTTTTTATTAAAACCTGGGCTCCTGGTGGGTTTTGCCAGCTGTGTTCACATCACCCAGGTTGTCACAAGTGCAGTGGGAAGGGAAAGTTGCTTTAAAGTGCCCAAGTGTGGCTGTGCTCTCCAGCACAGGAGGGACACTGGGAGCAGTGACATCCCATGGAGTAGGTGCTTGTGTTTTGGAGGTGGCCACAGGATGCTGCCCTGCTGGCTAATTACTGCTAATTACCAGGCCCTCATTTGAGTGGAGGCAATCAAGAGGAGCAGTAAAAACATTTTCCTCGCTGTCCCTTGGAGGTGATGACTTCAGTGGAGGGCAGGCTGGGGTAAGGGCAAGGTACCCATAGCCCTGGTGAGTGATGCAGCCCATGGGGGCATCTGGGCAGAGCATCCCCAAAATCTCCCTCCTGTGCAACAGCAAAAGTAATTTTGTATGGTCCTAGTGGAAGCTGTCCCTGCCTGTGGCTGGGGCTTGGCATGAGGTGGCCTTTAAGGCCCCTTCCAACTAAAGTAATTCCGGGATTCTGTAATTCCTACTGTTTACAAACACCCCCCCACCCCCTCAAAAAAAAAGTAATTGTGCTAATTGTGGTGATTTTCCTTGCTGATGCCATTGATTGACCAATCTGTGTCCTCATTAGCTCCAGGCTAAAGTTGGTATTGATTCCAGGCACTTAAAGATGGGGAGCAGTAATTACTGTTTAAGCCTATATTGTTTGAGTTAAATTTAGCTGAGAATTTAGTCCTATCAGGCCCCTACATTGTGTGCCGTGAAGGTTATCTGGCTCTCAGGAGGGGGTGGATTTAAAAGCAGGAAAGAAATGCCGCTGAAAACTTCCTCTTCTCATCATCCCGGAGCGCTTTTGCTTCCCCGGGCTGGTAATAATGAGAACAGAAATAAGGAATAACGCGGTGCTGACTCTCCTAAACCTGCACTTTTCACCGCTGTCTGCTCGAGCTGGTCATCCTGGGGGGCTTGAAACAGCACAGAAGGGCAGCAATAAATCTGAACAAAGTGATGCCCTGTGCAGGGACCATCCCCTCTCCTCCTGGCGGGGGTCTGGGCGGCCCCCACTCAGCTATTATCCCGGCTGCCCTCCTGCATCTCAGCTGCTGGCCCATCTGGAGCAGAGATGAAAGGCTGCCCTTTCACTGGGGCTTTGTGTGCCTCTGCTGGGTCCCCCCTTCCCCGTCACGGCTGCTGGAGGTGGCTCTGATGCTGCTGACCTCATTATTGTGACTGCCGGCTGATGCCAGGCGGCCTGGCCAGCTCCTCAGGTAGGAAGGAGGCTTGGGTGGTTTGTTTTTTTATTTTTTTGGTTTTTTTTTTTTTTTTTTTCCTCTCGCTGCTGAATAATTCAGGCAGGAGGAGGCATCTTGGGTCACCTTGCGCAGCCGGCTGCGTGCGGGAGCCGCCTGCCTAAGATGGAGGTTGTGCAGGATTGCGGGATCTGGGCTGCCGGCAGCTCCCCGTGCCTCTGACCGCAGGTAGGCACCCAGCCTCGGCCTCCCCGCTGCCTCCTGGGGCTGGGGAACGGGGAATCCCTTCCCCAGCCTCCGCAGGGATGGGTTGTGTCCCTCTAAGGTCTGGCTGTCGCCCGGCGCGGGGATGTGTGAGGCTGTTCTTGCCAAAAACTCACCTGGGCTGGAGGGCAGGTGTGGCCCACGCACCTGATGCTCTTTTCCTGTAGGGATTGGGGTTTTCCTGCTGGTTTTGTGGGGTTCCCAAAGCTGGGTTTGCCCAGGGTGAGTTTTTGGGCTCTGTGCTGTTGTGGCACTGAGAGGGGTGATGCCGGTGCTGCGGCAGCAGGGATGCTCGGGGATATCCTGGGAGGTGGCATTTAGCTCTCCCCACTAACTGGGGGAACTGGTTCTGGCAGTGCAGCAGTAGGGTCAGGTGCTGGAGACATCTCTGGGGGGGGCAGGAGGTGGCTGACCCTGAAGATAAGGGGTTCAGAAATGCTTGGGAAGCTCTGTGGGATGGAGTCATCTTTGCTGGAGGCTTGGCTGTGAGTTTTGGGGCCGCTGGAATGTGCAGGCAGGGCTCCCTGACACCAGGATCCAGCCACTGTCAAGCCCTGTGGGTGCAGGTGGGAAATAGGGTTGCTGGTGTGGGAATGGAAACAAGTTTGTTGCCTTCCTGCTGCTCACAGGCACCTGAGGTTTTGGGTGCTGCCTCCTCCTCTGTGCCCCGGGTCGAATGTGTCTGTGCCCTCCCTCCTCCCCCCAGCGCTTGGGCACTGTGAGAAATCAGCTCAAGAGGGATTTGGGGGGAAAAAAATGGGACAAGGAGGGTGTGAGGCTCAGGTGGAAGGGTTGTGTCCATCCCTGGAGTGTCCACAGCCATCCCTGTCTGGGGCAGGGCAGGAGGAAGGACAGCCTGGCTGGGCTGTGCCTCCACCAGCCCTGCATCCCTCAGCAGATGTGGGATCCAGAGGATGCTCTGCCCTGGCATCTGCTCCTGCAGCCAGGGAAATCAAGGACACAGCTGCTGCAGTGCCTGCCCAGTGATTTCCTGGCTGGGCTGGGCAGGGGCGTGGAACTGGGCTGCAACTGGAGCAGCTCTGGGATGTCCAGGAGTGCTGCTGGTGTCCCAGGGAGCCACAAGAACCCTGTGAGGAGCAGAGGGGACAGGGCTGGATGGGGAGGGGGTCGGGGTTGGACCCCCTGTTTTGGGAAATGTGAGTGGCACAAGCTGCAGCAGTCACAAAACCAGAATTCCCATGGCTGGCTGGTGTGGGGTCATGGATGAGGCTGGCTAAGCATCCTGGGATGCCCAGTTGGGTCCTTGGGACACCAGCTGCAGTGTCACCCAAGCATGGTGACAGTGCCTGTTGTGCCCCAGGGCAGTGGCACATCCACGTCCAGGCTGTGTGGTGGCACTGGGTGACACTGCTGCCAGCCAGGAGCCCTGGGCCAGGCTGAACAAACAGCTCCAGCCAAATCCTTCATTTCAGACAGGAAATTTCCCTCTACCCCCCTGCCAGAACAGCTCCTGGGGCTGTGATCCTGTTAGCAATGGATGAGAGGGGTGAAAACTTGCCTTGGAGGGGAAGATGAAGACCTGAGGCAAATTGGGTCTGGGTTTTGTGTGCCTGGTGCAGGACACCAGGTATGTTTTGGCTGTCCCCACGCTGCTCTGGGTTTGCTGCCTGTCCAACCCTTCTCTGCCTTCAGCCAGGGTTTCACCTGAAACCCCTGAGGGAGAGCAGCACAGGGAGGAGTGCTCAGCAGCTGGGCTTGATTTTGGAGTTTTTCCCCCAAGCTAAAGCATCCCATGATCCCAGGAGGGTGTGTTGTGCCAGCTAAAGCATCCCATGATCCCAGGAGGAACGTGGAGGGGGTGGCCACGGTGGCTGGCTGCCCTGAAGGGTTTGGGCTGGGGTCTGCTGCCCTCCCCTCCTCAGGCACAGCCCCACACTCCTCTCCCTGTAGCTGCTGAGCTGTTCTTGCCTTGTTTATCTTCTCACCAAAGCGCTGCCCTCCCCTCCTCAGGCACAGCCCCACACTCCTCTCCCTGCAGCTGCTGAGCTGGTCTTGGCTTGTTTATCTTCTCACCTGCAACACCTGGGGATCACTGGAGCTCAAGGGAACAATTTAGCTGCTGCAGCTGAGCCAAACAAGCTGACAGGAGCAGCGTGAGGTGGCACACAGGGACAGGGACGTGCCAAAACGAGCTGACAGGAGCAGCGTGAGGTGGCACACAGGGACAGGGACATGCCACACGGGGCTGGCCCAGCCACCTGGGCTGTCCCCTCCCCAGGGTTTGGCTCTGCAGGCTTTTTCCCCTGGGGTCTTTCTGCTCTGTGACTTCTTCCCCCAGTGGGCTGGAGCAGTGGTGGAGCATTAAACACAGCCCCAAACAGCCTGGTGGGCAGCTGCTGTGCCAGCCCTGGGGGTTTTCTGCTGTCCCTTGTCACCCACGGTGACCTGGCCTGTCTCTTCCCGCAGGTGAGCGTGGCAGGCTATGGGATGGATGAAGCTGAGCAGGACCAGTATGAAGCTCGCCTCAAGGAGCTCTTTGACAGCTTTGACAGCACAGGCACGGGCTCCCTGGGGCAGGAGGAGCTCACTGACCTCTGCCACATGCTGCACCTGGAGGAGGTGGCCCCAGCACTGCAGCAGACCCTCCTCCAAGGAAACCTCCTAGGCAGGGTAAGGAGCTGGGGGGATGGAGGGGGCAGTACCTGCATGCATGGAATGGTCTTGGGAGGAGCCTGGTGTGTGTGATTGTGTATATCCAACATTCCTGAGGCTCTGGTGCTGCAGGACTTGTGGGGTCTGGTCTGTTCAGTAGGGTGGGCACAGGGCAACTTCCAAGAGTAAAACTGGTGATAACAGGGGAGGGAACTGCTCTGTCTGCCCTGACTGGAGGTGGTCTGAAGCTCAGGAGCCACCACTTCAGGCTGAGCCTTGTGCACTGCTGTGCTTTCCCATGCCCAGAGCAAGGGCCAGGTCCTGGCTGCCCCCAGCCCTGGGTCACCTCCCCAAACCAGCTCACCAGGTGCTTAGACAAGCTCTGAGCCACTTGGGATGGGACAAAGACCTAAATCCAGGGCTTGAGCCTGTGATTTAAGCTGGCTTAAGCTGTAGTTAGACTGGCCGGGCCGCGTGCAGTCACGGATGTTTCTCTAAGGTGGAGAATATTGTCCCACGCTGTCTGAGCTGCCTTTGTCCACATTACCTGGTGTTGGTGGCTCCCCAAAGCCATTTTTCAGTGGTGGTTTTACCTTTATGGAGTTAAATCCCAGGGCAGTGAGCAGAAGCTGCTTGCCCTTGGGGGGATGTGCTTGTGCTCTGCGTCAGGTCTGCACGCTGTGCTCAGAGTGCACGAGATCCTTCCCTGGAAATCACCCTGAAATCCCATCACTGCTCATTAAAATCAGAAAAATGTGGAGCAGGGCAGCCAGGGCTTTCAACAGACAGGCAGCCATCCCAACTCCAATTTCCAATCAAACAAAACAATTTCACAAACAAAATTCCTCTAACAAACAAAGGGATTTTTCCTTTTCCCTCCTCTTCCTTGCCTGCCCTGGGGCCGTGGCTCTTCTGCTGATACTGAGTGGAGCTGGGATGGATTCAGGTGGAGGTTGTTGACCTTTAGAGTTGCTGTGTGGCATTTTCTGGAGCACCAGAGACTCTGTGCTGCTGTGTCATCTTGAGCGCCCAGCACTTGGATGCTGTTATCAAAGAATCCCAGGATGGTTTGGGTTGGAAGGACCTTAAAGCCCATCCAGTGCCACCCCTGCCATGGCAGGGACACCTTCCACTAGCCTAGGCTGCTCAAAGCTCTGTTCAGCCTGACCTTGGACACTTCCAGGGATTCAGGAACAGCCACAGCTGCTCTGGGCACCCTGTGCCAGGGCCTGCCCACCCTCCCAGCCAGAAATTCCTTCCCAATATTGAATTTAAATCTATTTTCCTTCAGCTTAAAGCCCTTGTCCTGTCACCTGGCTTTGCCACTCGTGGGACGGTGGCATAGAGAGAAAAGGACAGATGTGGCTGTCACAGCTGGTCAGGGCACCAAACCCCTGTTAAAGCATCCAGAGTGCAGGGTCACACTCACCCCATCCCAGCCCTTCAGGCACGAGGCATCCCATTTGATTTCATTCCCCCTTTGCCCCTGGGGATGGTTCTCCCTTCCAGCCTGCCACAGAGCCTCAGGACAATCTCTGTCTCCTGCCCCTGCTCCTTAGCAGCAGCAGCAGTGGGCCAGGTTTAAACATGAGATTTCAATTTCATGACCCTGGGATCCTCGGGCTTTCCTGGGGGAGAATAGCAGCAGACACAGAGCTCCCTGAGCACAGACTTGTTGCACCTGCCCCTCCTGCTGCAGATGGTCCCAGCTTTTGTCTGCCTGCACTTCCAGGGGCTGGGATTTATGGGAGGGCTCTGGGGAGGGGGGCAGCGGGGGAAGGTTTTGTCTGCTTGGGGGCAACTCGGTGGGGCCACGTGCTTCTTGTCTTTGTGCTGGGGCTCTGCTCCAGGGATGAATGGGTGCTCTGGGATCAGAAAATCGTGGCATGGTTTGGGTTGGAAGGGGACCTTAAAGATCACCTCGCTCCAGCCCTCTGCCCTGGGCAGGAGCTGAGTTTCCATCCAGAGAGGGGCTGGAGGTGCTGTGATGGTTTGGGGATGGATGGGGTCTGGTGTGGGGTGTAAATCCTGCCCTGACTCGTGGCACAGCCAAACCCCTGTGGAGGTGTTTTCCTCACACATTGCCTGCAGAGGTGATGCTCCCAGCGGCTCCTGGGCTCCTCAGGAAGGCTCTGTCCCCTCACCCTTGATGGCAGGAGTGAGGGGATGGGTGTGCCTGTGCCTGCCTGTCTGTCTGCCCTCCCTGTGCCCTTTAATCAGCAGCAAAGCAGAGGTGGCTTGGGGACAGTGCTCGTGGGCCTGGCTGATGTGCAGGGACGGGGATGGGCCCTGGAAGCCAGTGGGCACTGCCAGGGATCCAGGGGCAGCCACAGCTGCTCTGGGCACCCTGTGCCAGGGCCTGCCCACCCTCCCAGCCAGGAATGTGTGTGCTGTCCCCGATCCTGGGTGGGCATGGCAGCACATTGTGCATCACCTGCCCAACCCCCATTGCCTTCTGGCTGGCTGGGATCAGCCCCAAATTGCTGAGAGACCCCCATGAGCAGACACACAGATGAGCAACACCAAAACACAATCATAAAATCAGAGAATGGTTTAGGTTGGAAGGGACCTTAAAGCCCATCTTGTTCTACCCCTGCCATGGCAGGGACACCTTCCACTTCCCATCCAGCCTGGCCTTGGGCACCTGCAGGGATGGGGAACCTGTGCCAGGGCCTGCCCACCCTTACAGGAGGATTTCTGCAGCCTTTGTGGCTTTGCTGTGCCGTGGCTGCCCTGCCTGGCTCGTGCCCCAGCCCAGCTCTGCTTTTATCAGTGCTGTTTCTCTGACTCTGAGCCCTCTCTGCCTGCAGACACGCCACATCCAAGGTCAGAGGTGCACCACAGGCTGGTTTTGCTGCTTAGCTGGTGTTGGGAAAACCTCTGGCCCACCTTGAGGACAAACCTCCCCCCTCTGCCAGCTGTGACTCCACCTGCAGAGTGAGGAGGGCTTTGGGGAGCCCCCCGTGCCTGTCCTGTGCTGCTGATCTGCATTTGCAATGCTGCTGAGGAGCCTGGCCACATCTGCTGCTCAGCCTGATCTTCCTCAGATAAGGAAGACCATGCTCCTTATGGAGCTCCTGTGGTAAAATCACAGAGTGACACAGGGCCAGTCTATTTTATTGGACCCCAGTGTCTAATTGGACACCAGCTCTGCAGTGGGTTTTACTAAGCCCACTCTTTGCCAAGGGCTGTAGGGAGCAGGGAGGGCTCAACCCATTTTATTTTTCTCTTTTTTCCCCCCTTTCCTGGTGATTTGTCAGCCACACAATAGTGGGGGTGTGAGCAGCAGCATCTCCCCCTGCTCTTGGTGGGAGGAGTGGGCAGCAGAGCATCCTGTGCCCTGCTCAGGGGGATGTTTGGCATTTTTGGGGGTGAACAGCACACAGGGCTGTTTTGTGGGCATGTGCTTCAGTGAAAGGCTTGATTTTGACATCTCCTTCATGCTCCTCCTGTGCCCCTGCAAGCACAGGGGCTTGAGCAGCTCTGAGGCTGGACTGGATGACCTTAATGATTGTTTTCCCACCTGAATGGTTGCCCAACCCTTCCTCCTCAGTTTTGGCTGGGAATGAGAACCTGCTCAGCTCATCAGTGGGTTTCCTGCATTCAGGAAGCGTGGATGGCTGCCTCTGTCCTTGTGCAGCAGAGCAAGGGCTCAGCTCCTCCTCCTTCCTCCTCCTCATTAGTGCAGGCAGGAGTTATGGGGCTCATTATGCAGAGCAGGTGATGTCAGTGCTGCTGCACACCTGCCCAGGTGGTTTGGCTTTATTTAATCCTCTGTGTTTGTGTGAGGGATGCAAAGTGGATCTGGTTTTCTTGTGAGGTGCCAGCCCCAGCACCCATCCAGGGGATTGGCTCTGCCCGTTTATTCCTGAGAGGATCCCATGGGGAGGGAACCTGTAATCTGAACACCCTCATCTTTTATTCATCCTCATTTAGTCTAAATGTCAAGTTTTTTTTCTTTTTTTTTTTTTAATGGGGGAAATTCTCCTCTCTCTGTGAACTGGCCTTTTTGAAGTACACCAGTGTCTGCAAATGGATGGCAGCAATTAGTATTCAGATGAAGGCATTCCTGATGAGCTTCTGTGCTGAAAATGTTTTTTTAATTGTGTTTAAAAAACATGTTTAAAACTGTTTAAAGCCTCAGGGGTGATCGGCACTGCCTGAGCTGTGGCATGAGGTGCTCCCCTGTACCTCCATGGCTCACCTCTGTCCCCTCCCTACCAGGGAGCTTGTTGGTATTTTTCTGAGCTTGCTTGACCCCCCAAAAACAAGCTGGAGAACTTCAGACTTGAACTCTGCTGCTTGTGCCTCCCCCAGCATCATGAAAATCCCTCAGAGTGCAGCCCTGCCAGCCAGAGCAGCCTCGCTCGGTTTCTTTAAATACAAAATCTTCCTTCCTGTTCCATGCTAAAAATTCCTCTAAGATTTATTTAGCCAAGAGAAATGGCAGCAGCCAGCTCTGCCTGGCCACTGCTCTGTGTCACATAGCTCTTCCAGCTGTCCCTGTCCCCCGGGCTGGAATTGCTGACATTCCCCAGCAGGCTGGGGAGGATGCTGCAGCCCCTTCTGGCAGGCAGGAGGCTTTCCAGGAAGGCACAGATGGAAAAAGAAAAGAGGAAAAAACCCCCCCTCAGTGGCAGGAACATCTCTGTTTTCCCCAGCTTCACTCCAGGCTTAGTTCAGCCCTCCCAGAACTACAGGAGCTGCCCTGGAAAGGGAGGGATTTTTCTGCCATCCACATTGGGAAGTGGTTTTTGAAGCTAAGTTAGGGCAGTGGAGCATTTCCACAGCAGAATATTCATCCCTGCTCAGGAATGGTGTCATTGTGGAAGCCACTGACCCTGGCCAGGTCACCTCAGGGGCTGGGGGTGTCCCTGCTCCTTTTGGGGCTGGGGGTGTCCCTGCTCCTTTTGGGCTGGAGGTGTCCCTGCTCCTTTTGGGCTGGAGGTGTCCCTGCTCCTTTTGGGGACGGAGGTGTCCCTGCTCCTTTTGGGGACGGAGGTGTCCCTGCTCCTTTTGGGGACGGAGGTGTCCCTGCTCCTTTTGGGCTGGAGGTGTCCCTGCTCCTTTTGGGCTGGAGGTGTCCCTGCTCCTTTTGGGCTGGAGGTGTCCCTGCTCCTTTTGGGCTGGAGGTGTCCCTGCTCCTTTGGACATGTTCTTTATGTTCCTGCTCCATGGAAAAACCCAACCAGTGCCCGAGATCTGTGCCTTTGGGTCCTTCTGGGTGGCAATAATTGTTGCCAGGTGCCCAGAGGTGCTGGCTGTGTCTGTGTGTCCCTTGCTGTCACTTCTCCAGGGCTCCTCTGTGCCGGGGTGGTGAGGAGTGATCTCACTGCTGCCCATCTTCCTGCTGCATTTTGGCCTCATATTTAACTCCCTGCACCACCTGATTGCCTCTTTCCTTCCTTTTTTTCTTGTTCTTTTTCCCCACAGGTCCACTTTGATCAGTTTAAAGAAGCACTTATCCTCATCTTATCCAGAACCCTGTCAAATGAGGAGCACTTCCAAGAACCAGGTAAATACTGAAATTAGCTGAACTGGTGTATTTTCATTGGCAGAGCAGCTGTGGGTGGCTCTCACAGAAGAACTTAGAAGAGAAAGTGCTTTTTGGGTACTGCCATCCATGCAGAAAAGGCTGATCTTGGGAGAAAAGGTGTTGATTTGGGATTTTTTTTATTTTTATAGAGATGGGGTAATTGAGAGGTTTAAAGATAAGATTTATAAAAATTATTTTATTTATATTAATGTATTTATAGTATAATTTATTATTTATATTTTATTATTTAATTATTTTAATATTATATATAATGTAACATATTCTATTTTATAATATATTATATTTTTTATTATTTAGGTTTTTATTTTATTTTTATTTATAAAAATAAAATATGGGTTTTTTTATTGGTTTTGGTGAAGGGTGAGAAATGTATCCTTTACAAAAAGGGAGCCGAGGTTTGTTGTGGAGCCTTGCACACGGGTGTTTTCAGAGCCATTGGGGATTTCTCTCCCATTCCCATGGTCTGGATGCCCAGGATGGCTGTGAGCAGGCAGCTGCAGCCCCCTCCAGATGCTCAGGATGGCTCATGGCTGGCACAGGGGCTCAGCTCTCTCCATCCCACACCACTCTGCTGGCCAGGGGTGCTTCAGGAGCAGAGAGCTGTGGCCAGGCAGACAAATGGCTGAATTCCTGCTGCTGGGGCTTTTCCCAGCTGGGGCTGGTGTTGGATTTTGTGTTTTTTAAGTCCATTCTGTTTCGTTGTGCCTGAGATGAGCAGGGTGTAGGAAGCTTCTCTGGATTTCTCCCAGGAAGAACAGTCAGGCTGCTCCAGAGGTGTTCCTGAGCAAGTGAAACCCCTGAAAAACCAGGCTGGGGCTGGGCAGAGAATTCCAGGACGGTTTGAGTGGGAAGTGACCAGTGCCACCCCCTGCCATGGCAGGGACACCTTCCACTGTGCCAGGCTGCTCCAGGTGCCATCCAGCCTGGCCTTGGGCACTGCCAGGGGCTCTGCTGTGAGTCCTCAGTGTTTTCCTTGCTTTGTTTCAGTGTGCCTTGAAAATGGGGCTTTTTTAGGCTTTCCTTGGCAGGAAAGGTTTCAGCCTGAGTGTTTTCCCCCTGCAGCAGGGCCTGGGAGCTGTGGGGCCGTGCTTGGGGCTGAGCCCCTGCAGCTCCAGCTGGTGCCACACCTGTATGTAAATAAATCCCTAATCCTGTCCTTGGAGCAGCAGGGGAGCCAAATCCCCCAAGGAGAAAACAGCTTAGCAAAGGGGGACAGAGAATTCTCCAGGTTTCCTCTCCTGGAGCATCAATCTCAGCTGGAGCATCCCACTCTGGGGAGAGGAGCCTGCCAGCAAAATTACAACTTTCCCCTTTCATTAAGGCTGCACAAACCACAGGGTTGGAGAGGTGTGATTGATGGATTATTTTTATTTTCCACCTCTCATCTCCAAAGCTCTTTAGTGCTGTGAGAGGGGTGATGGCAGCTCTTGTGCCCGGCATTCCTTAATGGAATTTCCAAGTGCAGGTGGGTGGGTGCTCGGGGGGAGCAGCCCTGCCAGCCCCTTGGGAAGGAGCTGGCACAGAGCAGGAATCAGCCCCAGTGAGGCAGAACTAATCCAGCATTCTGCATTTAGTGGGGTATCATATGGCTGAGAAGCTCCAGCTTGATTGAAATGTAAATAAATCTTCCAGAAATGGCTAAATTTGGGGTTAGCACAGGGGAAATTACAAGTGAAGCTGGAGAGCTCTCCTTGGGGACACTCTTGTCACAGTGGGGTTGGAATGGCAGGGAATCAAAGGGTGTGGGGTGCAGGTAGGGAGCCAGAGCCAGGCAGGCCTGGGAGGCATTTTATTTTTAATGCATTTTGACAGGTTGGTTAATGCCAAAGTCTTTGCTTCTTTTAATTTAGATCAAACTGGAGATTTGGAGAACAAGCTGCTTTGTGCTGTTGGTGTCAAACTGTCAGGGAGTGTGGAAATGCTGGTGTTCCAGCCTGCCCCAGGCTAGGGAAAAATTGAGTTAAGAGCTCTAAATCGTATCATTTAAATGAAAATTTAATTTGAGGGGGGATTGGAGGGGGGAGAGGCAGAGATTTTAAGGCCGTTTGCAGCATCTGGGAAGTTTGCTCTGGAAGGAAGTGGCTGTGGTGGTTTTCTCCAGGGATTTGGGTGATGGGAGGGTCAGAGGGCAGCGCTGGGGCTTTGTGCTGCAGCCCAGAGAGCCTGTGGGACACGGCCAAGGGGGTGGCATGTCCTTGTCCCCGTGGATGCTGTCAGCTCAGCGAGGAGGGCTGGGCACAGGGAGGGTGGCAGGAAGGACATGGAGCACAGAGGGATGCAGCCCCTGTGCTGCCCAGAGATTTGGGGTTGTTCAGGATGGAGAAGAGAAGCTTTGGGGACGCCTTGCAGCCTTTTCCAGTACCTGAGGGGAGCCTGAAAGAAACAGGGAAAGGGATTATCCACAAGGGCCTGGAGTGACAGCACAAGGGGAAATGCTTTGAGCTGCCAGAGGGCAGGGATGGATGGGATTTTGGGAAGGAATTTCTCTCTGGGAGGGAATTCCCAGAGCAGCTGTGGCTGCCCCTGGATCCCTGGCAGTGCCCAAGGCCAGGCTGGACAGGGCTTGGAGCAGCCTGGGATGGTGGAAGGTGTCCCTGCCTGTGGAAGGAGATGATTTTCAAGGTCCCTTCCACCCAAACTGGTTCTGTGACAGGGGCTGGGGACAAGGAAGCAGAAGTGCTGCAGTTCCTGCAGAAGCAGCCACTGGGGTTTCCCCATTTCGGGAGGACAGGGAGGTGGGCGAAGCGCTCAGGCTTGCAGAGAGCAGCTGAGGTATTTACATTTTATTTTCTTTGTCTTGGCAAAGAGGCTGAATTCCCCTTTGCAAAGGCAAGACTGGCAGGGAGGATGGTGCTGCAGGCTCCTTGCCTGGGAAGCAAGGCAGAGTTCCAGAGCTGCTGTGATCAGCTCTGTCCCCTCCAGGGTGTCAGAGTGGGGACACAGACCCAGCTGTGAACCAGAGCATCAGCTGGCTGGGCAAAGCCTGCCTCTGCTGGGAACAGGGGTGGGGAGATTCCAGGAAAAGCAGAAAAAAAGCTTGAGTGTGGTTTAAAATAATCACTATTTTAGCTCTTGATTCTTGGTGCTGCTGCCACTGCTGCTCTTTGTGCACGGGTCACTGCAGCAGTGAGGGGACAATAAAATAGATTTAAAGGTGGGGAGAGGGGGGAAAAAAATCAGTTGTGTGGGTGATTAGGGAAGAAAAAAATCAGGCTTTTTTTTCCCTCCCCATTATAGCAAATAAAAAGTGCATGGAGGCTGGGCTAGGGAGGGATTATGGGGTGGAGTGCAGGATTACAGGGACACCCAGGAGAAATTAAAGAGCAGTTTGACGCCATCCTCCCCACAGTCACGAGGGTTTTGGGGTTTTTCCTTCCCCATTTTTTTCCTTCTCCTCCTGGAGACAGCAGAAATGCCCTCTAAAAGAAGGGGCTGGTGGGGATGATGCCCTTTGGAAGGACCCCATCCCTGGGGGAAAGGTTGTTGAAGTGGCTGCAACACTGGATAAAACCAGTGTCACAGCCCAGGCAGGGGTGGCTGATGCTTTTTGATGATTTTTGGGTCAAAACCCGTTGGTTTTGGATTGTGGTGACCCTGCCACAACTCCTCTCTTCTCCCACTGCTGAGGCTGAATGATGAAATAGGACTTGGAGGGGTTCAGGCATACCTGGTGCCTCAGGGGATTAGGATTTAGCAGATCCTGGCTGCCATGTGCTTTGCCCAGCAGTTGGAGCATCCCTCCCTTCCAAATCTTAAGCAGCAGAGAAATTAATTTCACCTCTGAAGGCTGGGATTGTGGGATGAAGGTGCTCCTGCTCTAAACCCCCTTTTGTCTGCGCTGCAGGGCTTTGATGCCTGGCCCAGGGAAGGGGAGCCCCCCTCCCTCCCCATCTGAGGGCAGAGCAGGATTTTGAAATGACTTATCTGGTGCAGAAAGGCAGAAAATCAAGTGTAAATCTCCAGCCATGGAGACGTTTCAGTGGGATGGATGGAGGGAGTGAGAGAGGGAATTGATGGCTCCTGTCTGTGGCGCTTAAATCAGGGAGCTCTCGTGAAATGCAGAATTGGGGGGGGGTTTGTTTCATTCCAGGGGCACTTGGAGGGACACAAACCCTCTGGGCAGTGGGCAGGAAGGTGAGAGGCTTCTTGTCTCAGCCTCCTCCTCTTGCCCCCAGCCTGGGGGCAGTTCAGGGGGGTAGATGAGAGAGGCTCCTGTTGTTCCCTTTGCCCTGCTCACAGGGGCACAGTGTGGTGGCACTTGTGTCCCTGAGGGTCACAGAGCAGTTTGGCTTGGAAGGGACTTTGAAAACCATCTCCTTCCATCCCCTGAAACGAGCAGGAGCACCTTCCACTAGACCAAATTTCCAGCAGTGGGTGAGCACAGTCAGTGTGGTGGGGTTGGAAACAGGATTCTTGGGGAAATCCAGAGGGAAATTCAGCTGTAGCTTCGCTATTGCTAAATTCCAGCTTCTTCCCCCTCCTCCATCTCTCCAAAGACAGACGGAGGTACGGCTCTGTCTTAGGAATAATAAAAATGATTTCTGAAGAAAAACAAAGCCCCCAGCCCTCTCTTGTTGGGGAGGGAGGAAATAACAGGGTGAATGAGTAGCCACAAATATTAGCATTTCAGAGAGAGCTGCTGGATGGAGATTGTTCACCACCGGGCGGGCTTTAATAGGAGTGATAAGGTTTGCTTTTGTTCTGGGGCTCTTCCTTAATCAGCCTGTCTCCTCCTGATTTTTCTATCGGTGCACTCCATCAGCCCAACTTTCATGTGCTGAGTCCCAGCTGCAGCAAATCTTGTTAGAATGGCCTTGTTCAAACACGGGCGCCGGGTTTGTTCCCTAGAGCTGCGCCGAGGCTGGATGGAGTGTGGGGCTGCAGGAATCAAAGCACTCCTCAGCCTGTGTATTTTATAATTCATTGCATAGCTAAGTTGTGGAATATATTTTTTTTTTCCCCCTCTAACAAGCTTGAAGCCTTTTCTTCTATATCTAAAGGAATATTATCCGAGGAGGCATTTGGGTAAGGGGGTTTGGAGACCTGCTGCTTGCCGTGTGTCCTTTGTCAGTGGTGGAACAGCTTCCCTGGGCCTTATTAGTATTGCACTCCTGCGTTTCTTTTATATCAGGGCCCTCTGCAAATAAAATTTTCAAAAGCTGCTGCTCTTGCCACTGCGAGTGGCAGAAAATAAAAGATGATGGAGTCCTGGGGGGGTTTCAGCAGTCAGGTTAGCAAACACTGAAACAAAGCGTGGCACGGAGCCTTCCCCTAATTGAATCCCTGGCTAATTTGGTCCTTGGTTTAATTTGCCCCCTGCTCCAGATTCTCACTGAAAACAGCCCAAAACGTGCTTATTTATTTTTTTTGTTTTGATCCTCGCCTGCCAGCGCTCCCGGATAATTCAGTCCCCAAAGGCAGGAGCTTGCTGGGGGAAGCTGGAGCTGGGGAATGTGGAGCCCCTGTAATTAGATGACGACTCCAAAGGGTTATTTAGATCTTGCAGTTGGCTTTGGCTGCTCGGCACAGGCTGGGACCTGCCCCACCGTCTGAGCTGGGCTCAGCTGCTCCCGTCGGCCCCCGAGAGGCTCCAAACTTGCCCGATTTTTTTCCACTCTCCCGCTTGTTTGGGCATTTTTAATGGAGCTGAAACTCAAACCCCGGGAAAGCAGCAGCAGCCGCCCAGGTGTCTGCAAGATCTGGAGACTTGAGCTGCCTCAGTGCAACTCTGTCCCTAATTAAACCTGCCTGGTGCTGCTAATGGAGATGAGTGCAAGGACGAGAGGCCTAATGGACTTTCCATCCAAAGCTCCTGGCGAGGTTGAGGTGGTTTTCTCCCTCCATCCTGTTAACTTGATCTGGGAGTTGGGGAAGGGTGAGGAAGAGGAAGATTCCACCTTGTGACAGCTTTTTTTGGCAGGTAGCAGCATCAATTCTAACCATCACACCCAGGGTGAGGGCGGTGATGATCCAGGCACGGAGCCGCCACTGGCGCTTGCCCACCGGGAATGGTGGCGGCAACTTGGCGCTCAAAATTCTGCTGAAGGAACAAACCATCCCTGAGGGAGCTCAGCAATCACATTCCTGATGTGTTTTGTGCTTGGATTCCCCAGATTCCTCCCCAGAAGCGCAGCCCAAGTACATCAAAGGCGGCAAACGCTACGGGCGCCGCTCCCTGCCGGAGTTCCAGGAGTCGGTGGAGGACTTTGCCGAGGTGACGGTCATCGAGCCGCTGAGCGAGGAGCCACATCCTGCTCACATTGCTGCCAGCCAGGAGGTCAGCAGGGAGGGCTGGGTCTTGGGGAGGCCTTGTCACCTCTGGGCGTCGCTGCTCCCCACATCCAGAGGGGCTGGGATGCGCTTGGAGCCTTCCCAGCAGAGGCATTGGCCGCTCTCCTGGGATGGGTGCTGGGGTGGCATTGTCACCTCTGGACGTGGCTGCTGCCCTCATCCAAAGGGGGTTGGAATCCCAGTGCCTTTACTGGCTGCTCTCCTTGCCTGTCCCCAGGGATGAGCCGTGCCAGGCGTGGCTCCCTTGCTCCATGTGCCGTGGGAAGTGGGGAAGGAGCTGGGCCGGTGCTCCTGGCTGGAGTGTGGGCCAGCAATTAAGGGCTGAGCTGCTGCCTCCGTGGCTAACGAGGTGTGGGCTGGGAGCAGACGGAGCACGTCCACATCCATTAGTGCAGCTGCCAAAATCTTGCCGTGGCTCCAGCAGAAGGGATGGGGACAAGGGGTGGTGGGCAGCAGAGCCCCACAGCCAGCAGCTGCTTTGGGTCAGTGGCATCTAATTGCTGGAAAAAATCCCCATTCCTGGTTTTGTGCTCCAGATCTGTGGCTCTCTTTGTGCCAGTGCTTTCAATCCCAGAAGCTCCTCTTGCTTCCCCAGACAGGAAAGCCAAAGGAGCCGAGTGGTTGGAATTGGTGCTGTGTTAGAGCACAGCCACAACAGCATCTCCCTGGAGCTGGGCTGCTTCCAGCCTGCCCTGCTGTGCCAAGTATTGTTGATTCAGGAGCATGTGGTGGCAGTTTTTCCACTGGGAAGGAGAAGCACTGCTGCTTTCTCCCTCCTCTGTCTCGTGGCTTCACTTGGACTTGGGAGCCTCTGCAGCTCTGTTGTAGGGGGACACCCAGCCCTGTGTGAGAAAGCAAGGAGGGAGTTTCCAATTCCCATGGTTTCAGGGTTATTCCTATGCAGCTGAGCTTAAAAATGATAAAAAACCACCAAGCCAACACCTCAAAGAAAAGCTTTTCCACCACTCCCAGCTGCTTTTCCCTGCTCCTGGTGACCTTTGCTCAGCACCACAGGGATGCTCATCCATCTCCTGGTGTTGACCACATGGGCTGCCCTGACCTTGGAATCGATGTTAATCCGCCCACACTCCCCAGGGAAGCGATGTCCTTGGTGGAAGAGGCTGCTCTAATCTTACCCCTTGGTTTTAGCTGTCACGGAGGTGTAGAAGGGTAGTCCATTAACAAGGTCAGTTAATTAACCCAGCTGGTGTGAGCCACGCTGTGCTGTGGGGGCCGGATCAGTCTCCTGCTGGGAATGCTTGTTGCACCTTTTGGGCTGCTGGGATGGTTAATTCCTCTGCAAGTGGAGCAAAAGTCAGGCTAAACTTGTGAAATCCCTTTTTGTCAGCACCTCCAAAGCAGATCCTCTTGGTATGTGTGGGAATGACTTGCTGGAAGGTGTTGAGGGGTCCCTGGTGCCCTGATTCCTTGGGATGTGGCCAGGGAGCAGCCCTTGCCCAGTTCTGTGCTGTTGTGTGTACAAACACGCCGGCGTTCCGGGCTCTGCCTGGCCTGAGAACTGGGGCAGCGTGGCTTAATTGGTGCTTGCTCCCAAGCAGTGCCAATTAAAAGGGCTCAGGCTGTGTCTGAGAGCTTTCCTTCCCTCCCTCCCTCCCTGGTAAACAAGGCTGGAAGGCTGCTCTGGGACCGGCTGCCCAGGGAGGCTCCACCTCCATCCCCCGGGGGTTTCAGGTGCTGCGGGATAAGGTAATGAGCTGCTGGGTCTGGATTTGGCACTAACCCTGCTGTGAGTAGGGGGTGATGGTGGGTTCCTGAGGGTCCCTCTGACCTGCAGGAGCTTGTCCTCATGGATGCTGGCTGTGCTGATTCCAAGCCTCACTGGGGAGCATCCATCACCTCCCCTTCCCCAGCTGCTGGCTCTGCTCTGGGAGAGGTCCCTCCTGCTTGCAGGTTCAGAATGGTTTGGCTTGGAAAGGACCCTAAAGCCCATCTCATTCCAACCTTCTACCATGGGCAGGGACAGTTTCCACTGGTCCAGGTGGCTCCAAGCCCTGGCTTTGAGGTTTTAGAATCTGCTGGCACACCCCAGTCCTGTCCCTTCAGTGCCACTTGCTCCCGTGCTCTGTGTGTTTATGGATTGTTTCCTGGCATTGGGAGGCTCGGGTTGAAACTCCTGCTTTTGGGTCCTCAGTGTGAGACTCCCAAAGTGGGACTGTCCTGGAAAGCCAGGATTTGTGATTTAACAGCTCAGGATAGTGCCTGCTCCCAGAAAAAGTGCATTGCTGGTGTGACTGGTGCTTTGGAGCTGAGGGCACGTGGCAAAGCAGGGTGTGGGGATTTGACAGCTTTTTTTTGGGGTGTCTGCTCAGCCCAGGGAGCTGCAGCATGGATCTGGGAAGAACAAAATCCATCAGCACTGGAAAGCCAGGATTTGTGATTAACACCTCAGGATAGTGCCTGCTGCCAGAAAAAGTGCATTGCTTTTTCATTGCATTGCACACACCAGGTGTGACTGGTGCTTTGGAGCTGAGGGCACGTGGCAAAGCAGGGTGTGGGGATTTGACTGCTTATTTTTGGGGTTCTCCGCTCAGGCTGCTCAGCCCAGGGAGCTGCAGTGTGGATCTGGGAAGAACAAAATCCATCGGCACTGGGGCGAGGGCTCACCTCGTGGCATGTGCTGCTGATCATCATTTTAATTAGCAATATATTCCGGGGGAGAACAAAGGTCTGGCTGGCTGGAGCAGATGGCAGGGGGGGAGAGAGAGGTGGCTGCTGCCTCATTCTGGGCAGGGCACAGGCTGCAGATGCATTCAGAGCCATCTGCTCCGCACGCGCCTCCCCAGGGACAACGCATTCCTGCCGTCCCCTGCCTCTGACCCGGGCCAGCTGTAGCCCTGCCGGGGCTAGGGGACAATGAGGGCCTGACATGGGGATGTGCCACCCTCTTTGTCCCCTCCCGGTGGTGGCTGACCCCGAGCCCCCAGCGCACAAAGGGGAGGGAGGGAGGGGAGGTGGCACGAGCACCCCGGGGCTGCCAGCCCAAAACCCCCTGGGTTTGTTCAGCCTCTTTGGGCTGTTGGGGTTGATGGAGTTGTTGTGGTTTCACAGAATCCCAGAGTGGTTTGGGTTGGGAGGGGAGCTTAAAGCTCATGCCATCCCACCCCCTGGTAGGGACGCCTTCCACCATCCCAGCCTGCTCCAAGCCCTGTCCAGCCTGGCTTTGGATGCTTCCAGGGATGGGACAGCAGCAGCTTGTGTGGCTTTGCTGAAAGTGCTTGAAGTGAGGGGGTCTGGTGCTTGATTAACCTGATTCTATATAAAAGTGTGCATGTTGCTTGTGCACAAAGACTTGGATGCAGAGGATTTGCCTTCTGCATCACTGCCAGGTCCCCCTCAGTGTCCCAGCTGTCCCTGAGGATGAGGATGGGTGGCTGCAGGGGGATATCTCTGGCACCCAAGCCAACCCTCTCTCTGCACAAAGTTTTCTGCATTTTCAGATGGCAATTTCATGGAATCCCAGAATGGTTTGGGTTGGAAGGATCCTTAAAGCCCATCCAGTTCCACCCCCTGCCATGGGCAGGGACACCTTCCACCATCCCAGGCTGCTCCAAGCCCCATCCAGCCTGGCCTTGGGCACTTCCAGGGATCCAGGGACAGCCACAGCTGCTCTGGGCACCCTGTGCCAGGCTTCTGCCGTTGTCTTTATAAAGAACTTCCAGGGATGGGATTTAGTGGCACCTGTTGCCTCAGCTCCTGCTTTTGTCCCTCGTGGGGCATTGTGATGCTGTGGCAGCAAAGGGCCCTTGCCTGGTCCTGCAGCTGAAACGGGAACGGCAGCAGAGCTAAAAAAAGTCCAGTGACTTCATTCAGTTTCCATGGCAACGTTGTAGATTAATGGCTTTTAGCTGTAATCTGAATGAGACGTATTGAACTTTTCTGTGATGCTTTAGAGCCTCTTTATGTCCTGGCTGACTTTGACTCCAAATCCATCAGTCACGTGCAGGCAGGAGTATCCACTTGTACCACTGCAGGAGCAACATCTGCCACTGCTAAACCACAAGTTGATGTTGTGGAGCATCACGTGGGAGTAAATACCCTGGGCTGCTACAAGGGTGGCAGGGATGAGACAACGTGTAGTACATGAGGAAATCACCTTAAATGCTGTACTTGTGCTCCTGGTGCTGCCTGAGCTGATGGGCTGATGCCAGAGGGAGCAGGGTGGTTTAAGACCACCATAGAGTGGGTTTTTTATCCTCTGTTAAGCTCAGTGAAAGGCTTGTTGACAGCATAGCTCTCTCCTGATACAGGGCTGCACTTAGTGGAGGAGGTTTGAATTTGGGTTGGCTGAGTGTGGGGCCAGGGATAACCCAGCTCTATGATCTTCCCTGCATCCCCATCCCCTCAACCATCAACACCTCAAAGAAAAGCAGCATGGTTTGCTCAGAGAGCAAACCTCTCCCTTGATCCCCAGCACCCTGCCAAGCTCTGATCTGTCCCCTCTGCTGGGTCATTTTTGGGGCTTTGGGCATCTCTGGGTTCTCCCCACCAGCGAGCCACACGTGCCAGAACAAGGCAGGATCAAAGAGCCCTGGATTCCCAGCCCAGCCTGCAGGGAGATGAAAGCCTGGCAGCCTTGCTGGAGCCCTGCAGCTCCTTGGCTGCTGATCCCGGAGTCTCTCTCATTCAGGGGATGTCTTGCAATAAATAACTCAGGAGCCTTTTGTTTTCTCCGCAGCACTGGAAGACGCGAGGCAGCGAGGAGTACGAGGCCGAGGGTAAGAGCAGAGAGCAGCACCTGGGTTGCTTGTTTCATTTCAGCTTTGAGGAGGGATCAGGGGAGCACGTGGAGAGGGGCTCTGGGTGTGTGGAGCATCCCAGAGCTTGGGGAGGTGCAGCTGGGGCATCCCCCAAGCTGGGGATGAAAGTTAAGGTGGGGCACATCTTGTGCCGTACCCCCTGTGTCCTCTTCATCCTGCTGTGGGTGTTCCTGTCTCCCTGAGCCCTGTCCTGCTCCCCACTCCTGCCCCGGGGGGCTCTGGCTGTAGTGGAGCCTGGTGGGCACTAGATGTCAGCAGGGACCAGTCATTAAAAGTTCCCTAATTGTCACAGAATTATAAATTCCTGGAATGGTTTGGAAGGGACCTTAAAGCTCATCCAGTCCCATTCCTGGAATGGTTTGGAAGAGAACTTAAAGCTCATCCAGTCCCACCCCTCCATGGGCAGGGACACCTTCTACCATCCCAGGGTGCTCCAAGCCCTGTCCAGCCTGGCCTTGGGCACTGCCAGGGATGGGAAATTTCTCTGGCCAGCCTGTGCCAGTGTTTTACCATCTTCATCATCAAAAAACGTCCTTTTAATTACATCAGCACCTCTCCCGCATTTCAGCTGCTGTCTAACTCCTTCCCCATCCAAAGAGGCCAGCTTTTTTCTCCTAAAGCTGCTTTTCCAGCTCCAGGAGGTGGCCTTGCAGCTCCCCTGATCCCATAATAGCCCAGGGGAGGAGGAGGGGTGCCTTTCCCAACTATGCCAGCAGCTGGGGAAGCTCTGCTGCTCTTCCCTGGCCACCAGCTCATGATGGCCATCAGACTCATCCACATTCCCAAAGATCCTCCTGGCCACAGCCCCAGCTGCTGTGCCTGGTCAGGCATGGGAGTGCCCATCCCTGGAGGGATGAGGAGCTGTGTGGATGTGGCACTTGGGGACATGGATCAGGGGTGGCCTTGGCCGTGCTGGGGAACAGCTGGACTCCATGGCCTTGGAGGTTTTTTCCCAACAATTCCAACACTTGTTCCAGAGGTTTATTTCAGCAATTCCATGATCCTCTGGCCACGAGGCTCCTTCCCCTGGTGGCAAAGTGAGTGAAATGCTGAGCAGAACCTCCTGCCAGAGTCTGATACTGCTGGGACCAGTGTCCACATCCTGAAACCCAAAGTGGGCTCTGAGTAGGATGAACCCAGACAAGTGATCCCTTGGGATCTGCAGAGCTGGGAAGGAGCTCTGCCCACTGCAGCAGCAGCTCCCCTGTGGGGTGCAGAACCCCCAGATCTGCTCCTCACTCCAGACACCGGAGCAATGTCCCCCATTCCAGGACAGCTGCGCTTCTGGAACCCAGACGACCTGAACGCCTCCCCTGGTGCCTCACCGAGCCCAGACTGGATCGAGGAGAAGCTTCAGGAGGTCTGTGAGCACCTGGGCATCACCAGGGACGGCCACCTGAACAGGAAGAAGCTGGTTTCCATCTGTGAGCAGCACGGGCTGCACGCGGCGGCCGGGGAGGTGAGCGACCCACCCCACCACTGCCCCTGCCTGGGCTTAGTGTGGGCCCCCAAAATCCCTCCTGGGCTTCACCACAAGCACAGGTGGATGCTTGGAAAGGGGTTTCCAGCTCCAGCTGCTGGTTCTCCAGCGAGGTTTTTGGTCCCAGACCATCAGGCTGCTGCAGGAGGAGGCACTGCCAGGCTGAGCCGTGGCGTGCGTCTCTCCTCACGCAATCACTGGGGGATCTGGAATTTAAAAGCGTGGCTTGGATTCCAAGCATGTCTCCTTAATCCTGGGAGTTTTCTAGCTAGACAGCAAATATGGGTTAAATATTCATAGGTGGTTGCTTTTGGCTTTGTGAAGGCCTGTGGGTGTTTCTGTCCTGCAGCGAGAGCCCACGAGAAAATGGAATCTTTAACAAAAAAAAAAAGCTCTTGTCAACTTAGGATTTAGTTTTATTAAAAAAGTCAGATTTTTTTTGCATCTTAAGATAACATGGCTTGTATTAATTTCCTCCACAAAACAAGTTCCTGAGCCAGGTATTCCTTTGCAGCATCCACAATGAAATGTTTTCAGGGCATTAAGGCAGAAAATGGAAAAGATAAACTGTAGACAAAGAAATAGTGAGGGACTAATCTGAACATCTCCAGTCCTGCTTTTGAGAGAGCAGCATGTCCTGAAGCATCAAACAGATTTATGATAACCTTGCAGTGTCTTAGGGGTTATTTTTTGCCTGGTCACTTCCAGCTGCTCAGGGTTTGGCATCTGTCTCAGTACCTCAAGCTGAATTCCTGAGGTCACATTGGCTCAGGAGCAGAATGAAATGAGGTGTTTTCTTTTCCTGCTGCCTCATTAAACAGCAGCTCCAAGATGACCAGGAGCTTTTCTTCGTGGTGTATGTGTGCCTGCAGCTTTCCACATGGAAAATATGGAAATGTGCTGGGTTGATGTAGCAGGTAGCTCTTGCTTTGCTCTTTTTGGAGCCTTGGGAATAGAATGTTTGCTCTGTGCCAGATTCTTTCGCCCTTTTACATGATTTCTGTCTCCTTGCAGGTGCTTGAAGAGGTGCTCCATAACCTGGAGCAAGATGGGACCATGAGCATCGAGGATTTCTTTTATGGCTTGTTTAGAAATGGGAAATCTCTCACCCCTTCAGCCTCTACTCCGTACCGGCAGCTGAAACGCCACCTCTCCATGCAGGTGAGGAAGTGAGAGGTGAATCCTGGGGTAAAAGGAGCAGGAGAATTCCTGAACAGTTCCCACCCAGCCTGTCTCCTCCTCTTCCTCAGTGTTTGTCCCTGCAGGGGCAGCTGTGAGGCAGGAGCTGGTGGCACTGAGCTGTGGCATACCCTGCTCCAAAAGCAGATTTCAAATTCTCGCTCAGAAAAAAACTCTTTTGGGGGAGACAAAACACAGAACACCCTCATGGGAAAGGGGACACTGCTCCCCTTTGAAGTTTTGTGGCTTGGAGACAGCTCTGGCAACCTGTGGAGTGCAGTGGTAGAACCTTGTAGAATTCCAGGGGGGTTTGTGTTGGAAGGGACCTTAAAGCTCATGCCATGGGCAGGGGAACCTTCCACTATCCCAGTGTACTCCAAAGTCCATCCAGCCTGGCCTGGAACACTTCCAGGATGGGGCATCCAGTATAAACTGGTGCAGGGGGAAGCACTGCCTGGGATAGGCTGGGGGAATGCAGGTCCCACTTCTCTACTCCAACTTCTGCTTTTTTTCTGAGAGAATTTGAAATCTGCTCTCTGTCTTTGCCTGGAAGCTGAAGGCTCTACCCAAACCACTCTACAAATGCTCCCTGCAGCCGTTTTAGGGAAAGTGACATTCCAAACCAAAAATGAACAGTGGAAAACCCTTCTGGAGCAATGAGGCCAGCTCTGAAACCCTGCTCCTCCTGGGATTTGTTTTAAATCCCGAGTGCCTGCTTGTGCCGTGAGGTCGGCAGCGACGCTCCCACCGGGTTTTGCTCGGCAGCGAGGAAAAACAGAGCTTAATCCTTAATCTCTGGAGCAGTGCCTAGGGAAATTCCATTGATAGAGCCCTGTGGGCACTGCCTTTGCCCTGTCACACCCTCCTCATCATCCTCATCCTCTCTGGCAGTCCTTCGACGAGAGCGGCAGGCGCACGACCACCCCCTCGGCCATGCCCAGCACCATCGGCTTCTCCCTCTTCTCCAGCCTGGATGATGGGATGGGCTATGGCTGTGTGGAGGGGGTCCTGGACTGCTGGCACCAGGAGGGCATAGAGAACAGCCAGGAGATCCTGAAGGTAACCCCCAGCTGCATCCCACCCCTGGTTTTATGTGTATTTCTTTCTCCCTGTGTCGGACGCGGAGTTATTTTTTTCCTTTCCAAAGTCCCTGGTTTTTCCCCTTTTAAAACTTCCCACAGAGGAGCTGTGGTTGTTCTATCCCTGGAAGTGTTCAAGGCCAAGTTGGACACGGCTTGGAGCAGCCTGGACTAGTGGAAGGTGTCCCTGCCCATGGCATGGGGTGGAACTGGATGATCATTAAGGTCTGTTCCAACCCAAACCATTCTATAATTCTAGAAAAATTCCCAGTGCTAGTGACAAGAGTTTTGGGAAATTTCCAATAATTTCCTTTATGGTGCATCCCGTTTTATCACTTTTAATGATAAAAATGCACTCTGATTTCCAGCATAGCTTGAAGAGGTCACCTACATTTGTTAGGAAGCAATTTAATTCCTTTTCTTCCCTGAATAGCTGCACCTGCAAACCTCTCAGCACTGGGGTGACTTGAATTATTGCTTGTGCTGAGGTGGAGCACAGCACTTGAAACCCTGCCCAGTCCTCAGTGTTCCATTAGACAGAGTGAAAGGGTGATGGGGATGAAATCAGGTACCTGAATAAATCCATCCCTGTCCATCTCATTAGAAGCTGTGGGTGGGAGAAGATAATTTCATGTGGCCATCACTGGATTCCCAACAAGATGACTGTGGTTCTTCTGGATTTTAAATATCCATGTAGGTAGAGAAGAGCCAGGCTGGAATAGCCATGGCTCAGGATTTAAAATTCACTCATCACCTTGCACTGTTTGAGAGGGTGGGACCACCTTCACCAGATTTGTGTGGCCACCTTCACTTTGTTGCTTTCCACTGGAAAATTGCTTTGTGCTGGTGTCACTGGGCTGGTTTCTCCAGTGTCTGCAGCGTTTCAGCCCCACCACAAGTGCCTTGCTTTGTGCTCCTGCAGGGTTAGGTTAAATCATTTAGGTTGGAAAAGTCCAGCTGTCAGCTCAGCCCTTGCTCACCACTGAGCCCCATCCCCACGTGCCACATCCATATGGGTTTGGAACACTTCCAGGGAAAGAAAAGGCCTTTCTTCAAGGCTTGGAGCAGCCTGGGATGGTAGAAGGTTTCCCTGCCCATGGCAGGGGTCTGGATGACCTTTAATGCCCCTTCCAACCCAAACCATTCTGGGATTTTACAAAATTCCAAGCTGATGATAACTTGCTTTCTGAGGGGTGGGATCCTCACACCAAATCCCTCCTGCAGGGCTGCCTCTGTGCTGCCTCTGTTTTGTTTGACACGAGCATCCCCAGCCACCTCCTCGCAGCAGCCGATCCCTGCAGAGTCCAGTCTCGTTAGATCCTGCAGGGAATCAGTGCAATTCATCAGTCCTGGCCTTAATTTCCTGTTGGTCTTGCAGCACAACCAGGACACTTCCCCTCTCCACAGCTGGCAGCAGCTCTGTTGGAGGGAGCTGGCAGAGATGTCTGGTTCATTGCCCTCGGGGCGTTTGTGACAGATTAATTAGCCAGCAAAGATCTCTTCTGAGCCTGCTCGTTCTCTCCTGTCAATCCCTGCAGAAATGTCTCCAGGCTCCTGCAGGAAGCTCATTCCACTCAAAGGATTTGTTGTTTCCACAGGCTCTGGACTTCAGCTTGGATGGGAAGGTGAACCTGACGGAGCTGACGCTGGCGCTGGAGAACGAGCTCCTGATCACCAAGAATGGGGTGCACCAGGCAGCCCTGGCCAGCTTCAAAACAGAGATCAGGCACTTGATGTGAGTCACAGGGATGGCTGGAGGTGCTTCCCCCTGCTCTGCTCGGCCAGGCAGGAGCTGAGGGAGCAGCTGAGGTGTGGTGGTGCTCCCAGGGACACTGGGGTGGCACTGGAAGGCTCAGTTCTCTGTTGGAGCACTCAGACTTCCAGCTGTCCTTGTTTTGCCTGGGAAAAACACTGAAACCTCCAAGGATTGCAGAAAAATGTGGTTAAAAATTAAAAATGGAGGCAGCAGGCTGTTCCCAGTCTGGGAGTGGTCACTGCTGTCCACAGTGGTCATTGATGGCCGAGGAATGCACAGCTCAGGGCAGAGGCTGCTGGAGGTTCAGTACCTTTAATCCAAACTGATTTGGGGCATTGCAGAGGTTCTCTCGTGTGATAGATGTGGAGGTGAGGCACAAACCCACTGTAAATCCCAATGTTTTCCCTTTGAAAGTCACCACAGTTTGACTTTGTGCTGGACTCGCTGTGCAGGTTCCTCTATTGAAAAAAGAAGCTACAGGGAGAGCTCAGAGCCCCTTCCAGTGCCATAGGGGCTCCAAGAGAGCTGGAGAGGGACTGGGGACAAGGCATGGAGGGACAGGACACAGGGAATGGCTTCACTGCCAGAGGGCAGGGATGGATGGGAGATTGGGAAGGAATTCCTGGCTGGGAGGGGTGGGGAGGTCCTGGAATAGAATTCCCAGAGCAGCTGTGGCTGCCCCTGGATCTCTGGAAGTGTCCAAGGCCAGTCTGGACAGGGCTTGGAGCAGCCTGGGACAGTGGAAGGTGTCCCTGCCATGGCATGGGCTGGAATCAGAGGGTCTTGAAGGCTCCTTCCAACCCAAACCATTTCAGAATTTGAGCTGGGGAGCTGGACCACAGCTGAGGGTCTCAGGTGTTGAGGTCTCAGAATCTGTGGGGACACCAAGACATGTCCAGAGCTATTTGGGTGCAGGTTCAAATCCAGTGACATCAAATGCAGTTGATGAGACCCTTGGAGATCTTCCCAAGCTTCCTCTCTGATGTTCCAAATCCCCTTTTTGGGGGAGCAGTGGGGGCTGACCTAATGCAGGCTGGCTCTGCTCTGCCCTGCCCAGGGAGAGGTTTGACCAGGTGGCCAGGGAGAAGGAGAAGCTGCGGTCGGACCTGGAAAAGGCAGAGAAGCTGAAATCCCTGATGGCCTCGGAAGTGGACGATCACCACGCCGCCATCGAGCGCCGCAACGAGTACAACCTCAGGTGGGCATCACCCATCCCTCCTCCTGGGCTTGGTGGCCACCCAGCTTCACCCCCAGCAGTATTTGTCACCCTCCTCCTTGTGAGGGTACCAGCTGTGGGTTTCTCTGGGTCTGCTTGAAGGCACTTGAGGCAGTAGTTCATGTTAGGACTCAGGTGTTTATTATTTCTTGTCAGTAAAACTCTCACTGCTGTGAGTTCAGCAGCTTTTCATTAGAAGGCACAAGTTGGCCAACAATCTCTTGTCACAAGGTCTTTTAAGACTAAACTATCCAATTAAGAACTGATGCCTGGATTATTTTCCCTTTTAACCCAATGATTGATCCCAAAGAGCCCCCAGTGTGGACTTTTCTGCCCAATTCCAAAATGCCACCCAAACCCATGGAGAAGAAAGAAGCATGAAGAAGAAACCCAGGATGACACCCTGTGCCCTCCATCTTGCTTCCATCCACAACATACTAAAAATCCCCAAAACCTAAATTTCTCACCAAGTGATACACCTACACTACTGTCTATAATCTATTGCACAGTTTTGTGGATTCTGGTCTATCTTGAAGTCTAGGAAACTTTCTCCATGAATGAGGGTGAAAGTCAGTGCTCCCCTGGGGGCCAGGACACCCCAGAGCAGACAGAGAAATATTCCCAGTGCCTTGGGCTTCCACACTTCCTCTAAGGAGCTCCTGTCCCCCTTGGCAGGAAGCTGGATGAGGAGTACAAGGAGAGAATTGCAGCTCTGAAGAACGAGCTGCGCAGAGAGCGGGAGCAGATCCTGCAGCAGGCCAACAAACAGAGGCTGGAGCTGGAGCAGGAGATTGAGAAGCTGAAAACAGATGAGAACTACATCCGGGACCGCCTGGGCCTGGCCCTGAAGGTAACAGGGACTAAACACAGCCAGGATTTCCCCCCAAAAAGCAGGAATATCCTGGCAGGGGGAGTGATTCGTGCAGTCTGTGTTGAAAGGATGAGTTCTGGGCTGTGTTTAGCTGGTCAGAAGTCACTTAAGCAGCAAGACAGGGGCATGTCCATGAGAATTGGTGTTTGGGGCACCTCAGTGGGTTGTTCCATGGATTCCTAACCTCCAGAGATTTCACATCTCTGCTGCCATCACGTGCAGAGTGTGTGTGTGCACAGCTCTCAGATGAGCTGTCAAGCCAGGAGATAAAACACCTTGATCAAGTTTTAAATCCTCTTTTAAAAACAAACCATCCAAAGCAAACTTGCTGTTAAGCCTTTTGATAATTTATCAAAAGTCCAGTGTTCACATTTGCTGTGGCAGGAGTGGGCTGTGTGTGGATAATAATAATGAATAATTCCTGTCATCACCTGAAGCTTGGAATAGTGTCATGCTGGACTGGGAGTTACCCTTATTTTGATGAGTTAACACATGCTGATTTTTCCTCCTCTGAGTGCTCATCTGCCGTGGGGTTTTTTGTTTGGCCCAGGAAAACAGCCGCCTGGAAAACGAGCTCCTGGAAACAGGAGAAAAACTGGCTGAGTGTGAAAGTCTGGCAAGCAAACTGCAGAGGAACTTGGAAAACGTCCTGGCTGAGAAGGTAAATCCCCCCTTTTCCCAGTGGGGTTTCAGAATGAAATAATTAAGTTGCTACATTCCAGCTGCCAGTTTAACTGATAGCCAGAGGCTTTTGGGGTCTCTATCCAGGCACAGCCTGCCTTGGTGACATGGACTGCCTTCCAGCTAAGGAAAATACAGATATTCCACCTTAGCTGTAATTTTATTCTAATTAAAGCAGGGAACTTTAGAATGAAGCAATCATCCTGCAGATCTGCAGGGATTTTTTTTTTTCCCCCCCCAGCACAGAGTTTTGGATGGGCCCAACTTGCAGGTCCTTTCAGGGAAGGTGATGCAGGAGGAGTGAGGTTTTACATGGCATCACTGCTGGAATTAGGTGAAAATGGAGATGAACAGCTGTTCATGGCTGTATTACATTAAACTTTCAGAATATCAGCTTCTCCAAAGATGTTTAAGTTTGTGCAGCCATAGCCTAGGTTTCATCATTGGGATTTCCAGCCTTCTTTAAAGCTTGGGATTATTCACCACACTGAGATGTGCATATGCTGAGGTAGAAAGCTGTGATCTGGAATCAGAATGAGCATGAGAGCTGTGCTAGGTGGCAGACAGGTTTTTTTTGGGAAAGTTACTCATTCCCTGCTAGGTGGAAAGCAGAGTTTCTTTATTTAAAATAAAAATCCAGAGTGGAGAAGAGGGAGTGCAGGGCTGCTTGGAAGGGTATCCAAGCTGTCCTGAGCAGCAGGGTGGGTGGGTAACTGGATATTCCACTCCTGTGTTGCAGTTTGGTGACCTGGATCCCACCAGTGCAGAGTTTTTCCTGCAGGAGGAGAGGCTGGCCCAGATGAGGAGCGAGTACGAGCAGCAGTGCAGGGTGAGTGGAGCTGACACCTGGCTCCTGTGTCCACAGGAACATCACAGACCCATTTAGGCTGAAAATCCCTCTCAGATGGAGCCCAGCCATTCCCCCTGCACTAAGCATCTCCCCAGGTGCCACATCCTCACTGCAAACAGCAGCAGGAGGCAGGTTGGAAATCTCTTCCCACAGAACCAGCTGGCTGAGCTAGGAGGGTGAGGTGATCCCAGGGTGGGCTGGGAGAGGGTCCATGGAGCCCTGTGAATTCACAGTTGCAGGAACTTAGAGGAGAAATAAGATACATCCACATTTTGCTGGTTTTCAGACCAGAAATATTTTTTTTAAATAAACCTGAGAATAGAAAGTTTGCTTTCTCTTCTGTCTTGTGTACTTAAAAGACTTTAAGGTGAGCCTGCTGGTTTTCTATTTACACATCAACTTTCTGATGTCTGCAGAGGTACCAGCTCATCTGTTGCCCAGAGAAGCTCTGGCTGCCTCTGGATCCCTGTGAGTGTCCAAGGCTGGGCTGGATGGAGCTTGGAGCAGCCTGGGACAGTGGCAGTGGTGGAATGGGATGAGCTTTGGAATCCCTTCCAACCCAAACCATTTTGTGGTTCTGTGATCTGTTCTGCAGGTTTATTTCAATAAAAGGCTGCCTTTGCTGTTGGGTTGGAAACAGCACAGCAGCTCTCTTAGGAAGCTGCAGTTTAAAAGCAAAAATTGTCTAGAAATGGGAGTTGAATCTATACTTCTCAATATGCAGCTGATTTTTCTACTTTTGAGGGTGGCAGATATAAGTCAGCACTCAAGGTTCACTTCCTGGGCCTTTTAGACCTGCAGGATTTTGTGTTTGCACATTCAGGGAGTTGTTTTCCTCAATAACTGCTGTTCCTGGAGTGGAGTGCACAGCTCTTGGCACAAACCCCTGGGATGTTCCTCTGGCAGGCAGGAGGAAGGACCAGATGGTGAATGCAATAATGAGGGGATCTCTTTCCTAATTTGATCTTTTGCTTCTGATTTGATTTTTCAAGGAGGTGGTGTTTGAGGAGGCATTTCCCAAGTGTTTGAAAATGCTACTAAAGCTGCTTTTTAATAAAAGGTCACAGGAAGAAGGAATAAAGGGAAAGCTCCTGGAGCTCCTGTTAACACCTTCACCTTTGAGAACTTGGTATTGTAGAATCCTCAGAGAATCCCAGAACAGTTTGGATTGGAAGGAACCTTAAAATCCATCTTTTTCCACCTCTTGCCATGGGCAGGATCACCTTCCACCATCCCAGGTGGCTCCAAGCCCTGTCCAGCCTGGCCTTGGGCACTTCCAGGGATCCAGGGGCAGCCACAGCTGCTCTGGGAATTCTATTCCAGGACCTCCCCACCCTCCCAGCCAGGAATTCCTTCCCAATCTCCCATCCATCCCTGCCCTCTGCCCTTGTTTGGCTGTGGCACTATGTTTCTTGCCAAGTCTTTGCTATAATTCTCACCTCAGTGTCCTGTGGTGGGACTGGGTCGGTGCTCAGCAGCCTTGGTTGCTTTTCCCTCAGCTTTTTTTGTTGCCCTCTCTCCCAGGAGCTGCAGGACCAGATTGATGAGCTGCACTCAGAGCTGCAGGAGTACCGTGCCCAAGGCAAAGTGCTCAGGCCTGCCCTGAAAAATTCCTTGTCAGAGGAGTTTGACATTGACGTGAAGAGTCATGGCACCAGCGGGATCGAGCCTGACCAAGGTAAAAAATCCCTCCTGTAGGGCTGAGGTCTGGGCTGCAGGTGTTTATAACCTCTTAGAGGTCATTCTGTGAAAACTTTCCCAGTGAGACTTGGTCACCACCTCTGATTTGGTGTTTAATGTTAATTTGGACCATGACTGCTGAACCGAATGTAAAGCTGAAATTGAAGTTTGCAGTTCCTTGGCTGTGCTTGTGATGGGAGTTTGAGAGCTGCCAAACAAATTTAAATTGATGAAGTGATTCTGTTGAGAATTGTATCTATTTATGTATTGTATAATTAATGTTTTTATTGTTATATGAATTATTACTTGATTATTTTTTCTAAAGGACTCGGTTCAGAAGACTGCAACCCATTAAATATGAGCATAGAGGCAGAAATGGCCATTGAGCAGATGAAGGAGCAACACCACAGGGATCTGCATCACCTCAAACAGGAGCTTGAAGACACAGTAAGTGTTGGAATGAGATGGTCTTTAAGGCCCCTTCCCACCCAAACCAATTTGGGATTCTGTGATTCCAGTAAGAAATAAAGCTGAGCTCTTATGCATTCTTTCCAGGGAAATTAATATAAGATGTGCTGAAGTGTAAACCAAAATATTCAGTGGAGTGGATATACAAAACTAGATGGAAATATTGATGAAAATATCCCTGTAGAATATTCTGTGGAAAGTGAATTAATCCATCCCATTTTCCCTCCTGTAGGTGAGCCATTATGAAAAGCAGCTGGATGAGACAAAAGCCCACTGGGAAAAGGAGCAAGAGGATATGAGGCAGAAGTATGCTGAGGAGATGAATGTCATGGAAAAGCAGATCACTGGCCTCAAAAATCAAATAGCAGAGCTGCAGGGCGAGGCAGCAGCGCTCAGAGAGCAGCAGGAGAAGCTCGACTGCAAACACAAGGAGGAGAAAAACAAATTGCAGGTGCATTTTGATGAGGAGAAAGCCAATCTGCAGGAACTGCTGAGGCAGGAGCATGAAGATGATGTCAGGGCCAGACTGGAGCAGGTGAATGAGGAGTTCAGGCAAGAACGGGAGGAGCTGATCCAGAAGAGTGTCTGGGTGGAAGAGAAGATGAGAGCTGTGGTGCAGGCTCTGCAGGAGGAGAAGGGGGAGCTGGAACGGGGCTTCCACGAGCAGCTGAAGAGGCTGGCAGAGGTGCATGCCCTGGAGAAGGAGGAGCTCCAGGAAGAGCTGCTGAGGAAGCACCAGCAGGAGCTGGAGGAGGAAAGGTGAGTGTCACCTTTGTGGGGTGTCACCTCTGGTGGGGACAGTGCTGGAGCGTGGTGACCGGGGTGAACCTAGTGCAGAAACGCTTCCCTGCTGGGGAATTCCAAGTGTCCTGCTCTGTTCCACAGCACTGGGCTGTGCTCTCCAGGGTTTTTTCTCTTCTGACCTTTCTCAAGCAGATCTTTAGGTTCATTTTTAGCTCGCCCAGAGGCAGCAGTTGTGTTAAAGCATAACCAGGCGTGATTAACTCGAGCTCTGTTCAGGATCCCTGTGCTCCACAAATTCTTTTTAAACTCTGGATTTTCAGGGTTCTTTGCTGAAGGAGGAAAGGGGTGGCTGGGATGTGCTTTTAGCCAACATGGAGTGTCAAAAGAAACTGAAGCCACCCTGGGGTGAGGGGGGTGAGAGCATCTGCCCTCCCAAAATCTGAGCACAGGAACTGAAGGGCACGTATTGCACATGAAACCTTTTCTGAGGACATTTCATGAGTTGTTGCACTTTTCCAAGGCAGCTTTTCTTTTTGAGGTTCCACCACATTGCCTCCAATTTAACTTACAGCTCCCAGAAACACCCATCCAATAGTCAGTGGATAAAAAAAAAAAAAAGTACATTTCCAACTTGTTTTATTCAGCCTAAAAAGCCAGTTTAATCTCTGAGGTAGTTTAGTAATATCTTATGTTAACCATGTCTAGGAAAAAAATGGCAAGTGACTATAACAGAAGAGCATCTCATGCAGAAACTCAGTTTTCTGTGGACACACAAACACTTGTGAATAAATATGAAGAAACCTTGCAGAGTCTGGAAGGACGTTACCAGCGAGAGCTGCAGGAGCTTGCTGAGCAGCAGAGAGAGGAGAAATCCCAGTGGGAGTTTGAAAGGGATGAAATTGCTCAGGAGGCTGCTGAAGCCCACGAGCAGCTGAAGGAAAGCTTGGCAAGTGAGAAGGCTGTTTGTTCTGCCCTGAGCCAGGAGAAGGATCTCCTGGAGAAAAACTTCAAGGAAGAAGTGAACAAGCTGGTGTGCGAGAGGGAGCAGCTGGAGAAGGAGCTGAGAGAGCTGAGGAATGCTGCCCAGGAGCAAGAGGAAAAGATGAAGGAGAAAATAAAACAGCTCCAAAATGACCATGAAAAAGAGCTAAAGGAGAAAGATGAACAAATAACCACAGTGGAGCAAAATGGGAAACTGTTTAGGGAAAAGCTGGAGAGACTGGACAGTGAGTATAAGCGAGAGAAAGAAGAGCTCAATTCCAAACTTCTTGCTTTGGAGAGTTTAAACAGAGACATTTGTGAGAGAGCAGAGACAGAAAAGGCTGAGCTGGGTTTGGAAGTCTCAGACCTCCGGGGGAAAATACAGAAATTGCAGTGGGAAACACGGAGTTTTTCTGCCCTGCAGAGCCACTACAGGGTCCTGGAGAGTGAGTATGCAAAAGCCAAGAGCCAGATCGCTGCTTTTCCTGGTGCAGCTCCTCTGGGAGAGGATGGGGATGTTCTCCAACACCTGCAGAAGGTGCACGAGCAGGCAGTGAAGGAGAATGTCAGGATGGCTGCCCAGATCCTGAGGCTGCAGCACCGGCTGGAAGCAGCAGAGCAGGAGCTGCCACCTCCCAGCCCCAGCTGCTCCCAGTCTGGCTCAGAGCCGGAGGAAATAGATCCCACTTTTGAAGGGTTGCCCAGTGATTGTCAAGATGTGGCCGTGGGAGCAGATTTCAGTGTCCTTCCGCCTCTGGAGGCCGACACTACGGACCTGGAAGAAATGTCGGAGATGGATTGGGATTTGGAGGAGGGATGTGTGAAAGCCAGGGCTGGCGGCCACCCTGAGGCACAGGGGTGTTGGATCCAGGGAAGTCAAGCGGCTCTGGATGCTGATGGCAACCAGGATTGTGACAAGAACCTTTCTTGGGTGCCTCTGCTGCCAAAAAAGAGAGATCTGGAGAAAGTTCCCAGGCCAAAAGCGCTGCACAACGATGTCAAACAGCAGAAGGTTCATCTGCCAAATCACAGAATAGCTCCCAAAAATAAAGGGGTTGTTTCTGATGCTTTGAAGATGCAGGTGGAGCTGGAGAGGGCTGAAGAACTGAGTGAAGACTCTCTCGTGCTGGATCACACTCCTGGGGCAGCAAATGGTGACCTGAAGAGCGTAATAGCTCAACTTTGGAAAAGGATGGAAGAGCTGGAAGACAGATCCATGGCACAGGCTGAACTTCTGTCGCTACAAGAAGAAATTCAGATAGAAAATGAGGATCTGAAGGCTGAAGTGATGCAGTTAATTGAAAAGAATGGAGTGCTGGAAGACAAGCTGCGCAGGCTGAGAAGCCTTTGTTGTGAACAAGAAGAAAACGAGGTGGAAAGCGTAAAGTTTGAAGAGGAGAACACCAAATTCCTCGTGGAAGAGAAAGGATTGGAAGATATTAAAGAATCGGAGGATGTCCAAGAACAAGATGCTCAAAGAAAATCAGCTGTGCCCAGTGACACGAGAGGTGGGAAGCTGGAAGAACACCTCACTGCATTCCCGGGCCAGCAGCACAAGGATCCCCAAAGCGCCAGCACCACGACACAAGTGGAAAAAGCAGGAATGAGGGAGCCCAACCCCCAGGTGAAGGAGAACACTGTGGGTCCCCCAGAGGAGAGGAGGGCAGTGACCCAGGGCTTGCAGAGCACGTGCACTGAGCTGCAGCAGAAGGTTGACCTGCTGAGGTAACGTAACGCGGCGTTAGCCACTAACCCAGCGCTGCCCTGGCCGCTCCTTTAACCACCCTAGTTTAACTCTGCTTTAACTCCGAGTAGCAAGCAGTGCCGTGGACTCCTAACTCCTCCAGTCGTGGATAAAAGCCCACTGGAACCAATAACTGTGTGTGACTTACTCCTCTCTGTGCCCACCACCTAAGCAGGAGCACCTGCCGGCTGTCCTGTGTGTGGATGTCACCGTCACCGTGTGTAGCTCGTCCTCCAGCACAAACCCATTGTATTTCCATGTCCAAAATCCATGGTAACACTTTCCAGAGTGCTTTGTAGCTTTTACTAATATTCGCTTCGCTCGGTTTGTTCCCTTCCAGAGCTGAATGTTGCTCGCAAGGCTAAAATTGCTCCTGTTTTTCCCTCAGTATTTCGGTGAACGCTGTAGAATTATGGTAATTTGAAACGCTAAAAGTGCTTCTATTTTTCTCAGTATTTAAGTTAATATTAGAGAATTATAGGGACTTTTTTCCCACTTAGGAACCCCTCAGGGGTGGGGTATGGTAAATATTTTATGAAAGATATATTCATTATATTATATTCATCATAGGTTTTACCTGCTTTTTTAAACTGCTGTATTCCAGCAAGGATTTCTTTTTTTATGCATAAAGTGGTTTAATTATTGTTCAGCACCGGCTTCCTGCAGGAAATTGTTCTTTCAGGTGTCCCACCACGGCTAAGTTATTTCTGTGCAGTCTCCTGAGGACAGAAAAGACACTTCCCAACTGTGCTGTTCCCAGAATTCTGAATTCCAGTTGGGGAAACAGCTCACTCTCCTGGCAATCTGCATATTGTGGTGTTCAGTTGTTATTTCTAGCTTAAGGACTGAAAAATATGTAAAATATTAGTGTGAAACTTTAGGTTTTAACTCACTTGAGCTGCTCAAAAACATGCCCCGAAAGCCCAGGTTTGTTTTTTGGGGTTTTTTTTTTGAAGTTTGTTGTAAAATTTTGGGGTTTTTTCAACAAACTGGGGAGCTCTCCTGCTGAATTCACGTAAAATATAAATACAGCATTTATACATAAAACAAGGCCAATTGTAGCTTTGTTTTTGAAGCATTACAGGTGGCTCTGACTAGTGGGACTTCTCCCTCTCCAGGTGTCCCACAGGAACTGTTCTCACTTGTCTCCTGTCTCTGGCACAGGTGTGAGGCCGAGAAGCTGCGCGAGGAAAACGCCGTCCTGAAAAACGAGGTGACTTTATTAAACGAGGAAGGGAGCGCTTCCAGCCTGAAACTGAGGGAGCTGAATGGGTCCAGGGAAGAAATGAGGTGAGAATTCCACGGGGAATGCAGCCTGTGATGCCTTCAGGCTGTTGTGTGGCTCAGCCACGATGGGTTCATCCCTTCTCTCCAAGCTCCTTCGTGTGTTAGGTGCTGTACAGATCCAAAATGGGGTTATTTCATGGTGCTGTTGGAAATCCAGCAGGTTGACAGGTTGTTCCTCATCCTTTTCCCTGCCCCAGCTTGTCCTGCCCATCCCCAGAGCCAGGCAGGGGTTTAGCTGTAGGCATTGAGGTGACCCAGTAACACGCACAGGACTTAGGAGCTGACCTGACGCAATTATTTGTGCTTCAGCAAAGGCAGGGAGAGGCTCTTATGACAGATTATTCCAGTGGTTGAGTCTTTGGCAAGTGCAGAGCCATCCCTGTTCCTGGGATTATTCTTCCCCTCAAGGAAAGACCCACTTGGGGCACCCTGAGAGGTTGAGCACTTGCCAAGCTGATGCAGAGATGGGATGGTGAGCAATAAATAAATAAATATCCACAACTACCATTTCTGGTGGTGTTTAAAAAAAAAAAAAACCTCATTTTTGGAATCATTAAGGTTGGAAAAGACCTCCAAGATCAAGTCCAGCCATTAACCCAGCAGTGCCCAGGCCACCACTGACCTGTGTCCCCAAGTGCCACATCCACATGGATTTTAAATCCCTCCAGGGGTGGGGACTCCACCACTGCCCTGGGCAGTGAAGAAATCTTTGCTAATACCTAATCTAAACTCCCCTGGCACAACTTGGTGATGTCCCCCAGTGCAATCTTGCAGTTGTGTACATTGATAATTGATTTGGGTGTTAATGAGCTTTCATTTTTCCATAGGCAGAAGATAGAGGCTGTGAGAAAGGAGAAAGTGGCTGTGCAGAAGATGGTGGACAACCTCAAAAAGCAGGTGTGTGGGCTGAGCCCAGAACCTTCTCTGTAGAAATCATCACTGCATCAAAGCTGTTCCTTGAACAGTCACAAAGACAGCAGAAAACGAGCACTTTATACATTTAAACATTTGATAACTGTTTGATTGCCTCTTTGGGGTTGATTTGAGGCTTGCTTGACTTGTTCATAAGACAGAAGCTGTAATTGTCCAGCTTACAGCCTTGAGAGCACTTTCCACAGTCAACCTGGAAAGTTTTTTTTCATAGAAATACAAAGTTTAAACCTTTTGGTTTGTAGTTTTTGTGCAATTCTCTGCAGTAGCCCCTGGGAAATGGAGATTGTGATTCAACCTCTTCTCATTTCCCAGCTGGCTTGGTCTAGGAATGCTGCCAGTTGTATCCATGTGGCTGCCACTTTGATTTTAGGGTGCCTTGTTATAATGGGTGAAATAGAAGGATTAATTACCTTTTACATCCATGTCATCTTGGTATTGCTTAGGACAATTCTTGCTCAGAATAGTCTGTTAGGATAACCCTCAAAATCCACGCCAGCATGGCAAAGAGTGCTGTGTGACTGATATGACTGGTCTCTAATTAAGGCCAATTATGACAAATTATTTGTTTGGAGTCACTGTCAGAGTGAGGGTTGTCAGATCTTTAATCACCTTAATAGAAAGGAAATATCCAAAATCTCATTCCTGGTGTAAAATCACTGCTGTCCCTGCTCAGGTGGCTGATCTGAAGACCAGGAACCAACAGCTGGACTCTGAAAACACAGAACTCAGCCAGAGGAACTCCAAAAACCAAGCAGATGTGCAGGATCTCAATCAACAGCTGGCAAGGGTGCTCAAGCAAAAGGAAAGGGAAGAGGGGAAGTGTACCCTGGAAGAATGGGAGAAGGAGAGGCTGCTGCTGAAAGAGGAGCTGGAAAACTCCAAAATCAAGGTACAGGATTTGGTAGGACTTCAGGGGCTTTGGAATTGGCATCCCTGTCCTGGGATGGGATTTCAAAGCTGAGCTTTGCTAAGTGCTGGCTTAAACACAGCAGCAGCCAAAAGCCAGGAGGGAAAAATGTGCAGGTTTGTCTTGAAAACCCAGCTTAGTGATGATGCCAAATATCTCCCTGCCCTTTCCAGCATGGCTGTTGTTCATGCAGTGCTATCTCAGCTTTATCCAGTGGCTGCAGCATCCTCTGTTTAAACTCTGCTCTGTGAGAGTCTCCTAAATTGAAATCTGAGCCTTTCATGTTTTGCAGTCATCAAATATGGTGTCGTCTTTGGAGATGGATTTGTCAAAAATGAAGGTTCAAGCTCATCTGCTGGAACAGGAGAACCACATCCTCAAGCAGGAGCTGGAGAAGACAAAACAGGTATGGCATGCTGTTGGCCAGAGGAGCTGTGGCTGTCCCTGGATCCCTGGAAGTGTCCAAGCACAGCTTGGAGCAAGCTGGGATAGTGGAAGGTGTCCCTGCTTTTTCCAGAGAAATTGGAACTTGACCTTTAAAGGTCCCTTCCAACCCAAACCCTTCTGGCATTCTGTTTGAGTGCCATCAGATTAATTTGCACCATCTCTTAATGGATGAAAATTAAGAGGTGGAAACAGTTGATTTCTTTAAAGAAAGGACATTCCCTTACATTTATGTATCTCCTCTTGAAAGAGTTTCCAGGTGCAACACACAATTGTTCAAACAAGGTCGGGTTCACTTAGACTTTGCCAAAAGATTTTTGGGGGTAGCGGATCTACAAAGAGAAGCCTTGGTCAAGATAAAGATTTAAAGCTCTAATTAAGGGATAGACAGGGCAAGTGGGATCCACAGGAGAACATTTCCCTCTTTAACTGGAGATAACCCATTTTAGCTCCATTTAAGGAGTCCTGTCAGGGAGAATTCCTGTTGCTAAACCCATCTGGAGATATGGGAGTCTCACAAGGTCTGAGGATAATTTCCTGGAGAGCTCAGTTATCTCCTGTACAAGCACAGTTCAATTGGCTGTAAAAGTATGCTAATAAACACAGATAATGAAGGCTTCAGATGAGTCAGTTCCCTGATTAGGGCTCCACAAAGTCATTTTCTGCACGGTGTAAAACACTCAGTGCTCAGGGTAGATAATGGTCTTAAAAAGCAAAAGCAGCTGAGGCCTATTCAGAAAGGAGTGGATTGTGGCTGGAGTGCAATTACAGGAGCTGGAATGAGGAAAGGCAGTGATAAAGCACTGGGGCAGTTGGGAAAAGGATTGGAAGTCAGCAGTGCAGTGCTTTTCCCTCTGTGTGTTTAACACACGCTGATTTCCGTGGGATATTGTGGAAAAATCCTTCCCTGTGAGGGTGGGGAGGGCCTGGCACAGGCTGTGGAAGTGTCCAAGGACACCTTGGGGCAACCTGGGATAGTGGGAGGTGTCCCTGCTTATTCCAGAGGGGGGTTGGAATGTGACCTTCAAAGGTCCCTTCCAACCCAAACCATTTTCATCCCCTGATTTTCATGCCCAATTCTGTGACAGCACAAAAATGGAACTCTGAGGGGTTTGTTTCCCACAGCTGCCCAGATGTCCTGATCTTGCTGACCTTCAAAATGAAGTTTCAAGTTTAATCACTAAAAATGAAAAGCTGCAGAAAGAGAAAGAAGCCCTGAGTGAGGAACTGAACAGATGCATTGATAAGGTAAGAGAGGACTGCAAATCCTCATCACTATGTGCTGTAAGAGGCTGTTAAAATTCCTATATCTGTATCACCACAACCTATAAAACTTCTCTGGATGCTTCTTCCCTTACCCTCAAGCCAGATAACTGCTTTATTGCCACTGCCTGGATTTTTTTTTTCCTAGCTGGTCTTAGAGAGGAAAGCTTCAATTCTGGAGCACGGCTTGACTGTAATTTGATGATGTAGAAAATTCCAAACGTTGCAAGGAAGAGAGGCCTGGATATAAATACTGCAGCAGGACAAGGGAGACAGTGTTCTTGGACTTTTATTGCATCTCTAACCTACTGTAACTCTGAACTGGAGCAGAGCAGTCTGCACACTGTAAATAATAATCCCATTGTGTGGAAATTTAGGGAGCTGAGGGGCTTTTTGCTGTCCTGCATTTTCCTTCTTTCCTGAGCTTTAACTCCCTCTAGGGTAACCCTTGAAGTGAAATGGAGTCAAAAACAAATTCCTGAGTGAGGATTCCTGGTGTGATCTCATTGCAGGTGGCTCAAGTCAGCTGCCTGGAGAATGCAATTGGCAGCTTGAAGCAGGAGCAGAAATCCTGGGAGCAGCAGAGTCAGGCACTGAAAGCACAGCTCAGCCTCTCCCAGGACAAGGTAGGAAACACTGATTTGTGTTCTAACCCTGACAAAGGCAGTTTGATCATCTTCTGTAGTGTTTTTTCTCATGAAAGCCCCTCCTGATGCCATGCAGCTGAGAATGGCTGCTTGAGGGGCTTTCAAAGTGAAGTTCTTAAAGGATAAAAGGAAACTTGTTTAACACAGGGAGGGATTTTTCTCTCTACAGCCAAGTCACTTTTGCCAGTTCTCTGTCTGGTGATTCCTAAAATGCTGCAGAGACTCTGCTGTTGCTCCTCTGTCCTGGTGCAGGCTCATCCTTCCCCAGAAAGGGATGGGATCAAGTGGTTCCCTGCTTGGCTGAGCATTCCTGGAGTAGGAAGAATTCCTGCCAGGAAGAATAAACAATTCAAGGGAAAGCTTCTTAACAGATATCTCAGGAAATGCTCAGGGCTGGAAGATGTTTCTGGTGAATGCAGCATTGTGGCTCTATTCAAAGTGGGTGGCTGTGAGCTTGGAACAGAAAATTGGAAAATCATTTGGAATTATGGAGTTTTAAGGATAGAAAATCCCTATAAAATAGTCCAAGCATTCCCCCAGCACTGCCCAGGCCACCACTGACCCGTGCCACATCCACCCAGCTTTTAAATCCCTTCAGGGATGGGGACTGCACCACTGCCCTGGGCAGCTGTGCCTATGCTCAAAAATCCTTTCCATGAGGAAATTTTCCCTAATATCCAATCTGAACCTCCTCTGACACACCCTGAGGCTGTTTCCTCATCCTGTCCCTTGTTCCCTGTGAGCAGAGCCTGACCCCTGTCAGGGACTTGTAGAGAGCAATAAACTCAATTAAACATTTTCAAAGGAGGAAATCAACATTTTAAACTTCACTCCTCCTATCAGAAATCCTAAATACCTGGGCTACTTGATCCACACAGGGGAGCTTGATCCACAAAAGCCAAGCTGTGCTCCTGCTCTTTCCAGGTTCAGAGCCTCAATGAAACTCTGCAGAGCACCAACCTCCAAATGTCCCGGCTGAAATCCGACCTGCAGCTGACACAGCAGGAGAAGGAAAGCCTGAAACAAGAAGTGATGGCATTGCACAAGCAGCTGCAGCACAGCAGTGACAAGGTAAAGGCTTCAGGCATCTCAGGAGGTTGCTGTGATTCTTGTGGATTGGATATAATGTGCAGGTTTTAAGCTGTTTTGTAAAAATTGTATTTTAAGTGTTGAACGTGGACAGGCAATGACCAGTCTCTGAGTCTCCATTCTTCCCTAAAAGAAACCTTTTGCCAATAAAACCCCCAAAGCTATGGACAATGCATTAATTTGCACCTATCAACTCTAAAAATTAAACCAGTCATTTGCAGAGGATCTAATTTTCAGTGCAGCTTGGGTTTGAAAGGTACAGAATTACCCCAACCTCTCAGCTAATGAGGATTTGTAACTGAAGGAGGCTGTAGACAGCAGTCCTGGGATTGCTGTTAGGAATTCAGTTACCAAGCTGGCTTGTTTGCCATGCAATTAAGGAATATTTAATGTCCACATGGAAAAGAGGCTGTTTCAGAATTGTACAACAAGAGCTAAATTACAGCTATTAGTACATAATATATAATACTGAGTTCTGTTTGGCTCTAAAGAGAGCATAAATTGCTTTTTTTGTGTTGCTGAACTCTTGTGCACACGGCTATTATCCATGATTTTACTAGAGGGAAGCACTTGGGATTTGCACATTGGATTTCTTAAGGGAAAACAGTGAGTGGGCTGGGAGGGAGATGGGAATGCTGCAACTTTGGAGCCTGCACTTACTGAAAATCCACCTAAAACCCACCTGAATAGAGCAAATGTCTGCTTCTTTGTTGAAGGCCTAACCCTGCAATTCTGTCTGTCTTAAGAACCGGGTTCTGGAAGTGGCTGTGCCTCCCTCAGGGCTGCAGGACCAGCAGGGGCCCATCCACTGGGATGAGCAGGAGCAGAGGCTGCTCAGGCAGGACAACGAGAGGCTGCAGAGGGAAGTGCAGAGCACAAAAACAGACCTGGCTCACTCCAGGGAAAAGGTAACCTGGGCAGGCTGGCAGATCACAGGAGGGCTGGGCTGGGAGCTCTGGAGGTCACTCAGAACCCTTTGCACAGATCACAACCCAAGCAGGGTTTGAATATCTGCAGAGAATGAGACTCCACAACACTCTCAGGATATTTCTTTTCTTTAAAAGACAATCCTGGTAATTCTTGTCCAAGATTTCAGTCCAACTCCAAGTTAACAAAAAGTTTCTTAGTATTCCTAATGCTCTTCTTGTGGAATTTCTTAGCTCACAGTATTAAGTGGATTATGGGGAGGACAAAGGGAAAGAAGGCCAAGATGTCAAAAATAACCCAGAGTTGCCCAGAGAAGCTGTGGCTGCCCTTTGATCCCTGGAAATGTCCAAGGCTAGCTTGGACAGAACTTGGAGCAGCCTGGGATAGTGGGAGGTGTCCCTGCCATGGCAGGGGTGGGATGGGTTGGGATTTAAAGGTATTTCCAACCCAAACCATTCTGGTATTCCAAAATCAACTGGTATTTTAGATAAACAGGAACTCTCTGGAACACCTTTTCCCATTTGTTCATCTCTGATCTCCTCAGATCCGACAGCTGGAATCCACAATCCTTTCCCTAAAGCACCAAAAGCATCAGAGCCAGGCAGGGATTGTCAAAGCCATAGAGCAGGAGAAGCTGAGCTTGAAGAGAGAGTGTGAGCAGCTTCAGAAGGAGTTGTCATCTGCAAACAGGAAGGTGAGTTTTGGGTGGCAAACACACAAATCAGTGCAGTAGTTTCCATCTCTCAGAAGCTCAAGGGATAAGCTGTGTTTGAAGTGTTGAACGTGGACTGGCAATGATCAGTCCCTCCCCTGAGTCTCCATTCTTCCCTAAAAGAAACATTTTGCCAACAAAACCCCCAGATCTGTGGACAATGCATTAATTTGCACCTATCAACTGTAAAAATTAAACCAGTCCTTGACAGAGGATCTAATTTTCAGTGCAACTTGGGTTTGAAAGGTACAGAATTACACCAGCCTCCCAGCTAAGATAACTTTCTTCTTCTGCTCTGAATTTTGTGCTCTTGGCCTCCCACAAATCTGTGTCTGAAGGAGCTCTCAGGGCTCTGTGCATCTGCTGTGAGACAGCTCGTGTAGCAAAGCACTTGTCCACATACTCCTGGTTTTTAGACTTGAGTTGTCTTGGTATCCAGTGGTTCATGAGAGGGGGAAAAACCAGATAAAATGAGAAATTGCTGCTTTTCTAAGGAAACTTTTTGTCTCTGACAGATCAGTCAGATGAATTCTCTTGAACGTGAACTGGAAACCAGCTCAGAAAATGAAGGGCTGAGAAAAAAGCAAGTCAAGCTGGATGATCAGTTAATGGAGGTACTTTGCAATCAGTGGGCCTTTATCCCTTTTATTAATTTTATTTTAAAACAACTTATGGAAGTGTAGCAACAGAAAATTAATTGAAGCTGGAAGAATTAACCTCTCCTCTTTCATTTCTGAAGCATGTTTTGTTTAGTCATAATTCACATATGCCTTCAGATAGAAAATCAAATAGCAAAGAAATTTGTTTCTGTACTTGAGGCAAGGCTGACACTTCCCTTTTCCTTCCTAAAACATGTCACCTCAAATTTCCTATCTAATATTTGTGTGATGCTGCTCTTAGTGTAGAAACCTCTTCTTATTTCCTCTGTGAATAATTTGCTGAATTTAAGCTTAATTTTATCTAAATAGTGAAAAAATAGCAATTTACACAGCTTACTGTTAATTTAAAGGCACAAGTGAAAACTTTAGTGGAGATTCTTCCAAAAGCTGCTGTAAAAGTTCTGCTGGAGATGGATCATCAAAGTTTAGGAGTCCTTGGTTATAGGAATGGGCAATTTAACTAAATTGTGTTTAGTGCATCCCATAAGGTCAGCCCAGACCTCCAAGCTCTCTCTCAGTAGTCTTGCCTAAATTTGATGTCCTGGATTTGAGTTTAAAACATAATAATAAAAAATAACCCCTGCAATTTTGACTTGTTCCATAAGTTAAAGCATCTTTTAGATGAGACTTCTATAACACTTCATAAATGGCTTCATGTTTCTCATCAAATGGGAGCCATTAGGCTGAAAATCCTATGTAATTGTAATAAAACTGTAAAAACCTAATTAGGAAAGATGAGATTTTGACAAGTTAATGAAAAGACTGTTTATACTCCCTGTGAATTTATTTATATAGTCTTAATTAAGCCTTGGGAAAATGCCAAACACTTAAACCCATAACCACCCAGCCTGGGATTGCCTTTTCTCCTGAAATGTGTATTTCAACCACGCAGGATTTTGTTCCTCCTGGTAACCTTTTCTCAGCAGGTGTGTACAACATTCACTCAGTGATTTGTGACTCCTAACTCTCTCTTTTGTGCCTGTTCTCCTTTTGTCCATGGCTAACCTGGCTAGAACTCAGTGGTTGGAGCTAGCAGAGAAGGGGGCAGTTCTCTCTCTGAAATAGTGTGTGAAGGTAGAGCAATCATTTTTCATGTACCCCCATAGCATGGAGAAAACACTCCTTCATATTTTTTTTTAATGGATTTATTTTCTTTTTATTCCATGCATCTCTCAAGTAAAGAAGCCACTATTCATTTCAGTGTCAATTTTGGACAGGTTCTTTGTGCTCTGTGTTGTGCAGTGTGGATCTGTACCCCGAGGAGCTGCCATGTTCCTAAGGGGTTGCCATGAAAGTGGGGAGAAATCACCCCATTGCTCCCAAAAGAATTAAAATTGGAAGTGGGAGAATGAAAAGTGGCTTCCTGCTACCCCACTGCCTGTGAGGCTTCAAGGTGTTTGCATATTTACCTCTGGTGCCTGCATGCTTTTCCACCAGACTGTCCAGTGTTTCCTCAAATTAATTAATTTCTGATCCCACTTGGCATCATCCTGGTAGTTTAGCAAGCTCATGATTGTTCCATTTTCTTCCACAGATGAATACAGCAGGGCTTTATTGTTTTCATTGTTGTTTCATTAGTAATTATTTTTAAGATGCTGTTAACACTAATTGACTGTTTCCTCATTAGTTACTCGTGTGCTTCACAACAAGACAGGAACCTGAAAGAAATCCCACCAACAGCTCATTATTTTCACTGTTTATATTGTCAGGAAAAGAACAGCTCCTTTACAAAGAGAACCCCTAAATAGCTTTAAAAAGCACAAATAGTTTTATTTTGAAGTATTTATAAATCTATTTTCCGTTTACCTGGACCAGCAGAGATAGGGATGGTAACAGAAGAGCTGCACCATTGTGAAAAATATTTACAGTTAGAGATGAAGTCAGTAACTGAAATATGATCCAAATTGATAATTTTGCCAGTGGTGAAAGGGAATTAAAATCAGTTGTGAAAGGAGAACTAAAATCACCAAGATAATCTTATACACCTTTTCCTGAGGGAACAGAGTAATGGTTTTAAGGCAACAGGATTTTATGGGAAGAAATTATTAATGCTACACAAATTCCAGCTGCAAATGAGTTTGTCTGAACCATCAGGGATTTTTACTGTCCAGTTCTGGTCCTTTTCAGGATAATTAACTCTTCCAACTGTAAGTTACTTACCTGGGTTTTGCTTTAGTCTGGATAAATTCTAAATTATTTCACCTGACTGTCTTAGCTCTGAATGTCTCCACAGTTAGGTGTGAATAAGAGGGAATATCTATAGGGTGTTATATACTGAATTTTGAAGGTAATAGCAGAGATAAATGTTCACTCTCCACCCTAAAGACTAGAAATAATTAGCACAATTAATAATCAGCACAACTAATAATCAGCACAACTTCAGCCTTCCCCTTGAAGTGGGAATATGGGAAAATATTGGTACCAACTAAAATTTATAGGAATTCATCAAAAATTCAGTGATTTTCTAATTCAGGCCTGAAATGATGACTCAAAGCCCAGCTTCCTTTGTGTGAAATCCCATCTTTTGTCACCTTCTGTCACCGAGCGCAGGCTCGTTCCTCTTGCCCGCCAGGAATCCTGGAGCAGCCCAGGCAGGAGGGAGCAGGTGCTGATGTTGGGATTTTGGGCTTTTGCAGATGCTCCAGTCCGGGGGGATGCGTAGCCAGAGCTCCCAGCAGCAAGGCTGTGCCACGGTGCCCAGGGAACAATTCCTGCAGCTCCAGCAGCAGCTGCTGCAGGCAGAGAGGAGGAGTCAGCACCTCCAGGAAGAGCTCGAGAGCAGACCCTCGGGGACAAACATGCAGCAGGTAAGGTCCCCCCACCTTGAAAGTGCAAAATCTTTAAGTATTTGGTTGAGTTGTCTTGGATTTTTGGTGGTTTTTTTAATTCTGGTGAGATCCGTTCTCTGTTTATGCCAGTTCAAAAATGAAATTTCAGGGCAGCAAGGGGATGTGTGAAAATGCTGTTTGGTGTGGTTAGGTGAGCCAGAGCTTTGTTCTCAAGGGCTCTTCATTTTTTTTGAGATCAAACCACATTTAACTGGCTTTTTTCCTTCTGCTCCATGTGCAGTAAGTGTTTATAGAAGCTTTTTTTTTTTGTTTCTTTACCCAATGACTGTGTCTGGAACTGTTATTTGTAAAATACACCACACCAAATATTGCACAGGCATCCATCACATAAAATCCTAAATTGGGCTGTGGCTGTCACATGGGGTTGTGTCAGTGGTAGCAGAGCAGAACACAAATTAATCCTTTTTCTAAAGGTTTTTCCTAATCCTTTTTCTTCCTGATTTGGCCATGAGACAAGACACTGTTACTGTTGTGCAGAAACTTCAACATTGGCATTTCTGAGGGAAAACCAATTCCAAGGAAGATTAATTCATCCACTGACTTTTAGTGTTAACTATTTACCATGTAAAACTGAATTCTAGGCAATAGAGAGGTTTGTATCTGCCCTATAAAAATTGCCAAATGATCCTTTTCTTCAAAATAATTGGCTCTCTAAATCTCTAAAGCTTTGGCCAAATAATGTCTTAAATTAATATTAAAACTTTACCTTATAAGAAAAGATGAAGCTCTAAGTAACCTAAATGTATATTTAGTATTTTATCTATTTTAGCTTAGATATTTACTTAGATTTACACTTAGATAAATAAATTAGATAAAATACTATTAGCTATTTATTCATCTGATAGCAGGAAAAAAATACCCCTCTTGTATTTTAAATTTAGATTGCAGTTATACTTTAAAAGAATAACTTAAAATAATAATAATACCAAGACTTTGAAGTATAAAAATCTCTGGATGTGGTAATAAGTATTCCAGACAAAAAGGTATTACAGAGAGAGCATAGGCAGTAACCAGTTTTTAAAGTATCCAAAACTTGGAGTAATTTTTTTTTTTAAAGAAAGGTATAAAATCAAAATGTTTCATGAAAAAAGAAAAGCAAATAGTTTCAGGTTAAGTAGAAATAAATTGATTGTAACGTTCCTTTTCATAAGTGCATCACCACAGGCTGATGTACTTGTTCCCATACCGTGGGGAGCAAAATGTGCAGTTGAATTTAAAAATCAATCAAAGCCATATTGCAGCAGTGGCAAAATGAATGTGCAGGGATTGCATTAGGAGTGATGAGTTTGTAATTTAGATTTTGGAACAATCTGCAAACGAGTCACATCCTGGAACTTGCAGTTCTAGAGAAGAATTGCTTCTGCATTTCCTGGAAAAGCTTTGTGAATTTAAAAATACTTAGACTTGAAAAATATGTGCTGTCAATGCACTAATGCACTTAATCCTTTTAATTTTTTTCCTTAAAATGAGTGGATATTCTGGTTTATAACACCCCTTTTCTACTACATAATTTTAAAATCATTATTAAAAACCTGCACTTGTAAAGAAATCCAAATTTATTTGTCTCCACTTTGTCAGCACCTCCTGCTTGAATCTAAACGAGTCACATCCTGGAACTTGCAGTTCTAGAGAAGAATTGCTTCTGCATTTCCTGGAAAAGCTTTGTGAATTTAAAAATACTTAGACTTGAAAAATATGTGCTGTCAATGCACTAATGCACTTAATCCTTTTAATTTTTTTCCTTAAAATGAGTGGATATTCTGGTTTATAACACCCCTTTTCTACTACATAATTTTAAAATCATTATTAAAAACCTGCACTTGTAAAGAAATCCAAATTTATTTGTCTCCACTTTGTCAGCAGCTCCTGCTTGAATCTCTGTTGATTTTTCTTTGCCATCCTGATTTTTAGGGTCTGACATTTAGTTGAGCTCATGTCCCTTTCAATGTCCCCTTTAGCAGCCTGAAAACTTCCATGCTAATCCCTCTCCACCATCCTTTCACCAGTGAGTACAAGGTCAGGTTATCTCAGTGTGTGAAATTAATCATTTAGTTCTGCTGCTTTGCATTTTGCAGCTTTTTAGATCCTGTGCAATGAGGAATCCAAAGTTATCCCCTTTTTTTTTTAATGGAATTACTGTGTTTATCCTGCTTTGCAGTTGTCATTGCCTTTTGATCCTGCTTGTCTGTGGTTTTTCATTCATTTTGCAGTCAGTCCTGAGTTATTTTCACCCAAAGGCTGCTGTTACATGTTTAAATTTCACTAAATTAAATTAAATTATAACTCCTGAGCTGTTTGTACTGTGTTAACCTGTCTGGACTCTTCTGAATTTCCAATGATTGTTTCTGCTGTGTCCAGTGCTGAGATTACCTCATATCCCCTTCTCAATAACCAAATTGGGGAGTCTGTTAATTACCCAATATTTCCCAAAGCTTGCCTAGCACTGATTAATATTTGAGTTGCTCAGTTCCCCCTTTGTACAGCTCTTTATTTCAAATTTCATATCACCTCTGACCAGCTGCTTGTTCACTCTGAGGGAAAAACAACAAGATTTGAGACAGAAATGCAAAGTTTTCAAAGGAGGGCCCCTTTGGCTATATTTTTTTCCCAAATGCTTGGCAATCTATAAGCTTTTATATATTTTTTTAAATAAATATCTATTATATTTATATATAGTGTTTGAATACATTTTTCCCAAATGCTTGGCAATCTACGAGATTTTATGTATATTTTTAAAAATATGTATCTATTATATTAATATGCAATGTTTGGATACATTTTTCCTAAATGCTTGGCAATATGTGAGGTTTTAGATATATATTCTACATATATTCATATATTATATATATATATATATATAGATATATATTGTACGTATACATATATTGAAATATATATATCCAGACATTATATATAAATATATATTTATATATATGTAATGTCTGGATACATTTTTCCCAAGTGCTTGGCAATCTGTGAGTTTATATATATATGTTATATGAGATTTTCATGCTATAAATGAGATTTTTAAAGCGAGAGAGGAGGATTTCCTCTAAAAAACTTTACCAACTTAATCACTGCCACTGATCTTTTAAAAACCAGGGATGAGAGTCCTTAGATGTATAAAATACCCCCTCGATCTCCCAGCTGTGTAGTGCTGATATTAAAACTTACAGCTATAAAATAGAAGATACTCTGCATGTTTTTTTTTCCTCTGTGTGTATTTTTTTTTTCTTTTGTCCTGTGTTGCTTGCTTTGCTTGTACGGGTGATTTTTTTGGCTTTGAAGTGTTCATGTTTTGAAGCAGAAGCTGGATCTCAGGGTGAAGTATTCCCACTTCCCTTCTTTCTCCAGGCCTTGCTACCGGAGCAGCGAGCAGTGCATGCAGATTCCTACCGGAGGATTGGGCACCTCTGACACCTCTGCCTGCTTTTGATCCCCTTCCTTTTCCATGACAAACACACAAAAACACAGAACTGGCATAAGCTGAGAAACTTGAGGATCAAATGCTTATTTTTTTTTTCCTTTTTTGTCCCAAAAAAACCAGCAAAAAAAGTCTCCGCAGTGTTATTTTCTTATTTATTTGTCTAGAAGCTATTTTGTGAAAGCTCAAAAGCTTCCAGAAGCTTTTTAAAATTTGTTACAAACGGGTTTTATTTATGTTATTTAAAATGTGCAGTTGTTCAGTATGGGAAAGAGCCTATTTTTCTCAAATGGTACTAATTTTATATGAGATTTGAAGAAAACCTGGGGTATTTATACTGCATTTTTGTATAAGATGTATAAACTTTTTAACAGGGAAAGATGACTTTTTTGATGTAAATGAAAAATAAAATCTTTTTTTAAGCATAATGTCTCTTGTCTTCATAGAAATCAATAATTTCCACTTCAAGAATTAGCAAGTTTTAGACAAAAATATTTATCTTTGATAGTGAACGTTGTTATAGCAGGACTTTTGGGGAATATTTGTGGTGGGGATGTACTAGAGTACAGAAACTCAGCTTTTCTTTAGCAGATGTACCTGAAAATTTAAGAAAATGAGAGATCTACTGCTGTGGCCATAAAGTAAAAAGGGAATATTATTGTTTATTGGACAAAATTCTGTAGTTTTTATTTTGTCTCAAAGTAGGATTTTAATAAAATTTAATTCATTAATTAGGATTTAATGAATTTATTAAATCCTAATTTAATTAAATTAGGATTTTAATACTTCAGTAGTTCAGCAAAACTCCTCTTTAAGGTCTGTGATTTTTCTTGTTGGAGCCCTGAACCATTTCAGCTGTTTGCTTGTAAAGATCTTTTTCTCCTATTTTTAATGACCTTAAAGCTGCTGCCTGAGCTGACTTCTCCCATTTAACATGAAATAATGGGAAGTGAGAATATTTAAGGTAAAAAAAACCCCAGGGATCACAGGTATTGAGAGTTCTCTAATTCTTCTTTTCCACATAATTACTCACTCAGGGCTCCTACAACCAGTGGAAAGTGGAATAGCCAATTCCAGGGTTTTGAATTGCAATCAAATTCCATTAATTCAGAAAAATATCCACTCCACCCACACAGTAAAACTGTTTTCTGTGTAACCCTAATATAGGATTTTTCATAAAAATAGATTATCACATAACCTCATACACAGATTTGAATTTCTGGTGCTACAGCAAATAAAATGTTGAATAAACAAGTTAAATAAATAAAATCAACCTCCCAAGGGGATAATTTTGTAGGGTTTTAGATGAAGAACTTCCTACCTGAAGCAGATTTTCATTTATCCTCCTCCACAGGTGGGATGGGCTTGGGTTTGAAGGTGTTTTGTTTTGGGTTGGTGCTTTCTCAAACTTTAATCTCCTCAAATGACTGCCTAGAATGTTGAGTAACAAACCAACATTAAAATAAGTCTCAATTTTCCTGCAGTTGCTTCTAAAGTTCTTAAATCCAAACAAGTTCTTTTGTAATTCCTGATGTTTCTTATTTATTTGGGAAAATTTCCCTCAGGTGTTTGTGTAACATGACACAGAATTATGATGGTTTTAGTTACACTGTCACCTTGCTGAAGAAAAAGAAGAAAAACCAGTTTAGGGTTATGAAAACTAATCTAAAAAGATGGAGAAAATGAAGTTTGGAATTCTACTTCTTTTGGATGTTGGTCTCTGGCATGGGAGAGTTACATTGTCAAACGTGACCTTATGACTTCACCTTTTTTTTATTCTAAAAGCATTAAATTGGCATTTTGTTTCCCACATTCACCAGAAATTTGGCAGCACCAAAGAACAAGAAAGGGAAATTATCCAGCTCTGTTACAAAGATTTAGTTCTGGATTTTATATATGTAATTTTTCCTTGATTTGGTAATTTCAAGTGTAACTTGCTTGGAAAACCAAGCTGAGTGACCTTTAAGTGCTGCCATAATATTTTGCTTCAATTAAAGGTTTATCAATTTAATTGCCTCTAAATCAGACTGAAATGTGGAAGGCCACCTATTTTTCTTGAGCATAAACTGGAAAAACAAAACAGGCTGGTGAATGGGAACTGATTTTTAACTGATTTTCACATAAATGTTGCTTTCCAGGGGGGTCATGAGCAGCTTCTAAAAATGATGGAAGAGAGGATGATGGATGTGGAGCAGAAATTAAGGCTTGTGAAGAGGCTTCTCCAAGACAAAGTAAATCAGCTGAAAGAACAAGTAAGTGCTCTTGGATTTCCTCAAACCTTCCCCATTCCTTCTGTAAACCCCTAAGTGGGAAAAAGCTGTCAAGGTGTTGTTCAGAATAAAGTTAAAAGTGGTTTTATTTAATGCTTCTGAGCTCAACTACAGCATGTTTGCCCAAAACTTCATAAAACTCCAAATTGGGGACTGAATCCACTACTCACCAATTTCCTAAATCAAGAAACAAAAATCAAATTTCAGTTGAGGATGCTAACTGGAAAAGTTGCTTAGAAAAAGAGGAAAAAATAATTTCTTGAGGAGAAAATACTGATTTCTTTGAGGCCTCCTGCCCCAAATTCATCTTTTGTTTGATGTGGTTTTGGGGTTTTTGGAAGTGTCTCTGTGGGATCACTGGGCTTGTGGATTCTTTTGTGCACTAAATTTATCCTTAGAGGATAAATGCTGTAAAGCAGAATTCACCTGACCAGGTTCATTTGAATCCCTCTGCTACCCACCCCATCTCCTTAAAAAACCTTTCCAGTCTCAAAACGTCCACGGCATCTCTAAAGACCCTGGGGTTTTTAATGGAGGAGCGGGGTTTTACTTTGATATTTTTGTTATAATTAACACATTCAGCTAGTTCCCCACCTCCCTGGGAGTTTTTCCTTGCCATTTGCTGAGTGCCTGTGTCCATTGCCACCCCAGCTTTCCAAGAACACCAAGGCAGACGCCATGGTCAAGGATCTCTACGTGGAGAACGCGCAGCTGCTGAAGGCTCTGGAGGTGACAGAGCAGAGGCAGAAAACTGCAGAGAGGAAGAATTATTTGCTGGAAGAGAAAATTGCCAACCTCAACAGAATAGTGAAGAACTTGGCCTCCCCCTCCTTCAGCCCAGCAGCAGAGATCAGGTCGTAGCAAAGCTGTTGTGTGTCACAGCCCCGTGCACTTTACTGAAATGGGAATATTTCAGCTTCTCACTGCGTTGCCTTTTTTTTACTGAATGTGTTTTAGTTACAAATGCCTCCCCCAGAGAGCACAGAGCTGATTCCCAAAATGGACACTACCCTAGGAGAATTTTGTTGGTTCCCAAGCTGGGTTTCTGCTAAGTTTTGCCTGAAAATAATCATCACCATGTGAAAAAGCCCCACACTTATGTTTTTCTAGGTTAACCTATTTTCATTATCTGACTTCCATTTAAAATCCAAATTCTGAATTTCCTGTTCTGGATCATCTAGATTGAAGCAAAGGCCTGAAGTAAACTCAGATTGTTGAACTGAAAAGAATATTTTCAGCTTTCTAAAATAGCTCCAAACCTAGAAATGCTGATGGGTCGGTCTTCAACACTGTCAACAAAAATGTTATTGAAGGCAAGACTTTGCTGGTGTGGGCTGTGTCCTGTAAACTGATTCTGGTTTCTCTAAAGCAATTATGCATTAGACTTCTGGGTTGTTCTTCATGGCTGTTTCTCTGCAGAGCTCAGAGAAAAAGAGGTTTATTTAAAATACAGAACTAGACTACTGCCTCCAACTAAGTGTGACAGTATTTCATCTGAAGAAATTTCCCAGCTAGCAAATAAAGACTATTATTTCCTTTTTTTGTTTTAAGCTGTGCTGCCAGACAACTGAATTATAGATGCCTTACTGGTTTTGTATATGGAAATAAGTCAAACCAAGGAAGAGTCACTCAACAGAAGCAAAGATGGGAGTTTTGTTTATGTGATTTGTAAATTCAGTGAAGCAGTGCAGTGTATTTATTAAACAGCTGGCAGAAGAATGAAGAGGGGCACTTGGAGGATTTTGTCAGTGGGATCCTGTTGTTGGAACCCTCATGAGCATGGAGCTTTGCCAGGAATGCAGCATTTGCTCTGACCTGAGGAATCATTTGGAAAAGTCTTGTCTTTTGTGTTAATGCTAGTGCAGAATCTGTCATTAGTTGTGAAGAAACACATTCAGTGTCATCGTGAAGAACTCAGGGAGTAACAGCCTAAATCAGCTTCCTTCAGCTCTAAATGTGGGTGTAAATGTCAGCAGAGGGAGATGAACACACCTGAGGGACAGCAGGACAAACCAAATTGGATTTGGGTATTTCCTTGGTGCTCCCCTACCCAGCCAATCTGCAGAGGAGCACCGAGGTTTGGGATGAGGGTGATGCCTCATCTTGGAGCAGTGGAGAAATGCAAATTTTTGGGAACACCTTCAAGACAGAGGGGTTTGCCAGAGGAGCAGCTGGATGAGAGCCTGCCTGCTCCAGGGGTGTGTGGTAACCTGCCCTGCCTCCCCCAGACCAGTCAGACACAATTAAACTGTAAATCAAACTGGGCCATTCTGGAACACTTGAAGCTTTAAATGGAAGTGTTTGGGAGGGGGAGCAAGAGGTGTTTTGTCTCAGAGACCACTGGCAAGCTGATGATTCTGTCAGGAGCCAAAAATCCTCCTCCAGAAACTGGGGTAACACTGCTGCAAGCTGTGGAGGAGCAGATGGAAGATGAGTTTTACTGTGTCCTGATGTGGCTGAGAGGATGTTCCCGGTGTCTCTGGGGTTACTTACCAATTTTGGAGGGTTTGTGGACTGAACTAGACACAGGAAGTGACTTTTTCCTCCTCCTTTTCCTCCTCTGTTGCTTTGTGCAGGCAACAAAGTGGAAATGGAAATAGAATCATGGAATAACAGTATTGGAGTCCTGATGAATTATTTCACTGCTCTTCTAAATGCCTGTAGTAGAGATTTCTCTAAGTCATTCCAAATTCAAGGATTTACAGATTTTTCAGAGTCTGCAAAAATATTTTCACAAACTGGAAATGTCTTAAATGGATAGAAATCTGAGGGTTTGAAAAGCTGAAGTAGTGATTTCTTGGTACTTTTATCACCAAGTGGTCTGAGTTACATGATAATAAATCTCTGTGTGGGTAGCAGGGCTGTGTGGTGGCAAGGTGGGAACTGAGCACATCCTAAACCCATGCTCTGGAAATTTGCAAAGTTCCAAAATAATACCAGGAAACAAAAGAAATTAGGTTCAGAACTGTATTTGGAAAAAAAATATTATTATCTAGTACATTTTAAGATTACTTCATACCTTGACCTTGATTTGCTTGTGTCTGTGAGCAAAATCTAAAAGGAAGGAATGAATATTTCACTTACATTATTGTGCAATTACTTTCATGTTGCTCAATTTAAAGGCTGGACTGGTTAACTAATTCTTTTAATCTCCTGGTAGTTACCAGGCTTTTATAAAGCAAACACAGACATTGCTAGAGCACAGCACCAAAAAGGGAGAAGCAGAAATAGGGAAAAGGGAGTTTTGGCTTTTCCCTTTCTCCCCTATCCTACTTTCCTGTACTAAACTTCAAAAAAAAAAAAAAAAAACCAACTTAACTACAGAGAGAGAGGAGGAGGAAAACATCCTGTTGGTAAAAACTCCAATTTCACTGGAAGATTTGTGTGGATGAATTCTCAGAAGTGCCTTTTGCCTTCCTGTACTGTACTGGCTGGGCTGCCACAGGACAATTCAGGACAATCCCTTCCCAAAAGGAGGGATCCCAGAGAAAGGCAGAGCTGTTTCCAGACGGGTGGCACGTTGCTCCTGAATTCATTGTGTCAGCTCAGAAGAGGAGCAGCTGCTTTGCAAAGTCCAGGCTACTGAAAATAAGCATAGAAACACATAATTTATTAAGCATTTAGGGGTGTTTTGTGCATGAATGTGTCTCCTATGCAGAATAGGCAAAAACCAAAGTATTTAGTGTTATTGTTGCAGTCAAAAATCACTGAACTTTTAGGCCTTGTTCTTATAACAGGTCCTGCCATGTCAGATATGAGCTATTTCATTACCAGAAGGTGTTTTAAATGTTTTCAGCTCTTGCTTCATGAATCACTGTGAAAATAAAGGCACATAGACATTTCAGGTTGGGGGTTTTGGAAGGGGACAGACCCCAAGTTAAATAGAGGTGTACAAAATTCACGCAGCTGAAGTGCTGCTTGTCAATTTAGGGTGATTTAAAAGTCTACATTGTGGCACATGCTCCAAGTAGTACTTTAAATACAAGGAGAACTGAGTTGTTTGAATTCTGCTTGGGGAAAGAAACAGGATTTTAACATATTTGATTTTAGCCAGGTTATATGTTAGGTATAACAGGGGGAACAGTCTGGACTGATGAAGAGTAAAATCCTTTTGTTTACTTCCAGCAAATGCCATCCCTGTCACTCAGGTTTTCCATCATTTACCTGTCCAATCTCCTGTTTGGTGTTGTTTCATGACAAATAACTTCTGTATAAAGGAAAACAAAGGTATATTTTTTTTTCTATTGAGTTTGTTTTGTTCTGGTGTAATATATTGTCCTTAGAACATCATGTAAAGCTGAGAGAGATGAAGCAACTGATACATTATTTATAACGAGCATAAAAAATACATTAATGTACAATGCATACTTGTGTCTTTTGGTTTTTATCCAAATGAAAATCACAGAATAATTTGGGTTGGGAAGGACCTGAAGCCCATCCAGTGCCACCCCTGCCATGGCAGGGACACTTTCCACTATCCCAGCTTCTTCCAAGCCCCAATGTCCAGCCTGGCCTTGGACACTGCCAGGGATCCAGGGGCAGCTTCTCATCTCATGGATGTTGTAAATACTGCAAGCAGTATCAAAGGCATGCACAATAATAAAAAGGATTGTTTGACAGCTCTGGAAAAATAGCTTCTTGCATTATAAAAGTATGAAATTGAACTGTAAAAAACCTGACAGGTAGGGAACACACCTTGGCTTACGTTCAGCTGAAGTTGCATCCCTGCTCTTCACCTTTCCCTGGGAAGTACTGAGGGGAATATTGAGTGCTTGTTGCAAGCCTTGCCCAGAGCCATGGGGTGGCAAAGCTGCAGGGGACCACAGTGGGTCCCTGCTCCGTCCTCCCTGGTCAGGCACGGCCGAGTCCAGCTCTGGGCCCCTCTGGAAGGGACACTGAGGGGCTGGAGCGTGTCCAGGGCAGGGAACAGAGCTGGGAATGGGTCTGGAGCACCAGGAGGGGCTGAGGGAGCTGGGAAGGGGCTGAGCCTGGAGCACAGGAGGCTCAGGGGGGACCTTGTGGCTCTGCACAGCTCCTGCCAGGAGGGGACAGCCGGGGGGTCGGGCTCTGCTCCAGGGAACAGGAGAAGGAACGGCCTCAAGCTGTGCTAGGAGAGGTTTATATGGGATGTCAGAGAAAATTTCTCCACGGAAAGGGTTGTCAGGTAGCAGAAGGCGCTTCCCAGGGAGGTCTGGAGTGCCCATCCCTGGAGGTGCCCAAGGAAGGCCTGGAGGTGGCACTTGGTGCTTGTGACGAGGCGGGCATCGGGCACAGCTTGGACTCGCTGATCTCGGAGGTCTTTTCCAACCTCAACGATTCAACGATTCTGTCGCTGTGAGGGTCTGTCAGTCCGTCATTCCGAGATTTCTCCCATTCCGGGGTTCCTGTTGCTCCGGGATTCCCGTTCTGGCGGGCTCCCGCCGCTCCGTGAGGGGCCGCGCCCTCCCCGCCGCGCGGGGGCGCTGTGGCCGCGCCCCCTCCCCTGCGCTGCCCCGCGGCCGGCCCGGAGGGCGGCCCCCCCCCGCCCTGCGGAGCGGGGAGCGGCGCCGGGCATGCGGGCGGTGGCAGCGGGCCGGGAGGTGGGATGCTGTCGCGGAAGAAGACGCGGACGGAGCTCTCCAAGCCGGGCGAGGTGCAGGGGAAGTACGTGAAGAAGGAGACGAGCCCGCTGCTGCGGAGTGAGTGTCGGGGGGACCGGGGAACGCCGGCTCCGGGGGCCGATGCCGAGGCCTTTGTGTGCGGCCGGTCCGGCGGGCCCTGGAGCTGCGCGGCCTTGGCGGGGTGAGGGGCGTGAGGGGGAGTTATCCCTGTGGCGGTTCTTTCTCCCTGTAAATGTGTTTTTAATGCTGTTAGGAGCCCTGGGAGATGACGGAGGGAAGTTAAAGCTGAAATGAAGCCCGAGTTTCAAAGGGAGCCCCGCACGCCTTGTTCCACCGGGTGCTCAGCGTGCCCGCACTTGGTGGTTTTTGTGGTTTTTATGATTTTCTCAGTTTCAGCCGGCCGGGGTTCAGGCAGTGTGCAGAGGTTGCTTTTAAATGAAGCGAAGAGCTTGGAGCAGCCTGGCGTAGGGAAGGCGTCCCTGAGGCAGCTCCGGGCCCCTTCCAGAACCGTGAATCCCTGATCCCGCTCCTCCCAGAACCGAGCGCTTGTTTTCCCCGTCTGGGCGCTGTGGAATGAGATAACTGTCCCGCCAGGCAGTTGCATAAAATCCCTGAGGAAGCAGATGTGAATAGGGAATGCTCCAGGTGCTGTCCGTGACTCAGCCTTGGGATCTTCCCGTGGCGCTGATCCTGCAGCCAGGGCTGGGCACAGCACCGCAAACACGCACCGAAAGTGGGCTTGGGTTTGGGTTTGTTGGTCTTAGAAGACAACCCTGAAGTGGGTTTGTTTGCCCAATAAAGAAATAAATCAATTTATTGCTGGCGCCTTCTGGGGCGCTCCAGATTTTAACCATAAGTTGTAAAGAGTTTGTTAATAAAAGTTTATTAATAGTAGGAATTACCTAATTCTAAGTGAGAGTTATCATCTGTATTGACTTACCTGGAGGGAAACTACTTTTTTTTTTTATCACGTTGAAAGTAAAAGTAGGGAGAGGAGGAATGTTTCACATACTGGAGGGAGGCAGTGAAATTCTAAAGGAGAAAGTGAAATATCCCCCTGATAATTTGAGAACTTAACGTGTGTGGAATGCCGTCGTTTTTTCTGGCTGAATTTTGTGACTTTGGCATTAGTGGGGGCAGCGTGAATTCTGTTTCTATCTTGGATTCCTGTGGGCATTAACATCTTGTCATCCCCACTTTGTAAGGACAGCATTCCCAAAGAAGCAGTAGCCAGGATATGTGGATTTTCTTGACCCTTCTCACAGAGAAACACGAACCCTGGCTGATGTATCCACAGCACGGTGTGGGTGGTTTGGGTTTGGGTTTTTTTTTCCCTTGTGTGGTTTTTTTGAAGGCTTTGGGGTTGGTTTGTTTATTGCAGCTGCAGTTTCCCTGGCAGAACTGCTCCGTGGGTTCCCGATGTTGGTTTCTGCTGCACCAGGACACTGCAGTTTTACCACCACATTTACACAGGCGCTAGAGGTGCCTTAAGCGGCTTCCGCACGTGAATTCCTCAATTCCAGTGTGTCAATCTGCACCGGCAGTGTTCTCACTTCTCCTCCTTTCTCTCGGGCAGATCTGATGCCTTCCTTTATCCGCCACGGTCCGACCATTCCGAGGCGCACCGATATCTGCCCTCCCGAGCCCGCATCCTCCGCCTACGCCCCCGGCGGCGATGGCATCGCCTCCAGGAGCCAGAGCTTCCTCCGAACCGCCGTGCAGAGGCCGCCTCACGAGGTAATGAGGCGAGAAAGCAACAGACTGTCTGCACCCTCGTACCTGGCCAGGAGCTTGGCCGAGGTGCCCAGGGAATACGGCTCCTCCTCGCAGCCCTTCCTGGCCGAGGCCGGCGCCGGGCTGGAGAACGGCGACGCCGGAGCCCGCGGCTATTACTACGATCATTTCTACGATGCCCAGAGGAGACGGCAGCTGAACGAGCGCCTGCACGAGGACTACAGGTATTATGAACACAACAGTGATCTTTTCCAGAGGATGTCCCAGAATCATGGGAGGCACACTTCAGGTAAGGGTTTCCTCGTTTAAAACGCGGTTTTGGGTGCGGCTTGGGGAGTCTGGGTGATCAGGATTGTGGTTGAGGTGTGTAGGACAGAGCTGCTTTTTCATGGCGTTTCTGGGATTTGGGTGATTGGAATTGAGGGTTTGTTCACACATATGCAGAAAGGAAAAATGGTCTTAAGCCAGGATTATTTTCTTAAATAAATGGAGTAAGGCCAAGCAGGTTTTGTGGTTTTTAATGCTAAGCATACGTACATCTCCTCTACACATCAGTTGCTGGCTAGCAAGGAATTTTATTCATTGGGGGACATCTCCTATTTTCATGATATAAAGGATAACCAACAGGCCTAAATTACAACATTGCAGCATTATTATTATTGTTATTATCATTAAATTTTAATTATCATCTTATTACTTAATTTCATTGTTTGAGTTTAACCTCAATAATTAAAATAATTCTTATAAATAGTCACAGGGAGGAATGACTGCTTTGTGTAATTAGCAAATTGGCATCTAATTTGTGTGGAAATTTACTTTCTAATCCTTGACTCCTTTCTTTTTGCTTTTAAAATGGTTTGTAAGTATGCCTGTTCCCCCCTTAATTTCACTGGAACTTGCCTTTGTTTCCTAAAACAAAACAGCATAAGAAAGAAGAACCCATTAAATATTACTTTCCTGAAATGTTTGACTCTGTATTTGATATTACAAAAACTATGCCCAAGGAGGAGTTTGAAAGAAACATTTCAAACCTGTAAATAATGTACCTTCAATATTAAATACATTGTCACCTGTAATCTGTAAACAAAATTGTAATTAGTGTGTAATAAACTAAATCTGTCTAGAAAAAGAAATCTGCCAGGGAGGACATCAGCTCTTAATGCTGCTGACCTCCTGTGTGGGATCAGAACCTGTCAGTGCCTTGGGTTTTCTTCACCACAGAAACACTTCCACGAAAAATGGAAATACCAGCCAGGAAATTCTGAAATGCTGGGGTTTAAGGCCTGCTACTTGAATCCTCCTTTATTTTTCTAAATGTATATATCTGATCTGCCTGGATTTTGTGTGCAAACCCTGCTTCTCTGCCCGCTGTTGCTCATCCAGCAGTCATTAAACACTTACCCAGTCCAGGTAACAAGCACTGGGAGTGTGTGCTGGGATGTTTTAGGGAGGAGAGGCAGGAGGGGAGGATTTCACAAACTTTGAGGATTAAACAGCAGCTGTGTCTGCTGAGGAGATTCCCAGAAATGGAGCTCCAGCTTGGAGGTGGAGATTCGTGTGGCAAATTTTTAAAAGGAGCTCCGTATTTTGCTCAATGGTAGCAACATTTTCTTCCTAAATAGATTTTTTTCTTGCTGTTTGTTGACCTTAGCCCTGGAAATCATAAAGGAGCTGCTCCTGTTTGCTTGGTTTGGTCATTCATTCTTTAACATTTCATATTTTGAACAAGTTTTACACAGGTTTTGTGATGGGTGAGTATTTAATCTCATGCACTCGTAGGGAGAGACGAAGGTGAGCCTTTTAGTTGCCACTGTTTTCCCTTTCCTCCATTTTTTTTCATCTCCATATGAACTCCTAAAGTCCTCTTTTCCTCTTTCTTAAAGAATTACGTGGCCCAAAATAAGAAAATTTTAGGTTTTGTTGCTTCCTTCATCTCACCATTAAGCTTCTTTTTATTTGAACCATCCCATGCTTCACACCTTCAGTGTTTTCCTTGAGTTACCCAAATGTCTCTGTAATTCCTTGTTTCTTTTTCTTGCATTTCCAGAGCCTGTTGCTTTCACTGTCTTTGTCTAAATTACTTTTCTTTACTCGTCTCCATTGTTGTTTCTCTTCATTGAGATGCCAGAATTGCCTGATGCCTGCAGTTCCAAATGAAAAGTCTGGTTTTTAGCTGGAGTTTGTAAATTCTGCCTTCTCCCCTTCCCCTCCTGTCCCACCCTCCCTCCAAAGGTGCCCTTGGTCAGTTCTGGTGTGTTTTGGGTGGATTCCCAAGGAAATGTTGCCTGGTGAGCACGAGGTGTTCCCGCTTTGCTGCTATTCCATGGTGCTCACGCTGAGGTGATTTTTGGGAGCAGTCTGGAAGCGAAGAGGTGCCTGTGAATTTCAGCTCTCGTTCACAACCGAGTCTGTCCTCTCTGTGATTCGGAGACAAGCTGCAAACACGTTCTTCTCAAGACTTCAGCGTTCAGCCAGGGTTGGAGGGCAGCCCTGTGCTTTTGCAGCAGTTGGTGTTTCAGCATCGCCGTGTCCTTCCATGGGCATTTCTCCTTCAAGCCACTTTTCTCTCTCGCCGTGCTTCACTTCTGCCATCTCCTCCTTTCCATGTTTTCATTCACTTTGTTTCTGATTACCAGTTCAGTGCTGCTGATTTTCCTGACCAGTATTTTCAGTTGAGATACCTCCTGATTTTGTACATTTAGCTACCTCTGTGGCATTTCTTAAATTTTTAATTTCTTTTTTTTTTATTATTATGAGTGTCCTTTTCAAACTTTTAATTCTAAGAGACTTTACCTGTCTTTCCTCGCCATCTCTTTCCTCTCTTCTAGGTTAAAGTTTTGGGGAGGTCTGTGGTTGAAGTTATACCTACAGTGTAGATTGGAAGTAACTTGTAACCAAGACCTCAGAGTTATTTGTGCCTGTGTGAGCGGTAAGCTGAACCATTCTTCTGTGTCTATGAAAATTGCTGAGCTTGAAATCAACACTGTAAAGGCACTTGCTGGTGGTGGATTGTGATGAGTTCACTGGGATGTCACAGGAGAAAAAACAATTTAACAGAGAATCCAGTCTGCTTTTGGTTCATCTGTTAAGTTGTACCCCTGAAAAACTGTGAAGTTGTTTAATGTAAGAGCAAAAGAAATGCAAATTATGACATGAAACCCATTTAGAGCTGAAATACCCATATTTTTATTTTTCTGTGTGTACACGTCTCTCAGTTTTAAACAAATGGCAGTTCCTGCCTTTTTCTTCTGTTGTGCTGATTTTGCAGGAATTTTGCAGCATAATTCTTGATGCTTTCAGAGTTCTTCCTGTCATTTCCTATTAGTGAATTTGTGCTTGCTTGCAACGCCCCATTCCCTCCAACAAAAGAGGTGCTTGTGCTCAGGAAGTTCCTTCAGATGCTTTGGAGTGGGTTAGGAAAGCCTGGGACCTGCAGACCTGGCTAGACAGGAGACTTATTGGAACTTTTTGTTATTGTACTGCTGCTTACTCTTTTAAAATTAAACAGTTTGTTCATCTTCTCTTCCTGCTCTTCACCCAGCTCCGATGAGGGGAAGGGAGAGGATTTTGGCATCCTGAAAAAAGGCTCTCAGGACAATTGGGCTAATTAAAGACAAATATTGTTTTGTAAGATTTGCTCTGCAACACTTTGGAAATTTGGGTGAAGTCACTTGTGGGGAGTTCCTGGGCTCTGAAATTTCTCTGCATTTTGTACCCAAGTGGAACTTTCTCCTCTGGTTTTGCTCTTTGCCCTTTATGCTGGTGGTGGGATTTCTCTGCTGCCTTTCCTACCTGCCCTTTGCTGGCCTGGGAATCTTTGCTCCAGAAGGCTTGGATTTCTTTCCAGGCAAGGTTCCCTCATTAAAAAACCCTTTTACTGGGAAAGCACTGACATAATTTCCAGTTCCTTTGTTCCTTCCTAAACACAACTTCCCTGAGTGAAGAACACACTACAGATTGTTCACACTTGTGGCTTTCTTTGGATTTTTAAGAGAAGGAACATTTTGCATTGATAAAGTGCACTGGCATGTGCTGCTTAGAATTGATAATTCAAGACCTTAAATTGAAGATACTGGATTTTTGAAATGGAAGGAAAATTAAAGCCTCAATTTCAATGTTGATATTCCTTAAAAGCAACAGCTGAACCAAAAAACACCCTGTTAGCTAATATAATATAACATTATAAACAGAATTAGCAGATGAGGCTTGACAAGCTTGAAAGAGACATTTTGAAAAGGTTCTAATAAAAATGTTTGTATAAAAAATGTTCAGCTTTTCTATTTGGGATCCATAAATCTGGTGCCAGCCCCCAACCCAGGGAACATCCCTGGTGCTTGCAGGAAAATCCTGTGTGGAGCTTTGGGCTGCTGTGAAAATGCTTTGGGGCTCAGAATTTAAATGCAGAAAATGGCATTCCTGGCAATTTGCCATGGAAAAGGCAGTCCATGGATTTAGGCTGTCTTGGAATTTTCTTCCTTGGGTTATACTTTGGAAAAGATCACAGAGGAATTCACTCTGCCAAGTGTTGTTTAGTTGAAATTACAGGTGTGTGTAAATATATATAAAAATATATATAAAAGTTAATTTTCCTCTTCTCTTACTGTTCAAAACTATAGGAGGAGCTTTTCCTCTTATGTGTGTATCCATCCTCCCACAAAGGAACATCTGAGGTTTATCAGGAAAACCAACAGACAATTTCTTTTCATCTCTAAAAAATAATTTTACAGGAAAAAAATGTCTAAATTGTACTAATTGTTGATTTTCATGCCACAGTGGTTGATGGCTTTAAGGCCCTGTGAATGTCAACATCTTAAAACTTCCAGCACAGAGAATATTCCAATATAATCTGTGATATAAGGGAAAAAAATTATAGTTACAATCATCAGTTTATAAGTCTGGCCTTTGATTTCATGTCCATGGAATATTGTTCAAAACTGGTAATTTCTGCATCTGTGCAAGTTTATTTTAATGGTTTGGCTCTGCTTCTTTATCTATGAAATGAAAATGGCAAAAGGAATGGATAAAACATTTGTGATCTGGTGTTATTTTTGTTCTTTGCATCTTGGAAATTAAAAATATGCTGGCATTGGGAGAATCCATGTGTCAGGAGAACTTTAGTGCAGAGGATGGCACTAAAGTTTACCTTTAGTAAAAATAAATACCTGTGGATTTGAGGCCAGAATTTAAGAGGAGGAACTGTAAGAAAAATGCAGGGATGTGCAGGTTTTAACAGGAAACAGAAAAACACGGATTTTTTTCCCCCAAAATTTGTGTCCAGCTCTCCTGGCAGCGATGATTTAACAATTTCCCCATCCATGAAATCACATCCCAGAGCTTCAGCTAGTGGGGGAAAATCCTGGATTTGTTCAGCCCAAGCACAGCATTTTCAAGAAGCTGAAATGTTTCTGTTTTGGCAGTGGCATGTGGAGCTGAACCAGCTCCCCTGCCCCAGCCCTTCCAAAGGTCAGGAATGCTCCAGATGTTTCTTTTCTCTGGAATTAAGGTCTGGGTTGTTCAATCCCAATTAAAGATGGACACAGCCATCAGCTTCCCTTTGTAGTGCTGACAAACAGGTAAGAACTGACACAAGAGGAAATCCTTTAGGGCCAAACAGTTCAGAGCATGACAAGGCTGGAAAAAGATTTATGGATGAGCACAGAGTTTTAAAGGAGGATGTTTGTGAGGGGGGGTTAATTTATTTATAATTTATTCAGTTGTTTTGGAGCCTTCCTGTAACTTAATTTTCAATTATTATAATATTCTGGTAGGATATAGCTCACCCAGGTTTCAGGCTGGCATTTTATTAGAGAGAGACTCTGCCTTTCCCTTCTCTCAGAAAATAAGCACACAAAAATGTTATTCCTGAAGAAAAGGAGCAGGGGGTGTATTCCTGTCAGTAAATGTGTGTGGGGGGGTGATTTCTGACTTGTAAAAAAGTGGGAAAAGTGGCTCCCAAATCCCTTCTGCTGGCTGTGGGAAAAAGCAACACACAAACTCTGCTGACAGTGGCATTGAATAGATGCATTTGGCTGTGGGATGAAAAGATAATTGGAATTTTCATTAAAACTAAGCAGTGTGTAACTGTGAGGGACTAAAGGGAACTCCTTCAAATGAATTTTAAAAGAGAGTTGAATTTAGCCCAGCACATCCAGAAGGTAGCAAATTCCCAAGGATGGAAAGAAGCCTGCAAAATTCTTGATTCTGTCCCCGGGGTTTTGTGGTTGGGCGTCTTGGGGGTGCTTTTTTATGAGTTTTCTGTTCTTGCTCATCTGGCTTTTGTTTCTTCCCAAGTATCCCTGGGGAGGGCTGGGACAGGAGCTGTTTCTGTAGGCATCTCTCACCCTCCAGCTGCTGGTCTGAAAAAAACTCTGTGTGTTAAACCAATGACATACTGCAAAGAGCTGCTGAGCAGGCTCTTCAGCCTGGTGATGGATCAGTCCCAGATGTGCTCTGTTTCCAGGGAAAAGGTGGGAATTGGATCAGCTGCTGATTCCTGGCAGCTCTTGGACCCCAACCCTGCTTGTCCCTCCTCTCTTGTTTACCTTGTCCTGTTGCTGCTCTTGACTGGTTCGCCTAAAAAGCTTTGTGAGGACTCAGTGATTTGTCTGGATAGTTTTAATTTCTGACTTCAGCTTTTTGGGGGTTTTTTTTGTTGATAAATGAACTTTAACTTCTTTTTGTTCGGTTTGGTTGGTTTTGGTTTTTTAAATGCTTTTTTTTGTTGTTGTTGGTGGATGAATCAGCCGTAATAACTTATTAACAAAAATTATAATTTCTGTAAATCTTTCCCTAAACCCCGATCTCCCTTTGTTTTAGGCATCGGGAGAGTTGCTGCTACATCTTTAGGAAACTTAACAAATCATAGTTCTGAAGATTTACCTCTTCCTCCTGGCTGGTCAGTGGACTGGACTATCAGAGGAAGGAAATATTACATCGATCACAACACCAACACCACGCACTGGAGCCACCCCCTGGAGCGGGAGGGGCTCCCGCCGGGCTGGGAGCGCGTGGAGTCCGCGGAATTCGGCGTTTACTACGTGGATCACATCAACAAAAGGGCTCAGTACAAACACCCCTGTGCTCCCAGGTGAGCCTCCCACCTTCCTGCCCCCCGGGCTTGTCTCAGCCAGCGGGATGCAACAGAAAAAAAAAATGTTATTTTCGGCTTTGCCGCTTCTCAGTGAGGGAAGTTCGGGTTTTGCCTCGTGTTTCTGAGGTTTAGCAGCAGGATATTGCTGCTCAGTCAGGGCTCTGCAGCTGCCAGTAAAACAGCAAAGGTGCTGAGAAGAGAACTGAGCTGTAGACTGAAAGGAGGCTTGGTCTGATGTGCTGGAGGTGCTCTGGGCATCTGAAACGTGAATTAAGTCTTGTCTGCAGTGAAAATGGGTGTGTGAGCTACTCAAAATCACAAAGCAAAATAGAAATAATGCACACCAAATCCAATCTTAGTTGTTAATCTACACCAAATCTAAGTTAATTGTAAATACACACCAAATCCAATGTTAATTGTTAATATACACCAAATCTAACAGTTCACTGTAAATACACACCAAATCCAACTGTTAATTAACATGCACCAAATTAATAGTTAATTGTAAATACACACCAAATCCAATGTTAATTGTTAATATACACCGTTTTAACAGTTCACTGTAAATACACACCAAATCCAACTGTTAATTAACATGCACCAAATTAATAGTTAATTGTAAATACACACCAAATCCAACTGTTAATTGTTAATCCAAATTGTTAATTTCTGCTGCTCAGTCTGTTCTGCTGACAGCCAGGAAGAGAAAGTTCTTCAACTTTTGTCACGAGATAAATGTATGGGGATATCTTTATATGGAGTAATTCTGATCAGCTGCTGCCTGAATACATCTGTTCTGACATGTTGAGTGGTGGATGATACAAATCAGTATATTTAAATGTTTTCAAAACAGCTCCAGTGCTTTGTTGTGCAGTGCTGAGTGGGGCTGAGGTGGATTTCAGCCAAACAGCAGCAGCAGTTGCTGGGTGCAGACCCCGCTGAGGTTGCAGCAGCAGCCTTTGCAGTGCTGAATCTCTGTGTGATGTTGAGGAGTGAGTGAGTGCAGTGAGTGCAGGGAGTGCAGTGAGTGCAGGGTGTGCAGGGTGTGCAGTGTGTGCCGTGAGTGCAGAGTGCAGTGAGTGCAGTGAGTGCAGTGAGTGCAGTGAGTGCAGTGTGCAGTGAGTGCAGTGTGTGCAGGGAGCGCAGTGAGTGCAGTGAGTGTGCAGGGAGTGCAGTGAGTGCAGTGAGTGCAGTGTGTGCGGGGAGTGCAGTGTGTGCAGGGAGTGCAGAGAGTTCAGTGAGTGCACTGTGTGCAGTGGGTGCAGTGAGTGCAGGGTGTGCAGTGAGTGCAGTGTGTGCAGTGGGTGCAGTGAGTGCAGGGTGTGCAGTGAGTGCAGTGTGTGCAGTGGGTGCAGTGAGTGCAGGGTGTGCAGTGAGTGCAGGGTGTGCAGGGAGTGCAGTGCATGCAGTGCATGCAGGTTGCAGTGAGTGCAGAGTGTGCAGTGTGTGCAGTGAGTGCGGTGAGTGCAGTGAGTGCAGGGCGTGCAGAGTGCAGTGTGTGCAGTGCGTGCAGTGAGTGCAGTGTGTGCAGAGTGCAGTGAGTGCAGTGCATGCAGTGGTTGCAGTGAGTGCAGTGTGACCTGTCCCTGTCCCTGTGCTGTCCTTGCAGCGTTCCCCGCTACGATCAGCCGCCCCCCGTGTCCTACCAGCCGCAGCCCCCGGAGAGGAGCCAAGCCCTGCTGGTCCCTGCCAACCCCTACCACAGTGCTGACATCCCTGACTGGCTGCAGGTCTATGCCAGGGCTCCTGTCAAGTGAGATTCTGCCTTTTTTTTTATGCTTTTCACTCTGAAAATGAAAATAATTTGAATTTCTGTGACTGACAGCAGAGCATTATGCTTTTCACTCTGAAAATGAAAAAAAAAATTGAATTTCTGTGACTGACAGCAGAGCTTGTGCTGTGTTTGGTTTTCAGGGCTGAGGTTGACAGCACGAGGGAGTTGTACCAAATGTTTATGAGATGAATTTGCTTTCTTTCAGGCAAGACTTGAAGTGATCACTTTGTGCAGCTCCCACAACTGGCAGAAAGCTCTGGCAGAGGGTGAAGGATGTGTTTTGCTTTCACAGAGTATTTACAAGAGCGGTACCACGTGCTCAGAAAATATGTGAAACATTTCTAGGGTAGAACTTCCTCATGTCTCTTTTATTTCTTTTTAAACAGCACAGCTTTTCCTTCACCTTTAAGAGTTTTTAATCATAGAATCATGAAATTGTTTGGGTTGGAAGGGACATTAAAGCCCATCCCATTCCACCCCTGCCATGGCAGGGACACCTCCCACTGTCCCAGGCTGCTCCAAGCCCCATCCAGCCTGGCCTTGGGCACTGCCAGGGATCCAGGGGCAGCCACAGCTGCTCTGGGCACCCTGTGCCAGGGCCTCCCACCCTCACAGGGAACTGTTTCTTCCTAATATCCAACCTAAATTTACCTTTTTCCAGCTTAAAGCCCTTCCCCTTGTCCTTCCCTCCATCCCTTGTCCAAAGTCCCTTTCCAGCTCCTTTGGAGCCCCTTTAGGCCACATGCTGGCTGACATCTCTATTTCTATATTTCTATTTAAGAAATTGAATTGAGAACTAAAGGGTAATAAAAAGTCATTTTGTCAAAAAAACTGCTGCAGGAACAGGGAGTCTCCTCCAAAAAAAGGTTTGAGTCAGCATAAAGAAATGAGATTTTTTAATGGGTGCAGCTCTGCAGAACAGTAACACTGAATAGAAAGCAATAAAAATCCCAAATGTGGTGTAATAATTATTAAATAATGTGCTATTCATAAGGAGAATATGGAGAAACTCAGTTTTCCAGCAGCAAGGTCAGTCTGTATCTGCAAATTTAAGCTGTGGTGTTCAGTGACTTCCACTAAAAAAATTCCTTTTTTTTATTACCTGCTCCTAGTAACTACAATTTGAATGAGTTCTGTTACTTCTTGTGACTGCTGGGTTTGCCAGCAGCCCATAAAGATTTAAATTGCCCTAAAATCCCCCAGTACAATGAGGCTCCAGACTCAGTTCCTGTAGCCTGTAGGATTTGTTTCCTAAAAATTCTTCCAGGTTTTGGCTGCAGGTCCATTCCTTTATTTAGGTCTTTGACACATCCAGACAATGTAAATTTAAATAGCTCAGCCTGTGTTGTGTGGATTATTTTGGGTATTTTCTTGAAATTTGAGAAGCAAACATAAGACAAATTAAACAATTTGTGAGGGATTTCTTTACAGCAAGTAGGCAGACAAATTTTTAAATTTTTAATTATCAGCACAGTTTTGCACTGAAATCACTGGGTTTTTTTTGTCATGATTTCTTACTTACCCCTGGCTCTGTACATGGATTTAGCTGTAAAGCCCAGTTTTTGTTGAGAGGAGTAGATAATTACAGAAAAAATACTAGATTTTGTTTTTAAAAATTCCTCTAGAAGATAACAAAAAGCCTGAGAGGGAGTCCAGTAGGTGTTAACCAAAATAATCTCTGTTTCCAGAAAAATTTCCTTCCTGTGAGGGCAGGAAGGCTCCTGGTGAGTGGGAGGGGAGCAGGAGGGAAGGTTGGAAGGTTGTCCCTGGGGGCTCTGCAATCCAGAGGTGCTCCCAAAGGTGGCTCTGCCTGGAAACTTCAACCCTCCCTGTCAACACACAGCCCAGACTCCAAACAGCTGCAGTTTATTTCTCTTTTTTTGGGGGGAAAAAGACTGATTTTAGCAGTGCAGCCCTGTCAGAATGAGGGATGACTTTAACACAGAGGCTGTGGTAGGTTTTAATGAGATTGGAAGTCACCTGCACGTGCTGGTGCTTCTGTGATTCTGGAATGTGACTTTCAGTGGGGAACGCAGTTTATTTCCATAAATCCACTGATATTCCAGCCTCAGCCTGCACCCAGGTGAATCCATCTTCTCCTGTGCCTCAGCTGCATCAAATAATTCCATTATTGCAGGAGTTTCTCCTGTTCAGGAATACTCACAGCAGTCAGCTCCCCATTTCCAAGCCCAGGGAATCAGACTGTGGGTGGGTTGTGTGAGGGAAAAGCAGGAAAGGAGGGTATGGCAGTGAGGGTGGGACCAGAGCAGGGTTTGCATTAAATACCCATTGGGGATTATTGCTGCTAATTAACCAGCAGGGGTTAATTGGAGAGGTTAAGCAGCCAAGAACACTCGATACAGCTGCACTGGGACAGCAGTGCCCATCTTTGGGAGGGAGCTGAGCTGCTGAAAGAATTCAGCTTTCTGTCTTACTCTGGTATTTTAACAGATGTTCTACAGGAAATATTCCAGGTGGGTTGTGAATGGAATTGCTGTTCAGTGCTTCCAAAAAGCATTTCCACAGAATCCCAGAATGGTTTCATGTGCAAGGGACTTCAAAACCATCCCATTCCACCCCTGCCATGGCAGGGACATCTCAGGGTGTTCCAAGCCCTGTCCAACCTGGACACTGCCAGGGGCAGCCACAGCTGCTCTGGCAATTCCAGCCCAGAATTCCCAATTCCCAATCTCCCATCCATCCCTGCCCTCTGGCACTGGGAGCCATTCCCTGTGTCCTGTCCCTCCATCCTTGTCCCCAGTCCCTCTCCAGCTCTCCTGGAGCCCCTCCAGGCCCTGCCAGGGGCTCTGAGCTCTCCCTGGATCCTTCTCCTCTCCAGGGGAGCACCCCTGTTCTCCTGCGCCGCTTTATTCTTCTCACTCCTCCATTCCTGGAGGGATTCTGTTCCTCCATCCCACTCCCCAACACAACCCCCAGCTTCCACCATCAATCCCCCAAACCGTCCCGGCAGAACCCTGTGTGTCCCCCGCAGGTACGACCACATCCTCAAGTGGGAGCTGTTCCAGCTGGCCGACCTGGACACGTACCAGGGCATGCTGAAGCTGCTGTTCATGAAGGAGCTGGAGCGCATCGTGAAGCTCTACGAGGCGTACAGGCAGGCGCTGCTGGCCGAGCTGGAGCAGCGGCAGCAGCGGCAGCAGCGCCGCCCGCAGCAGCACGGCGCCAGCTACTGAAGGAACAGCGCTTCTGCTGGAAAGGCAGCTCCTTTCTGTTGACGTTGCACCTTTGTTATTATCCTCTTGAATATTTTTCTACATGTATTATGTGTTGTTTATAAAAAAAAAAGTGGGAATTGTTTGTTAATTTTAAACACACCCCCCAGCTTCCACCATCAATCCCACAAACCGTCCCGGCAGAACCCTGTGTGTCCCCCGCAGGTACGACCACATCCTCAAGTGGGAGCTGTTCCAGCTGGCCGACCTGGACACGTACCAGGGCATGCTGAAGCTGCTGTTCATGAAGGAGCTGGAGCGCATCGTGAAGCTCTACGAGGCGTACAGGCAGGCGCTGCTGGCCGAGCTGGAGCAGCGGCAGCAGCGGCAGCAGCGCCGCCCGCAGCAGCACGGCGCCAGCTACTGAAGGAACAGCGCTTCTGCTGGAAAGGCAGCTCCTTTCTGTTGACGTTGCACCTTTGTTATTATCCTCTTGAATATTTTTCTACATGTATTATGTGTTGTTTATAAAGAAAAAAAAAAAGTGGGAATTGTTTGTTAATTTTTTTTTTTTTGCCGTGCCGGGAGTAGTTTGTTGTCCTGAGGAGCCGGCGGTTCCGTCGGATCCCGGATCCCTGTCCTGCAGTCAGCTGCGCTGTTAAAGCTGGCTGTGTATTTTTTAAGGGTGGTAGATGCAACTGTCGCGTCCTGGCTTCCAAACGTTGTCCAAACCCAGATGCCTCGGGCGTTTCCCCGGGGATTTGGGATCCCTCTCCTGAGAGAGCTCCGCTCTTTGTTTACAGCTTTAATGTACAGAAGCAGCCCCGGGCCTGTTCAGCCGCAGCAGGAGCTGATTTCGCCCTTCGGATCCGAGTTGCCTTATTTTTTACTTTAGCTCATTAGTGCTCCAGATTCACTCCTCATTTTCACACAGATTACTCGAGGGGGAACGCTTGTACCTTCCCAAAGACCAAGATCTCTAAGCAGAGTGGTTTTGATCCTGCATTTCCCAAAACCTGACCCGCTCCAGTGGAAAGGCAGCGGCATTGTGTGACCCACTGTGCCACCCCAGGGGGAAAATCAGGGATGTAACAGCAATGACTGTTTCTTTTTTTCAATGAGCTTTTGTCTTAAAGCTCCTCACTTGGGGAAAATCTTTAATTGTCCAGTTGCCCTCTCCAGTAATTTCATTTGGTTCATTAATTGTCCTGATACGTTATTTATGGGTTCTTTTCAGTGCAATAAACACTGCAGACAAAAAAGTACATTTCTTGTAAATCCTATTAATTCAATAAAAATCATTTTGTTCAATGAACGAAGGGTTTGTGTGACTGATTCGTGGCCTTTCAGAACATCAGATAAACCATTCCTGCCAGCAGTAGAAGCCCCACGGGCTCGAGATGATCAAAGCTCTTGGTGGCACCGAGCTCTGGGTCTGTCAGTGCAGAAATGACCCTCAAAACACCAACTGTGAAACCCCAAATCACACCAAACATGCAAAAAACCCCAGAGGAGAAGCTCGTGCCTAGGTAATAAATGACTTTTCTCTGCAGAACCAAGTTCTTAGGAACCAAAAGCAAACTTTAATAGTCCTGACAATAAAAGAATAGAACTGTACCACACATCCTATGCACTATCGTGGATAAATATGTACAGAAATACAGAGAAACTTCCTCCAGCACAGCTACAAAGTGACACTTTGTGCAGACAAACAGAAACGGTTCCTCACAGCACCCTTCACAGGCCATAGCGAAGTGCCCTTAACAGTGTCTGATAAAGCAAGTTAACACCTTTAATTATGTTCATGTAATTAAACAGTTAAACGAAGGAAAAAAACGTGGTTACATGTTACAACTTCTTCAAGTACCCGAAATAAACTGGCTTTTGAACAAGCTTCGGCCATTTTAGTTGCGGCATCACGTAAATTATCATTTCCTCAGTGGTGACTAATTAAGAAGGGGGAAAATAAGGCTTCATAAATGAGCTGGGAGTCGCCGGCCATGACAAACCAAAGCTCTGGGCTGCGGCGGTGCCGTATGTACACAGGGACGGGGCGGTTCCGCTGCCGGCGGGCTGGGACGGAGCCGGGCTGCTGCGGGCGGCGATCCGAGAGGAGCCGGGACCGCCGGGATCACCGGGACCGGGACCGCCGGGATCACCGGGGCCGGGGCCGGGACCGCCGGGATCACCGGGGCCGGGGCCGGGACCGCCGGGATCACCGGGGCCGGGGCCGGGACCGCCGGGATCACCGGGGCGGGGAATCCCAAACCTAGGTAATGCCAATCCCAGGGAGTCCCAAACCTGGGGAATCCTGATCCCAGGAAATCCCTATCCCAGGGAATCCCAAACTGGGGAAATCCCAAATCCAGGAAATTCTGATCCCAGAGAATCCTAAACTCAGGGAATCCCAAACCCGGCAAATCCCGAACCTGAGGAATCCTGATCCCAGGAAACCCCTATCCCAGGGAATTCTGATCCCAGAGAATCCCAAACCCAGGGGATTCCAATCTCAGAGAATCCCGAACCCAGGGAATCCCGAACCCAGGGAATCCCAAACCCAGAGAATCCCAAACCCAGAGAATCCTGAACCCAGGGAATCCCAAACCCAGGTAATTCTGATCCTGGGGAATCCCAAACCCGGGGAATCCTAATCCCAGGGAATCCCAAACCCGGGGAATCCTGATCCCAGGGAATCCTGATCCCAGGGAATCCTAATCCCGGGGAATCCTGATCCCAGGGAATCCTGATCCCAGGGAATCCCAAACACACAGAATCCCGATCCCAGGGAATCCCGATCCATCCCAGCCTTCCGTGTGCTGTTGGGTGGAGTGCCCAGCACACAGAGGGCTCCAGCTCCCGGGCTCAGGGCCTGAGGAATGGCTGGAGCTGTGTCAGGTTCATGCTGGATTTCAGGAAAGGTTCTTCCCCCAGAGGGTGCTGGCACTGCCCAGGCTCCCCAGGAATGGGCACAGCCCCGAGGCTGCCAGAGCTCCAGGAGCTGCCAGGGATCCCAGGCTGGGATTGCTGGGGGTCTGGGCAGGGTCAGGAGCTGCCCTGGCTGATCCCTGCGGGTCCCTTCCAGCTCAGGGAATTCTGTGACTCTACAATTCCAATTTTCCAAGCACCTCGTCCCCCCTGAGCTGTGTCAATCATTCATCTGGACCACGACTGAGGCCTTTGGGGCTGTTTTTCCCTGTGTGTTCCACACACAGTTTTGGTTCCTGCAGCCTCAGCGTTTCCTTCGCCCCCCAGGCAGCTCCGTAAGTGCCTCAGCCCCAGGCTGGGGTGGCACGGGTCCCTGTCCCCATCATTCTTCTGCAGGTGATGTGGATTTTCTCCTGATTTTACCATTTTCTGTTTGTCCTGGAGCCAGGCCAGGCTCAGACCAGGCAGGAGCAGCTGCAGGGCTGCACTTCCCACAGGGAACCGACGGCACAGCACCCACAGGGCCGGGTGACATCTGACCCCAGGGGTGACACCCCTCGTGTCCCTCCCTGCCTTTCCCCACCTTCATCCCACAGCAAACGGCACAGGAGGTGCCAGGACACGGCTCTGGCTGCAGAGGACTTGGTGTCACCAATTGTCACAGCTCTGACGTTCCCATTTCAAATGAACTTGGCACTGGGAGAGGGAAAAACCAACCCAAATCCCATCAGCTCCTGCTGGGGACTGCTGGCAAGCTGGATCAGCTCTGGAAGGGGTGGGAAGAGGCACCTGAGCACTGACAGGGTGATGAGTTCCCTCAGGGGGTGAATGGAGCAGGAGAGGCTGAAGGGGCAGTGAGGAGGATGAGGATGAGATGCCTCCAGAGGTGTCCAAGAGGATGCTGATCCCATCCCAAACAGGCTTTTGGGAACAGAAGGTGTTTTGGGATTGTTTGGCAACACAGTGGACAGGCAGAAGAGATTTCACACAGCTTCTCTGCTTGTCTTGCTTGAAAATTCCCCTTCAAGCCCTATCCAGGCCACCCTGCAGCATTTTGGGCTGTTTTAGGGTTTTGTGATGCCAAACCAGTCCCACAGTGCTCGTTTTTACCTGACAGGGTTTGCTCAGCACCTCAGCCACAGCAAACCCTGAGGTACCACAGGACCACCCTGGCTGCTGGGGGGGACGAGGGATGGGATGGTTTTTAACAGCTTCAATTTCTTCTAAAGGAACTCCCCCCAGAACTCAGTGGCTCAGGAGGTGGCACTGCCAGCTGGAGCTGGTGGGCTTTGGTGACACAGCAAAACATGGAAATGTCTGGTGCCACACCTGGGCCAGGCTGGGGAGGCACTGGGATCCAGAGCTGCAATAAATAATGCCCATGTGCAGGAAATTTGTCTTTTTTTTTTTTTGGTTGAATCAGATCCTGGTGAGGCTCTGCCCAAGGAACATTCCAGGAGCTCACACTGGGGTCCTGCAGGGCTGGCCAGGAGGAGCACAGGGAGCTGGGCACACACAGAGCTCCCTGTGAGCTCTGTGATCAGAATCCCAGAATGGACTGGCTTGGAAGGGACCCCTAAAAACCTAAATTTAGTTCCAATCCCCCTGGAATGAGCAGGGACACGTTTGCCTATCCCAGGCTGCTCCAAGCCCTGTCCAGCCTGGCCTTGGACACTTCCAGGGATCCAGGGGCAGCCACAGCAAATCTGGACACCCCGTGCCAGGGTCTCATCACCCTCCCAGCCAAAATTTCCTTCCCAATCTCCCATCCATCCCTGCCCTCTGACAGTGGGAGCCATTCCCTGTGTCCTGTCCCTCCATGGGACCCCTAAAAACCTAAATTTAGTTCCAATCCCCCTGGAATGAGCAGGGACACGTTTGCCTATCCCAGGCTGCTCCAAGCCCTGTCCAGCCTGGCCTTGGACACTTCCAGGGATCCAGGGGCAGCCACAGCAAATCTGGACACCCCGTGCCAGGATCTCATCACCCTCCCAGCCAAAATTTCCTTCCCAATCTCCCATCCATCCCTGCCCTCTGACAGTGGGAGCCATTCCCTGTGTCCTGTCCCTCCATCCTTGTCCCCAGTCCCTCTCCAGCTCTCCTGGAGCCCCTTCAGGCCCTGCCAGGGGCTCTGAGCTCTCCCTGGAGCCTTCTCCTCTCCAGGGGAACATTCCCAGCTCTCCCAGCCTGGCTCCAGAGCAGCTCCAGCCCCTGGAGCAGCTCCATGGCTCCTCTGGCCTTGTTCCAGCAGCTCCACATCCTTCTGATGCTGGAGCCCAGGGCTGGAGGCAGCTCTGCAGGTGGGGTCTCACCTGAGTGGGGCAGAATGTCCCTCTCTCATCCAGGTTTTCCTGTTCCTGGAAGGCCTGGGCAGGGACCATTTCCCCTCTGAGCAGCTCCCCTGCCACACTGGGAGAGCAGGATTGCATTCCTGCTGCCAAGGGAAGTGCTGGGGATGGATGAACTGTGCCCTCTGGGCTCTGCACTCAGCTCAATCCAGTATGGGGTGGTTTTTCCCAAAAAACAAACCCACAGCAATTCCAGCAGCAGGGAAAGGCCTGGCCAGGCCTGGGGCTCTCAGCTGTCCCTGCCTGCACCTGCACTTGGTGCTCCAAAACAATCTGGGGTTGGGTTTGACCTCCTGGCACAACAGGAAAATCCCCAAACAGAGCTGATGGGACAAAGATGAAAATCCCCATCGTGTCCTGACACTTCCCACCCAAATCTCTCTCCCACTTTCTCCTGCAGCTCAGTGCCCACATCCACACCCTGCCCCAGGCATGTGCATCCAGAGAACAGCCAGAGCCCTCGTGATTCCCATCCTCCAGCAGCCCAAAGGTGCTTTTGGGGCCAAGATGCTTTTCCCAGGAGCCCAGGGCAGCATGCAGAGAGCAAGAGCCACTTACCTCATTGGTGCTTCCCTGGGAGGGGCATTGGCAAAGGGAGACAGAGAGAGAAAGAAACAGCTCTGTGGATCTCAGTGTCCATGGCAGCTCATCCCTGGGGTGCTCCATGGGGGGCTCATCCCAAACTGTCACCCCCTCCCTGCTCTGTCCAGCCATCCCTCCTGCACTGCTCCCACTCCCACGGGACAGAGCTGCTGGCTCCTGGTGGGCACAGTCACCCAAGCCAGCAGCTCCCCTCTGCCACAAATCCTTCCTGGGAGAACTTTCCCTCTGCTTGGAAAGCCACAGGGCCTGTGGAAGCCAGCACCAGCTCCAAGCACTTTACCCTCTTTATTTTGCCCCAGCTGGACATGTTGCAAGTGGGCAGCACCTTCCTGCTGTTCATGCCTGTTCTTGCTGAACTGCCACTGCCTCCTGCACTGGGATGGGATTGAATATTCCAGCACATCCCACAGGCTGCTGGGAAGTGTCCCGGGCAAAGGGACACTGCAGGGGGCTTTACTGGGGGTGCTCAGGTGCTGGGGACAGGACAGCCAGGATGAATCCACCTGGGACAGCACCACTGCCCAGCTCTGGAATGAAGGACCATCAGTAAATGCTGCCTTTGTTTCCCCCAAAGCTGCATGGTCAGCTGCAGCAGCACAGGGAAGCAGGGAATGTGCTTGCTCTCCATGACACCCTCTGTGGTGGAGGAAAAGCAGGGAAGGAGAAGGGCCCTTCCTGCCAGAAATCAGAGCTGGGGTGGCTCCTGAGGGATGGGCTCCTCCAGCTCTGCCCTGGGAGGAGCAGGAGGGCAGAGCTGGACACATGGACTGTACCCCTGGATGGGGTGCAGGGGTCAGGGGGACTCTGTGTGGGCTGGGCTTTCCCTTTTCTGCAGTGGGAAATCAGGGTCTGGTGCCAAAACTGGCAGAGTCAAGATCTGGCCCCGACCTCTGGCAGAGTTGGGAGAGCCCAAATCCCTGCCCTGAAGCAGAGGAGAGCCCTGGCTGCTCCTCTTTAACAGCCACAGCCATGCACACACCAAGCACACACACCAGGATCCTCCCCAGGGCATCCCTCAGAGCTGCCCATGCCCACAAGGCTCCACAAAATCACATCTGGTGACAGGTAAGACAAGGAGGAAAGAAAAAGGCAGAACAAAAGAGCTTGCTGGGAGTTTTCTCAGATCTACACAGCTTGTTTTCCACTCTGGACAGGAACTGGAGGCTCAGGGACACAGCTCCAGCCTTGCTCACCCCACCTGTGCTACAGGCACAGGGCAGCCCTGTGACCTCCCCCTTACAACAAACTGCACAAACTGACCTGCAACAATTCCTCTGCCCATCTGCAAGCTCTACAGAACAGATTAAAACTTCAATTAAAACTGGAAAGGCGTCCCTGCACCGATCACAGCACAAGCAGCTGGATCTAACAACCCTAAAAACCAAAATCACCTCAAAGGGGGAGGAAAATCCCCAGGAAACCCAATGCTTAAACCAAAAAACCCAGCGGGGTGCAGGGAGGATACTTTCTGCGCGCGGGTTTGAAATCAAAAGCTCTTTATCCTACCTGGTCCCACAAGGCTGCAGCCACTTGGTCTATTACAGCTCCCAGTTCTCTGTACTCCCCAGAGTATCTGATATAAGCCCAGGTACAGAGTGTGATAAGTGTCAAGCCCAGAATCATGTTGCACAGGCTGGCTATGATGTCCAAGCCAACGAAGCCGGTGACGCCGGCCAGCACGTAGGTGATGAAGATGACGACGAAGAGCGTGGCCGGGGTGCGGGCAGCGTGGAAGATGTTCTTGCTGTCGTTGTGTTTGATGTACTGGATGTAGAGCTCGTCGATCTCGGCCTCCAGCTGCTGCAGGTAGCGCCGGCTGAACTCCTCCCCTCCCATCTTCTTGACGCCGCGGAACAGCCGCACCGCCTCCTCCTTCAGCTCCGCGTGCTTGGCCTGCAGGTCGCTGGGAGCCAGGAAGGGCTTGTCCCCTCCGCACACCTACGGGGGAACACGGGAATGGCACTGCTGGGATGGCCCTGCTGGCACGGGGAAATCACTGCTGGCACGGGGAAAGCATCACTGACACGGCACTGCTGATATAGGGAAGTCACTGCTGGTGCGGGGAAATCACTGCTGATACAGGGAAATCACTGCTGGTGCGGGGAAATCACTGCTGGCACAGGGAAGTCATCACGGACACAGGGAAATCATCCCTGAGATGGCACTGCTGGCACAGGGAAATCATCATTGACACAGGGAAATCATCCCTGAGATGGCACTGCTGACACAGGGAAATCATTCCTGAAATGGCACTGCTGACACAGGGAAATCACTGCTGGCACAGGGAAATCATCACTGACACAGGGAAATCATCCCTGAGATGGCACTGCTGATATAGGGAAGTCATCACTGACACAGGGAAATCATCCCTGAAATGGCACTGATGATACAGGGAAATCATCACTGACACAGGGAAATCATCCCTGAGATGGCACTGCTGATATAGGGAAGTCATCACTGACACAGGGAAATCATCCCTGAAATGGCACTGATGATACAGGGAAATCATCACTGACACAGGGAAATCACCCCTGCAATGGCATTGCTGATACAGGGAAATCAGTCCTGAAATGGCATTGCTGATACAGGGAAATCAGTCCTGAAATGGCATTGCTGATACAGGGAAATCAGTCCTGAAATGGCATTGCTGATACAGGGAAATCAGTCCTGAAATGGCATTGCTGATACAGGGAAATCAGTCCTGAAATGGCATTGCTGATACAGGGAAATCAGTCCTGAAATGGCATTGCTGATACAGGGAAATCAGTCCTGAAATGGCATTGCTGATACAGGGAAATCATCCCTGAAATGGCACTGCTGGCACAGGGAAATCATCACTGACACAGGGAAATCATCCCTGAGATGGCACTGCTGGTACAGGGAAATCACCCCTGAAATGGCACTGCTGAACCATCACTCCTGACATGGTGAAATCACTCCTGGCACAGGGAAATCATCCCTGACACAGGGAAATCACCCCTGCAATGGCATTGCTGATACAGGGAAATCACTCCTGAAATGGCATTGCTGATACAGGGAAATCATCCCTGAAATGGCACTTCTGACGCAGGGAAATCATTCCTGACACACAGAAATCACCCCTGAAATGTCACTCCTTATACATAGGAAACACTCCTGACACAGGGAAATCACCCCTAGAATGGCACTGCTGACACAAGGAAATCACTCCTGACACAGGGAAATCACCCCTGGAATGGCATTCCTGAAACAGTGAAATCATCCACGAAACATCACTCCTGAAACAGTGAAATCATCCCTCAAATGTCACTCCTGACACAGGGAAATCTGAAATTAGGGTTAGGGATTAGAGGTTAGGGTTTGGGAAGGAATTCCTGGCTGTGAGAGTGGGCAGGCCCTGGCACAGGGTGCCCAGAGCAGCTGTGGCTGCCCCTGGATCCCTGGCAGTGCCCAAGGCCAGGCTGGACAGGGCTTGGAGCAGCCTGGGATGGTGGAAGGTGTCCTTGCCATGGCAGGGGTGGCACTGGATGGGCTTTAAGGTCTTTTCCAACCCAAATCTTTCTGGGATTTCAGGAATCTATGACAGGAGAGCCAGGAGACAAGAAGGGACAGGAAGGGGCAGGAAGGGACACACTCAGCACCACCCACCTCTTCCATCCTCTTGCTGTAGGTGTCCTTGGCAGTGGCAACTGCTGCTAAATTGTTGGCTTCTGCTGTGGCCTGTAAGGGTGAAAGGGGCACAAAATTTAGGTGCAGGACAGGGTTAAGCTGTGCAAGTGCAGGGCCACACGTGGGCACAGCCAGGACAATGTGTGTGGCACCCAGAATCAGCCAAGGGGCACTCCCAGCCTCCAACCAATCCCAAATAAGCTCATCCCATATTTGCACATCCAAAAGCCTGCATGAAGAGAGGATTCCTCTCCTCCAAGCCAGAGCTACAAAAACTTTGGCTTCAGCTGTGGGAACCAGCAAGGAAAGAGCTAAAAGGCTCAGCCACACGTAAACAGCTCCAGCTGCAACCCCCAGCTGGCTCTGGCAGCCACTTCCATGTGTCACCTCCCTGTGTGGCCCCAAGGATGTCATTCACCTGCAGGGAATTGTTCAGCTGAGCTGGCTGGTGCTGTGTGCAGCCAGCAATTCCCCAGTGTCCACCCCAGGTGTGATTCCTCAGCCAGGTCAGGCTTGTGATGCCAAACTCTTCCCAAAGTGCTGCTCCTTGGGTGGTTACACTGAGGCATTTGGAATAAAAGTCCCAGCAGTGCCACTGTGCTGGACACCTCAGCTAATTCCTGGGAATTAATTGCAATTCCATTGCAGGAATTCCCACAGCTCCCACTCACACCTACCTGCAGCATGGACTTGGGGTGTGGCAGCTCCTCCCCTTGGTAGATCTTTATGTAGGCCTGGAAAAGAGCAGGGAAAAGGGAATCATGTGGAATGCAGCACACAGGAGCAACAGCAGCCATCCCCACCCAGCTCCAGCCAGGGTTCAGAAGCAGGGAAGAGGAGGATGCTCCAGCACAAGATGGCTTTGGTCAGAAAATGTCACTCCTTGGGTGGCCTGGGTCAGTCACTGCAGGCTCTCCCTCCTCCACTCACTCCCAGTACCCCTCCCAAAGGATCTGCACCTACCTCTGTCCTTTCCCTGGAGGAGAAGGAGCCAAGGTAGCCCTGAAGAGTAGGTGGTGAGAATTACTCACCAATGTCTCTCATGGAAATGTCCCAGTAGCCATGACAACAAAAATAAGCTTTTTCCAAAGGCAATTGGAATACAGCCCTCAGCTTATCCCCCTCTAGCCCTCAATTCTCCAGGAAAGGAAAACAGCTCCTCCCACTTTCTGGGCTTGTTGTGTGGTCAAATACATGACCACGAGGTGTTTGCCCTCTGCTGCAGTGAGCCAGGACTGTCAGTGCTGCCCTGCCTGCTGCTGCTTTCCCCTTCAGCTACAGCAAAATTCCACAGAGGAATAAATCCATTCTCTCTGAAATAAATACCTTAAAATACTCCACAAGGCCTCGACAGGTGATGTGGTTTCCATTGATCTCCTTAACATCCAGGTTCTCAGGACTAAGAAGCCAAGGAATCAAAATCTTCAAGTTCTTGATGAACTCATCGTCTATTTCTGGGGGGGGGGGAAAGAAAAAAAGAAAAAAAGAGGCATCACAGAGTCCCAGAATAGTTTGGGTTGGAAGGGACATAAAGACCATCATGTTCCAACCCCCTGCCATGGAAGGTTCTTCCCCAGAGGGTGGAAGGAACAGGCTCCACAGGGAATGGTCACAGAGCTCCAGGGGGATTTGGACAAAGCTCTCAGGGATGCACAGGGTGGGATTTCTGGTGTTTCCATTAAATTCAACTGTACAGGACTGAAGGCAGAAAAAAACAATGCAACAGCCAGGAATTTGGAAGGTATGGAAAGCAGGGAAGATCCCCCACGTTTCTTCCATCAGAGCACAAAAAGCTGAGTACAGCTCTGAGGCAACAAGAAATTTGTGAAAATTGTGTCAAGAAGCTGCTGACAGCTCCTGTCTGCACCCAGCACTTGTTCCATACTCCTCAGCACCTGAGATTAAGGGGGAGCTCCAGGGATCAGCTCAGTTTCCACCAGCACATCTCCCTCCTGCTGCCTCACTGTCCCTGCTGCTTTGCACAGAGCTTGCCAGGAGAGCAAGTCTGAGCCAGACAAAACCAGGGGAAAACTCACATCTTTGCCTGCTAATTTATTTTAAGTAGCTAATGGTCCACTTTATTGCTAAGACTGCAGCAGCCTGGAACCAGCCACGCTGGTGAGGAGTTCACAACAAACACCTAAAAATATCCCCAGCACGTGGCTCCTTTTGGGGTGGAGAATCTCACCACAGCTCTTTTCTCCTTCTCCCTTTTTTTCACCTGCTGAACCAAGCCTGCCCTGTCGGGAAACCACTGATCAGATAAGTCAGGCAGATTAAATATTCCCTGGAAAGCTTTTCAAAGGGAAATAACTGTTCTGAGAGCTTGTGGAACCAGCCTTCCACCCACCACAAGCACCAGCCTTGCAGCATCCAGGCTCTGCCTGTGCAGGTGAGGCACAGGAATTTACTGCAGGTTTAACACCACGTCCACAAACATCCAGTCTCATCCCTGCCCTTCCCACTTTTCCTATCACTGGGTATTCCAGCAGCTCTCAGGCCTTGTCAGCCTCCCACACCTTTTCTCCCTCCACATTTGTCTGCTGCACTGGGAAGAAGCAGAAGGGGGTGTGAACAGCACTGGGAGGAGGATCCAACTCCTCTCCCAGAAGTTTTTTCATGGAAAATAGTTTTGGGGGTTTGAGGAACAAGCAGGACAGTGTGCAAGAGCTTCTAAGGAATCAGGGTAGAAAGCAGAGCTTTGCCTTTGTACCTTTCAGTTTTCCATCGAAATTGGGGTTGGTGGCGACCTTGAGGCCAGGGTGAGGTAAGAGGAAGCAGGAGATTTTGGTGAAGCAGGAGTGGATGTGCTTCCTGACATTCTGCAGCTCCTCGTGCTGATTGCCTGACACCTGTGGAGACAATGAAGCACAGAATATCCCGAGCTGGATGTGCCCACAAGGATCAGAGTCCAGCCCAGACCCCCAGCAATCCCACCCTGGGCATCCCTGGCAGCTCCTGGAGCTCTGGCTGCCTCGGGGCTGTGCCCATTCCCTGGGGAGCCTGGGCAGTGCCAGCACCCTCTGGGGGAAGAATCTTTCCCTGAGATCCAACCCAAACCTCTCCTGGCACAGCTCCAGCTGTTCCTCAGGTTCTGTCAGTGGTCACCAGAGACAAGAGCTCCGTGCTGCCCATCTACTTCCCACAGTTTGGGGCCAGCAAGTTTCCTTCTGACAGGAATATTGGGATAAAGCTGGCAGAAGCACAGGATACTCCACACTGTGGCTGCTTACAGTGGGGGAAAGGAGAAGATTCCATAGGCATGAGGACAAAGAGAAGGAACTGGAGTATCTCTGACCACACGCCCTGGAGCATGTTATTATCATCTGGAAAATGCACATGTCCATGGATGACTGGAATACAAAAACATTTGGGATTTCCCACTAGAGCCTTGCTTGTCTCACATATAATTAGGTCTCTCCACTACCAGATCACCCATGCATTTCCTGACTGATCCCAAGCAGCCCTTGCCCATCATTTTTATTATACAACTCCCTAATTGCTAAAGCATCATTCCCAGTCTCTTGGGAATCTGCTGACTCCCATTGCTTTGGACTCTCCCAGAGAGTCCCAGGGAGCTGGGCTTGGGCAGAAGCCTGGACATGGCAAGGAAATTCACCCTCCCCAAAAGCCTCCTCTGGGATTTTAAGGCACTGAGTGTGACCATAACCAGCACTGCAGATCACACCTGACCTCCAGTGCTGAGGCCACCAGGTGAACAGGAAAATCATGGAATCACAGAGAGGACTGGATTGGAAAGGAGCTTAAAGATCATCCCTGCCATGGGCAGGGACACTTCCACTGTCCAAGGCTGCTCCAGAACAAAGAGCAAGCAAAACATACCTTCAGTCTCTTCTCCAAAAATCTTGCACCACCATCAGATCCGTAGGAAAATTCATAAGGGAAGCTCCAGTCACGAACAAGGAATATAAGGGACTGGAAAACACACAGACAGTGGGGTCAGTGACCTGCTGCTCTGAGCCCACAGCACCCTCTGCACCTTCCCCCTCATTCCACACCACACCAAAACCTGGCCCTGAGTCTCTTCCCAGCTCCAGCAGCATCTCCCACCTGTCCTGGTGGAAATGAGAGGTCCCAGTGTGCAGGGGCTGAGACCACTCCACTGCCCACCCCCCAAAGTGCTGCACCAGTTTGAGTCCCTGGCTGGAGAACAACATCAACCACCCAAACTGCCCAAGAAAAGGGATTGTTGCTAACCAGGACAAAAGGCAGCAAGCTCCCTAATTCCAGCCACATTTAGTTCCATCCCATGGGAATTGTACAGGCTCATTTTTTCAGCCTTTTTCACTGGGCAGCCTTCCAGACAGACTTTTAATGAGAAGCAGATGCAGAGGAATGAGGGTGAATAAGAAATCATTGGCTTTTGTAATCTTTATCGAGGCATTCAAAGTTCCTGGGCAATAAATACAGAAAAAAATCAGGTCTCCACTGCCTCATCTGTACAACATCCCATGCAGGAAACAAAGGGTTTGGAGGGGGAAGTCCTGAATGCCAAAGCCCAGGAGGGCCTGGCAGAGGTGCCAGGGTTCCTCTCAGGAACATGGATAAGCAGGTCAGCAAGTGGAACCCATTTCATTGGAATTTCCCTAAAATGTATCTATGTTTAGAACAAAAATCTAATGGAGGGAGGGGAAATATTCCTGCTATTTCTCTTTCATAAAACATCAGAAAAGGTTTAAAAAAAAGGAGAGAACAGTGAGTTGGCCTTTTTGAATTGCAGGAGAAGCCACAGTGACTGCACCCAGTGAGCTGGTTCAGGACATGCTGTTCTCAAACACCATGAGATGCTTAAGAGACATTCCCATGTTTAGGACTATTCCACAAACACATTGTGCATGCCTTGAATTGGGATTTTTTTTTTTTTTTCTGAAGTAAAATTGTTCCAGACAGGCTGTGTTTACCATTGCCTTTGTGAAGGCCCCACGTTCAGGGCCAGCCTCTGGCAGGGGCTCCTCAGTGTGAGGAGAGGAAGGAGACAAAGGGAAATGTTTACCATTGCCTTTGTGAAGGCCCCACGTTCAAGAGCCTCTGGCAGGGGCTCCTCAGTGTGAGGAGAGGAAGGAGACAAAGGGAAATGTGAATTTTCCACTGCCAAGTCTCACCTCCCTTCCCTTCCAGCAGGATCAGTGCCACTGCAGTTTATTCACCATCACACTTGGAGAATCCCAGGATGGTTTGGGTTAAATAAAAGCTCATCCAGTGCCAGCCCTGCCATGGCAGGGACACTTCCACCATCCCAGGCTGCTCCAGGCCCCATCCAACCTGGCCTTGGACACTGCCAGGGATCCAGGGGCCACAGCTTCTCTGGGAAAACTCTGCCAGGGCCTCCCCACCCTTACTTTTCCTGCTTTCTAACCCACACTCTCATTTAAAACGTGTTCTGCAGGAAGCAGCCCAAGCTGGATGCTGACAGGAGATCATTTCTCACCTGGCCACAGCACCACTGACCCCTCTGCCACATCTGCCACACCCACAAGGGTTCCCAGCCTCGTTTGATAATTTCCCCCTGATCATTAATGAAGATGACATTGAATCAGGGAGAGCCTGGGGGGATCCCAAGGAAACACTTCTGAAGGATGATGATTTCCTACAATTAGTTACAATTAGTTCAGCGTGCTCTGGCATCTATCAGTTAATGAGTTTTTAATCCATTAACTATGGATTAAACCAGACTTCATTTGCTTTCAATCAGCATCCTGGAGAGATAAGGCTGGCAGAAGGCAATGGATCATGGTGAGAGTTACCTTTATCACCCCAACTCATGCTCTTTCAAAAATTGATAATGGGATTGTTTGACAAGACTCACCATCCACAACTGTGACTCGACAGCAATTACAGTGTTTGGGAGAATCAGAGCCTATTATCCAGCCCTAATGATTTAAGCATGTTTAAGTCTCCCCTCACAGCCTCCTTTTCACTGATGGAGTAGGAAGTGTCTCAGTTTCACTGGAATATTTGGCTACATTATCCCCACAGTATTTAAATAAGGAGCAGGAATATTTATTTAATGTCTGGCTTTTTGCTGTACTGTGTTACAACATTCTTCAAACTCTTGCCTGTCATATATTTTTACCATATATATTTTTAGTTTTAGCATTTATCACAGCAGAATCCAATACACCTTCAAAATCTCAATTTGTCCATTTGTTGTATTTTTTAACCTTTTATTTCCACTTCCTGACCACAGACACCTTATAAACCCCTTAGTCCTTCCAGGACAACAATTCTCTTTTTATGTGGGAAAGCAAATGTAAAATAGCTGTAACTCATTCCAAATTACTCTTTGAATTTTTACAGCATGCTTTGTACTCTGCTGGTTTTCACTTTAGGAAGTTCACAAACCCTCACCCAACCTAATGAAAACACTCCTCTGTCTTTCAAAACAGGAACCCACCTCACCTACTGTGAATGCCCAATGCTCTCCCTTTTTTTTAACACCAGCTTTTCACAGGTTGGGGAGCAGAAGGATGAACAGATGTCCCTAATTTGAAGTTAAAACCCCACTTACACCGAGTTTTCCCACGGCTCTGCTAATCCTTATCCTTTCATTTGGCCAGGAGCAGGGATTCCCAGGGCAGGTGAGTTCAAACCTCTCAGAACAAAGGCTGGGCAGAGTTCCTGACTACAGAGTGTGACAAACCTGCTGCAACACCAGCTGCTTTCCAAGCCTGGCAGGACAGGGCAGAGCTCTTGGGAAGGCAGGGGTTGAGGGAGGAAAGAGAGAGGGATTTTGGATGTATTTGGAAGCAAGGAAGCACAAATCCCTTCCTTGGAGCAGCTGAGCCGATGCCCAGGCAGTCTCATCTCCTCCCAGGCTACAAACTGCAGTGACACCTCGTGGCGAAGCCAGCGGGCTCAGGGACACACGAGCTGGCCAGGATCCTCGGACTCACCTGGAAAGGCTTCTGGAATGTCTCCTCCATGGCCAGCCGGCCATACTCGGTGAAAAGCTGGAAGGAGAAGGAAAGGACAGGACAGTGAGTTTGTCACTGCGGGACACAGGGGACACTGAGCTCCGTGACAGGGACAGGACCCAGGGAAAGGCTGGAGCTGAGCCAGGGCAGGGATTTCAGGAAAGGTTCTTCCCCCAGAGGGGGCTGGCACTGCCCAGGCTCCCCAGGGAATGGGCACAGCCCCGAGGCAGCCAGAGCTCCAGGAGCTGCCAGGGATGCCCAGGGTGGGATTGTTGGGGGTCTGGGCAGGGTCAGGAGCTGGATCAATGATCCCTGGGGGCCCCTGGAGGGAATTCTCTGATTCTCTGGAGCAGTAAGGGACATTCATGAGCAGGCAGTACCAGCACCACGTGCAGAGCTGGACACAAAGAGGCTCTGGGCTCCCAGCTCACATCCCAGAGGCACAGGGAGCTGTTATGGAACCATCATCACCCTGCTGAGCTCTCATGTGAGAGATCCCAGCCTGGAGCTTTTGGCTGCCAAATCTGTGGAAAATGGCTCAGATCAGCTGCTTGCTGCTGGTTTCACACCAACCAGAAACTTCTCGTGCTCCAGGGGCTGCTGGAGCCCTGCTCCCTCTAAACACTCCAGCAAGAGCGGAAATGAATTCAGAAATAAGTACTTTCCCTGCAAACCCCTGCTGTGCAAAGACTCTAAAATCAGCCTAGCAGCAAGATTTGAAACTCTCCAGTCTCTCTGCACTCTAATTTCTAACTGAAGGCACAATAATGTGTTTCACAGATGCCTAAAAATGGGTCAACTTGTTAAACAGTCATGGCTTAAAATCCAAGCTGAAAGATCAGAGCTACACTGAATAAATTCAGTGTTAAAGAAGTGTTATTGTTAATAATATTTATGGACTGAGATAATTCAGAAGTATTCAAATGCTGATTTTTTCAGCTGGACTTTTGCTTTTCTTTCCTTTCCTTAAGCTCCTGGAAAAACCTACTTAATTAATCAACCAATCAATCAACTGAACAGAAGAGAAAGCAGGAGGTAATTCCAGGAAATAGGCAGGACACCTGTGTCACAAAAATCCCATTAGCTGCTTGTCTGCAACAGTCAGGGCTGGAATCACCCTTAGAGGGTCACCTGTACTGAGCCAACACCAGATGGCAACATCCAGGCTGATAATTCACAACCACAGAATAAAATCCCAGGATGGTTTGGGTTGGGATAGACCTGAAATCCCACCCAGTTCTAACGTCTGCTATGGGCTGGGACCCCTTCCACTATCCAAGGTTGCTTCAACCCTCATCCAAGCTGGCCTTGGACACTTCTAGGGATGAGGCAGCCACAGCTTCTCTGGGAAACCTGTGCCAGGGCCTCACAGGCAGGAATTCCTTCCCAGTATTCCATCTAACTCTGCCCTCCAGGAATGGAAGCCATTCCCCATGGTCCTGTCACTCCAGGCCCTTGTAAATAGCTACAATTAGGTTACCCTGAAGCTTTTCTTACCTGCAAGTGCTGCAGATCATCCTCCTGCACATTCTGGGACAAGTTATAAACCTGCATTTAAACAAAAAACCAACTTCAGATCACTCAGAACAGCCTGTCTTTGGAGCTAGCACGTGGTTGGTGTGGCTAAAGCCTGTGACATCCCCATGGGGACACAGGCGAGGTCCCAGCTGATGCTGGCACAAGTGGTAGGAAGGGAAGCCCTGACAGGCTCTGTAGCTCCTGGGGCTGAACTCCTCCAGCCCAGAGGCTTCTTACCTGGATGGAGCTGATCATGGTGCTGAGGGCAAACACGGTGGCAGAGTCCCTGAGGGTGGACTGGCTGTCAAAGGTGCCCTGCGTGTCCATCAGCAGCACCGCGACCTGCGGGGCACAGAGCTCCTGTCAGCACCCCCTGCAGCAGCACCCACACGTGCCAGGGGGGAATGGCAGCTGGGGCATCACTGCTTCTGCCTCAGCCTCTTCACTGCTGGGGGACAAAGGAAAAGCTCATCCCCAGCCACTCCTGACAGCAGGGTGACTCCAGCAGGCAGCAAAATCCATGCCCTGCAAGGCAGTGAGGGAACTGCTCTGCTCCTCTGTCAGTGCAGAGGAGGCTCTGCCTCCAAACAGAAAGCAAACACAAATTGCACCTTCTGAACCCAAACACACTCAGCCAGCGTTAGGAATCACAGCCTGAATGCCTCAGTGTCACTTGGGTGCCATGCTCTGTGTTGAAGTGCAGATAAATACAAATATTCCTGGCTATCAGCTGAATTTGCAGCACACTCCAAATCCGCTGTGACAACTCTGAATGAAGAAACTCCACTTTACAACTCCTGCTCTAGGAAAGAGAAGGAGTTTGCAAGGACATGAGATTCAAGATTTCTGGGAATAGTACAAAAATAAACTCTGGGATGCCAGAATTGAGGGACACTTACATATCAGGGGCACCTGGACATTCTATCACCTCACTTAGTTAAACCCTTCTTTAATGTGTGTTTTTCACAGAGGTGTGTACAACTTCCCAGTGGGTCTACAGACTGTCAATTACACAGAAGTTTTTACATCATTTCCATAAATGCCTCTCATGCAAAATCACCACATTCCACCCCTCAGCTCTGTGAAATACACACATCAAAAATTATTACCAAAATTACACTCTTTAAAAAAATATTTTTACATCACTTCCTTCACTTACTAAAATAGAGACATTGAAAGGTATTGAAAACCTTCTCTAAACTTGCACAACCACCTAAGACAAGGCAGGGGAGTCTCAAAAGCTGGAAAATGAGGAAAATGAGCTGGCAGCAGCAGAGACACACACACACCTTGGTGCCATCGGGCTTGTCCACCAGGAACACCTCGCTCCATATCTGAATCCCGGTCGTCTCCCGCTCGGAGCCGCCCCTCCAGGAGAAACCCGTCAGGGGCTCGTTGTAATCCCCAACCCAGTCCACTGCTTCCTGCAGGGAGGAACAGAAGGAGTTGCTGGAAGTGTCAAAAAGGGCTAAGAACCCCATAAGGGAGGTTTTTCCTTCCTTTTACTGTCAAGGCACCTCAAATCCCGTGGTCAGTTTTGGGCTCCTCACAACAAAGACTGGAGGGGCTGGAGAGTGTCCAGGGAAGGGAATGGAGCTGGGAAGGGTCTGGAGGGAGCTGGGAAGGGGCTCAGCCTGGAGAAGAGACTCAGGGAGGACCTTTACACCTTCCTGACAGGCGAGGGCAGCCAGGTGGGATTCAGGCTCTGCTCTCAGGGGAAAGAGATAACAATCTGAAGTTACACCAGGGAAGGTTTGCGTTGGATATTAGGAAAATTTTTTTCACTGCAAGGGTGGTCACACATTGGAACAGGCTGCCCTGGGCAGTGGTGGAGTCCCCATCCATGGAAGCATTAAAAAGACACAGATAAGACAGCTGAGGATACAGTTCAGTGGTGAGTAAGGTGATGCTGGGTTAGCAGCTGGACCCAATGATCTTACAGGGATTTTCCAGCCTAAATGATTAAAAAGCAGCAGGAAAAGAGAAAACAATCTGAAGTTACACCAGGGAAGGTTTGCGTTGGGTATTAGGAAAATTTTTTTTCACCGCAAGGGTGGTCACACATTGGAACAGGCTGCCCTGGGCAGTGGTGGAGTCCCCATCCATGGAAGCATTAAAAAGACACAGATAAGACAGCTGAGGATACAGTTCAGTGGTGAGTAAGGTGATGCTGGGTTAGCAGCTGGACCCAATGATCTTACAGGGATTTTCCAGCCTAAATGATTCTGTGATTCCGGGCAGAAGATGTGAACACTCCTGCTCCAAAGTCAAGAGTCCACGAGAAACTTCTGCCTGGAGAAGGATCTGCTCTGCTTTATTTTGTGAAGCCCACACTCATGAGAGCCTTGAGCACTCTTAAAGCACCGAGTCCTGCCCAGCTCATCCCTGAGCAGTGTGGCATTCACATTCTCTGAACATGATTCCTTCACCCAGGATTTTTCTCCTGGGAAGGTGAAAGGCAGTGAGATGCCTCAGAGAAAAGAAAATTCTCATCTCATTTGCTTCTCCTGTGTTGTGCTCATGTGGAATGTGTTTGGGGATTGTTTACCCAAGGTGATTGCTTGATTGGACTCTGGGGTGAGTTGCTTTCACTCACTGGCCAATTAGTGCCAAGCTGTGTCAGGACTCTGGAAATAGTCATGAGTTTTTATTATTATCTTTTTAGCCTTCTGTAAGTATCTTTTCTGTATTCTTTAGTATAGTATAGTATTCTTTAATATAATATAGTATAATAAAGGAACAAATTAGCCTTCTGATAAGATGGAGTCCTCCTCACCATTCCTTCCTTTGTTGGTGGCCCTGCATTTACAGTAGAGCAGCACATGGGAGCAAGGAGGAACAGCAGCCCTGGGAAGGGCCCCCTGAGCTGCAGCCTTACCTTATTGTACATGTAGCGCAGCATGAAGTCCATCAGGAATGATTTTCCTTTCCTGAAAGCTCCAGCCACGGACACAGCCACCACCTCCTTATCTCTGACAGCCTCGGAGAGGAGGATGCGGTTCAGGGCGGCTTCGTCCAGCTCAAAGGAGTGGTCATCTTTGACAATGAGGACCTGCACTGGCCCTGCCTTCCTCACTGACTCCTCCTCCTCAGAGCTCCACTCGTAAGTCTTGTCTGCAAAACTACCTGTGAGAACAGGGAAAACGAGAGGGGCTTGGTGCCTTCCTCTGCACTGTGAGGGGTCAGCGACAGCAGGGCACTAAGAGACCCAAAAACTCAAATATCCATCCCAAAATGGCATCATCCAGAGCAGATCTGCTGCACCTGGCCTCAGACACGCCAGTGGAGACTCCATGCTTCTCTGGGGTCATCTGACCCTGTGCTCCATTCCTGCTGGAATCTCCCTTGGCAAAACACATCCATTAGATTTTATCCTGCATGGAAAGCAGATCCCTGCAACTCCCTACATAAACAGTGCCTGCCATAACACCTCCCTTGGCCCTTTCTCAGCTGGAAAAGTGAAGTCCAAGCCTCCTCATCATCCCTTCTGCCACATTATCCAGGGATCTGCTCTCCTCTGGACACTCCCCACCAGGTCCTTCCTGAAGGCTGACTCCAAAATAGAAGCAGCTCTCCAGCTGAGGTGCCCAAGGGTCTCACAGCTCTATCAAAGGATGCTGCCTTTGTGTATCCTGTGCCACTGCTGTTCCTGTAACAACACATTCCTCTCCATCTGCAGCCTGAGCTGATGCTCCAAGAGCAATCTGCTGTTCCTGCCATCAGCATCCCCCAGGACACTCCCAGCAGGAATCAGGCCACGCAGACACAAGCCCATCCTGATAAAAGCCACTTTGCTGCTCCCAAGTGGGAAGCACACACAGAGCACAAGCACTGCCCCCTTTCCCACTTGGAAATGGCCAAGTTCCCTGTGGAGCTGCTGCCTGGGCTGTGGAGGGCTCACACAGGAGGGTCTCACAGGAGCCAGATGCATTTTAAGATCTGCAGCCCTGGGATTTGCAAAGAGCAGACTGGCTCCAGTAATTTTCCTTTCCTGGTCTTTCCAAACTTTCCAGCACGGGGAAGAGATGCTGAAGGTGATTAATGTGCCAGTCAGCTCACCTACAGCCACGTGAAACCTCCCTGCCAGCAGGAAAAGGAGAGTGAGATGGAAAGTTCCCCCCACATTCCAACAAAAACTTCCCAGTTTGCTGGCTCGGGCTGTAACTTTCCCAAGTTTTGCCTCAAGTTAAACCTCCCCAGTCTCTGTTTCAGCCCCTGACCTTGGGGACCCAGCTTTGAGCTATTTCAAAGCACAAGGACTGTGTGTGCAGACACTAAAAGAGAAGTTATAAATATCAAGAGGAATAGGATTTGCCCATTCTGGGCCTCTCTATAAAGAAGCCTCCAGCAGTAACTCCATATTTTCAATAACAGCAGCACTTTTGTGATTTCCTAAGATCCTGCAAGGAAGTACCAGGATCATTAGGCCTGGTTGCCAGGGGATTTCTGGTGGCTCTTGGACATATACTATGAGCTTTCTTTGCTCACAGCTGAAAGACAAAGATCTTTTCTTTCCATTGCTTGGAGGTTTTTTAACTAAACAAAAGTCCCAAATGGTGTGAAAAGCAGATTCTCCACCAGACTGCAGCACTAAAATCCCTTCAAGCACCATGTCGCTGCACAGGGGCCTGAAGGAAAAAAAAAAATCCTTCTAATTTCAAATCCATGGAGTCAGGATCCAGGCACACACCAAACACCTTTTCCAGCAGTGAGGCATTCCCAGGTAAGGACAGCCAGGTGCCAAAGGGCCACAGCCTCCTGTGCTCTTTTTAAGCACTGCCAAGCTGCAAGGGCCATATGAAGGATAGGAAATGCCTCCTCTCTTGTGGTGTTTCCCAAAGCCCTGCTCAGCTAAGCCAAGTCCTATTTTTATTTTCTTCTTCCAGCTGCACAGAAAGGACAGTAGAGAGATCCTTGGATAGGATGTGACTCATGGGGGGGGCAGGAAAAAATTGGTAAATCAAATTAAACTTAAGTATTTCTGACTCTAACTCAGCCATCAGGGTGCAACAGCTGTGCCACCTTCCCAGACCAGACAAATCCCACCTCAGGCACAGAGACAGAGGGAAGTGGGACCAGAACTTTAGGAAAAAATTGGTAAAGCAAATTAAACTTAAATATTTCTGAGTGCAACTCAGCCATCAGGGTGCAACAGCTGTGCCACCTTCCCAGACCAGACAAATCCCACCTCAGGCACAGAGACAGAGGGAAGTGGGACCAGAACTTTGGCTGGAGCCCCTCTGCTCTGGGGCCAGGCTGGGAGAGCTGGGGGTGTTCACCTGGAGAAGAAAAGCATCCAGGGAAAGCTCAGAGCCCCTGGCAGGGCCTAAAGGGGCTCCAGGAGAGCTGGAGAGGGACTGGGGACAAGGCCTGGAGGGACAGGACACAGGGAATGGCTTCAAAGTGAAAGAGGAGAGATTTAATTAGATTTTAGGAAGGAATTGTTCCCTGGGAGGGTGGGCAGGCCCTGGCCCAGGGTGCCCAGAGCAGCTCTGGCTGCCCCTGGATCCCTGGCAGTGCCCAAGGCCAGGCTGGACAGGGCTTGGAGCTGCCTGGGATAGTGGAAGGTGTCCCTGCCATGGCAGGGGTGGCACTGGATGGAATTTGAGGTCCCTTCCAACCCAAACTATTCTGGGATTCCACGATTTATGTGTTTACTCATCCTGCACTAGCAGTGGGTACCAAGATGGGCACAAATCCTTGGATGTCCCTGGCTCAGGGAGCTGAATGGACCTCCCAGTCCTGGGCAGGGATCCAAGCACCAGGACATGGGGCTGAGGAGAGTCCCCTGCCACAGGGACACTGGTGCCACATCCCCTCTCCTGGATGGGATCTTCCACACCTTCTTCTCCCTCTGTTCTTTCCAGCAGCTGCACCAACAACCAGTGCAGAGGAGAAGGGATTATTTTGTCCCTTCAAATCATCAAAATCTGAAGGAGAGTAATTTTTTTTTAAGCAGACATGAACAGATTTTGGAAGAATGTCTCCACACACAGAAGTGGCCATGGTCTCCTGGGGGACATCCTTGTTTCCATCACCTGAACACCAGGAAAGCCAGGCTGTTTGCACAACACAAAGCATTATGAGTAGGATATGTTGATCCCCCAGTTCCTTGGAGACAACAGGAAAGGGAGATTATATTAAGCAGGTCTCTGAACTAATTTCATCCCTATCTCTGCTTCTTTCACATAAGCCATCTGCAGACAAAACTATCTTTTTCATATTTATATTCATATTTCCACGTGATGAAACTTTCAGGTTCTGTTTATTAGATTATCTGCCCCACTGCAGAGCCAGGGATTATTTTATAAAATGGCTGTACACTACTGTAAGTCAATAATTTTAACTGGTCTTTCTGGCCATAAATGAGTTTTTTGCCTTGAAAAAAGCTGTACCTGGCAGTGGCAAAAACTCATCCAGCCAAAAAGGAAAGAAGGAGAGCTCAGCTTTCCTAAACACACTCTTGTTTTCACTCCTTTTCTGAGCTGACTCCTCCTTTCTCTGGGCTCTGCAATTACGTCAATTCTCCAGCTGCTCATTCAGAAATTCACAGGATCCGGCTCCTTCTCCCCATTTCAGAACAGCTCATTCCCATCACTCTGGAGCGGGGTGGAAGCCACAGCTCTTTTCCATATGGCCATTGCAAGTGGGAAGGGGAAGGAGAGCAGGATTTGCTGTCAGACAGCACAAAAAAAAAAGCAAAGAATTCTTTAACTGGTCTAAGACTTGCTTTGGACTAAATTAATGAAATTGAAACAGCATATTTCACATTGTGCCTGTGTGTATACCGACAGACATGTCTAATGTAATTTACTTAATTTATTCTTCTCTAGGAGTTAATTACATGCCACTAACTATGCAATGTTTGGTGAGTGCTTGCTGAAGCCTGTTCTCCCTTAGCCATGGAAGAACAGGTCACAGAAATGCTGACTGCTTCCCAGAGTGCCACAAAGGAATCAGCCTTGTCCTCATGTGAGCCTGCACAATAAATACATTTTATTCCAGAGCATGAAACACAGCCATGTCCCATCATCTGTGCAAACACCAGAGCCTGAGGAAGCCAATTTGCCAGCCCTGCTCTCAGGCTCTCTCAGATCCCAGGATTCTCAGCTATCCTGTGGAAAGCAGGGGCTGCAGCCTGGGCTCCAATTCTCCCACTGAAATCACAATCCCAGAATAGTCTGGGTTAGAAGGGACATGAAAAATCATTCAGTCATCTTCCACCATCCCAGGCTGCTCCAAGCCCTGTCCAGCCTGGCCTTGGACACTTCCAGGGATCCAGGAGCAGCCACAGCTTCTCTGGGCACCCTGTGCCAGGGCCTGCCCACCCTCACAGGGAAGTTTTTTCCTCATATCTAATCTAATCTCTCCTTTTTTAGTTTAAATCCATTTCTCCTTGCCCTATCACTATGTGCCCGTGTTCAAAGTCACTCTCCTTTTTTATAAGCCACTTACAAGTACTGGAAGGCCACGGTGAGGTGTCCCTGGAGCTTTCTCTTCTCCAGGCAAAACAACCCCAGCTCAGATGTCACACACACAAAAACACCAATGTCAGGCAGTGCTGCCATTCTCAGGGCATTCAAACCAAATTACTGCATGGAAAACAAACTAGCAAGGAGAGAAAATCGGCGTTTGATGGGAAGCTTGAACTTGCTTGTTCCTTGGAACAGACAATCCTGTATCCAGCGTGTCAGGCTGCTTATCAGCAGCTCTCAAGGGATCCCTTTGACCAGCAGTGATATCTGTGCGGCTCCATTCCGGAGTTTCCATCCCAAAGATATCACACTGCCACCAACAGCAGCACGGGCCAAGCCCTGAACAGAGCCTGCAGTCAGCCTCCATGCCTCTGGATGAGAGCTGCAGTTTGCAGGAAGCTTATCTGCCCTGCACAACAGCTCTGGGGAACACAGGCACCCCTCCCCGAGCATCTCCCCTGCTCTGGGCACCTTCAGCCTGGCTGCTGCTGTGTGAAAAACGCCTCTTTTATGATTGGCTTTTTGCAAATATTAAAATGAATATTATATGTGTTATGTTAGAAAGTTATGCTGTATTAATTTTCTTAAGCAGTGTGTTAAATATAGTTTTAGGTTTTAACATAATGTTAACATAGAAACTATGATATGCAG